ATGTTCTTCATCAGACTTATGATGTTTAACATGACGTTCTTCATCGTCTTCTTCACTATGTTCTTCACCAGACTTATGATGTTTAACATGACGTTCTTCATCGTCTTCTTCATCATGATGTCTAGACTTATGGAATTTACCATGACGTTCATTATCATCATCATCATCATCATCATCATCATTATGATGCTTAGACTTGTAGTGCTTACCATGACGTTCTTCATTATCATGTTCTTGAACATCTTCTTCATCATTCTCATCGTCAGATTTCTGATTTCCATGACGTTCTTCCTTTTGATGCTTAGATTTATGATACTTACCACGATGTTCAACACTCTTCTCTTCATCTTCTTTATCATCATCACCGATTGGTGGTTTCTCTGGTTTATGGTGAGGTGGACCATGATGAGGAGGGCGATGGTGAGGAGGACCATGATGAGGAGGACGATGGTGTGGAGGACCATGATGAGGTGGATGTTCACCATCATCATCACTATCACTGTCACTATCACTGTCACTGTCACTATCAGAATCAGAACCAGAATCAGAATCAGATTCATCATCTGATTGGTATTTTTTTTCAACTTTATGATTTTTTAGTGGTGGCTCAACATGACCTTCCATTAATTCTTGATCTTTTGGTAAATCAATTTCATTATCAACTTGTTCATTTTGACCCAATACAAAAGCAGCAGTAGATAAAGTGACTGCAGTCAATGTAGTCAACTTCATTTTCTTATATATTATTATTTTTTGGGACGGGAGTGTTTAATTTATGATAAAAAAACTACTAAACTAATTTCACATAAGACGATATAGTGCACAATTGAAAGAAAGAAGAATACAATATTTTATTTCATTTAAAATTCGGTTTATATAATACGAATGTTTAATAAAATGTTGCTCCCTCTGATGACGTTAAATTGCACCTTTCTGAAATAGATCGAAGGAACACCAGATAAACATTAGAAAATTGTGTAGAATGAACCACAGCCCCTTCCAGTAACCATATCACTCCTACTGCACCTGGTTCTGAGTGTTAATGCCTCAACTGCCACGGCATACCTCTCGCTCTCTCTGTTTTTGGTTCATCGGAACAACTTGCAGCTATTTTCGTGGGGGCGAATCAGTCAAAGAGACGGAGAGAAAGAAAAGTCTTGGCAAAAGCAGGAAAATGTTTTTTTCAAAGTGCAGTTTCTAAGGGAAAGCCAGAAGTGTGTTTCTTGCTTGGCAGGAGAGGCTTAGCCAAAGGACACTAAATGAAATTGTAAAGGGAAATAGGTATTAGGAAGATAAGACAAAACAAAAACAGAAGGGAATATTATATATGTATATATATGTAGATATCTATGGATGGTTCATTCCTTTAGGAAAGCAGCTGCAGCACCCATCCCTGTACCGATACACATTGAAACTATCCCAATTTGCCCAGTTTGTAATTCTCTCATTAAAGTGGCGACCTGTCTTGCCCCGGTACAACCTAAGGGATGACCTAATGCAATGGCACCACCTCTTGGATTAATCTTTTCTGGATCAATTTTTAATTTGTTTGCACAGTACAAACATTGTGCAGCAAATGCTTCATTAATTTCAAAGACGTCAATATCATTAATTGATAATTGTAATTTATTTAATAACTTTGGAATAACGAAAGCTGGTCCCACTCCCATAATTTCTGGTGGTACACCAATAACTTGAAATGCTAAATAACGTGCCATTATAGGTAAACCAAGAGATTCGGCAACCGATCTACGTGCTAATAAGACACCTGCAACACCATCCGAAATTTGCGATGAATTCCCAGCTGTTGTTGTACCATTTTTTTTAGGATCTTTAATAAATGCTGGATTTAATTTGGCTAGTGATTCAACTGTAACATTTTCACGTGGACCTTCATCGGTATCAATAATTTTACCAGAAGGTGTTAAAATTGGTAAAATTTCATCTTTGAATAAATTTTGTTTGATTGCATTAATTGCTTTTTCGTTAGATTTTGTTGCAAAGGAATCTTGTTGTTCTCTATTAATGTTAAAGTTTTTAGCAATTAATTCATTAGTTAGGCCCATCGGAATTAAACATTTTTTAGCATCTTTATCAGTTAATAATTCTTCAGAGATTGAACCTAATGGATTAATGTTTTTATAATTTTTTGACATCGATTCAATCCCTAAGGCTAGACCAATATCAATTTGTCCCGATGATATTTTATTTGCAATATCATTTACTGCAGTTAAACCTGAAGAACATTGTCTATTAATTGCATTAAACGAAGTTTGATACGGAAACCCAGCGGCTAGCATTGCAGCTCTATGTTCTGTTGCACCTGCACCAACATTTAAAACATTACCACAAGTAATATCTTCAATTAAACTTAAATTTTTTTGTAAATTTTCTGGCCAAACTTCAATAAATTTTTTTAAAAATGAAACTAATAAATAATCTGTATTTAAATCATTAAATCCACCTTTAAAACCTTTTGTTATTGCAGATCTATTTGATGCAACAATTACAATATCATCAGGATTTTTATATTCTTTCAAAATACTTAAATGATTTTGTTTTGTTACACCATCTGGTGAAATATGATTCTTAATATCTTGTAATCTTTGAGACATAGTTGTTGTTACTCTACTGTTAAATGATTGTTACTTTATAATATACATATACATCCAAGAAGTTTTCCAAAAAACAACAGCAACAACAACAAATACACAGGTATATATTTCATGGTATGGGTCCCCTTTTATATAGCTAAATATTCATGTATGTTTCTTTAGCTATCGGAACTCCGAACTAACCGCCGAACTCTCTTACCCCATCTCCAACTTCCTGGCCGTCCTGCTCCCCTTAACGCCGCGCCCGCCAATTTCACACAGTTTAAAGCCGACTCACACTGCTGCAAACAACAACGACAATATAAATAAAAATTGGAGAAACTTCTTTTGATGGGGAAGAATATTGGGAATTTGCGGCAGTATCTGTATAGAAATATGGCTGGGCGGCTAAGTCGGAGTGACAAATATATATATATATATATATATATATATATATATATAATATATTATATTTTTTTTATATAAAAGGAGGGAAGTTTTCACTCATTTTTTGGCTGCATTTCATTCCACATAGTTTCCCTTGTTGTCAACATATACACATATTCGAACCATTTTTGTTTAATAACCAGCATACCGATTTGCCAACTATTTTATTTCATTTTATCTATACTGTATATATTGGGGGGGACAGAGTCCCATCATATTGTACGAAGCGTCTATTCATACATATATACATATATATGTATATATGTATATATGTATAAAATTTGCACTGTTTATTTACTTTATTACCCGAAATACAAATTTTATGGTGGCCTGACTGGGAAATACCATAACAAAACAACCGACGGGAAAAAAAATCTTTCAGATGGGGCGAGAACTTTTTTTTGATTTTGAATTCAGAATTTCCCCCAGAAGGAGGAAAAAAAGAAAAATGAAATTTTCAACAAAGGAAGGTTTAATCTCATCTTCGAAGTTACCAACTTTAAAGGTTCTATTTTGATTGAACTGCTTATCTTGTTTCACATATACATATATCTATCTATCTACCTATATATATATATCTTCTGGTAGAATTCTGGGGAAAAATCACTCGTGTTGAATCCTTTCTATTTCTTCTATTGCAAACCTGTCAAAAAGTAGAATTAAGATAAATTCATTCATTCGTTTTAACCATTCTGTAACTAGTATAAATGGGACGTACACAAGTAGCAGTTGGTTGTGCCGTTGGTATTCCAATTGGTGTTGGTATTATTATTTCTTTAATCTTTTGGGTACGTTTACAACGTAGATTTAAAAAAGAAATGGAAGATGATAAAGAATTAGAACATGCCATTTATGATGAATCAGGTTTTATATCTTTTGATAATTTTGATTCTTTAAAACATGAACAGATTAATGAATCTCAGAGAGATTTATCAAGAACTTCTGATACTACTAATACAACAGATCAAGAATCTATTACACATCCAAGACGTAATCAAAATAGTAACGTTTATATTCCCGCATACAGAAAAAGAATTAATTCAATGCAAGCAAGATCAATAAGAATAAGTTCATTTAATAATAATATGTCAGAAACAAATTCAAGTGATTTAGGTCCACATAACAACAACAACAACAATAATAATAATATACATAATAATAGTTCAATGACATCATTATCTGAATTACCTCCACAACATACTTATAAACAAACTTCACAATTACATTCAAGTGTTTATGATCAAATGGTACCAATGGTTGAATCCTTAAATAATGAAACTTATTTCACTAAACCAAGAGATCCATCAACAAATAATATGATTTCAACAACAACTTTACAATCATCAACAGAAAATTTGCATAATTCTAATAGCTTCTTAATAAATGGTAATTCAATGGATCAACATAATAAATCACAATTGAAAAATTTATATCATAATAGTGATTTAGATTTAGGTTCATATTATCCACGTCATCCATCTTCATCTGCTACAAATGGAAATAATCAAGGTGATATTTCAAGCAACATTATTGGAAATAGTACCGATTATACTAATACATATGGTTCTCCATCTATTGCAAGTCATATGTTTTCGGGACGTTCAAATAATACTGGATCTCCTAGGACAAGAAATCTTCAAAATCAAAACAATAATATTTTTGCAACGCCAACAACGGAAAGATCTGCATTTGATTTCCCTTCATCAATTGACAATGGAAGTATAGAACAAAGACATACACATCATTTACATAATAGAAGTCGAAGTCAAAATAATGTTGATTTGAATGGTGTAAATAGTACCACGACGGGTAATTTACCTTATGATCAACATAGTTCAGATTCTGATAGTAATAGTACAAATGAAAACTTACAACAGCCACAAAATGCTTATAAGTTACAAAATAATTATGATGTTCAAAATAATAATGAAATAGAAGAAGAAGATCAATATGAAAATGAATTTACAAATTATACAGAAAATAGAAGACAATTTATTAACAGTATGAGACCGCACTAAGAAATTAAAAAAAAAATTATATATATCTAATTTCCACATTTTCATCATCATCATCATCATCACGACTCAGGATATTAACATTTTGTTATATTCCATTCTTATTGATAACCTAATTATTTATTCATGTTAAAGCATTGATTCATTTTCCTCATTATTTATATTTTTTCTTCTTCTTTTCTAATCATGTTGCAATTCGAACGATTCATTTTATATATATATTTTTATGTAACATTAGACATTTAGGGACTTTAATAGAAATCCATTTTGAAGGAAAATAAGTAAAATTCGGTATGTTTATTGTTACAATTTATGTAGAAGTACATACATTATTTACCAATGCAAAAAAAACAGAACCTTAAAAAAAAAAATTATACGAAAAAAAATGGCCCTTATGGTGATGAACTGATTTAACTTGGGTTTAAGTAATAAAATGGATCGTCACTATCTTCTTCTTCAGACGGTGGCACTTGTTCTTCATTGGGAGTAACTCCACGGTCCTCTGGCGATGTACCCGCTACAGAACTATTAGTAGAAGATTCTGCATTAATACCATGTCTATCTAAAGATCGCAATTTCTCCCAGAAATCGACACCATCATCAGATGAATAATCCTGTTTGGTCCTACTTAATCTTCTAGAAATTGAATGCCTTTTCCCTTCTGATATAGTTTTTTCAGAATCTGTTTGTGCTGTCTTGCTCTTCTTTCTCAATTTCGAATGCTTATGTTTACTGCTAAAAGACCTTTTCCTTCTTCCAGCACTAGAAGATAACGGAGATGGATTCAATATCTTATTCAGATCGGAGTTTCCTGTCTCTGAGGAACCTAACTGAGGTCTAATCGTAGGTGGTAAGTAATTGAAATGAGAAAATCTACTTGGGCCAACATCAGGGATATCACTAGTTTGAGATTTTACAGTCCCATGACTACCTGGTGTAGTATGTGCAATACTGCTTGATCCATCTGATTTTATTGAATGTGGACTAACTCTATTTGTAACTCCTATATTAGAGAAATGTGGCGAATTTATTGTAGAATTACTTCCTGCACTTTCAGCAGTTAATATGGCCGGATTAGATACTGTCTTGATGTGTGGATAGAAAAGATGATCACCAATATTTTTATTGGCTACATTTGGTGAAGGATCGAATTCTAAAGAAGGATAATTTGGACTCTGTGCTTTAGTTAAGAAATTGATATCATCAACCCCACGTTGTCTTTCCAAATTTGAATGGGTTTGTTTTATTTGTTCACGAATATGAAAATTAGGGTCTTGGTCAATGGCAAGTTGATGCATAACATCAGTTGGTAATGATGCAGTGCTTTTTACAATGTATGGATTTTGATAAAGTTCTGCAATGGAAGCCGGCGAAAGACCTTTGGAATTTGAACTACTTGTAGTCGATGCGTTTTGATCTGACATCTTTCCATTTAAATTATTACGCAGTCCACTTACACCATAATGATTATGGATATGTTGATGGACGGATATCTTTAAAGAATATTTTCTAGCTTGGTCAATTAATTCTCGAATAAGCTCACTGTTATTGATTAGACCATTTGATATTGACAATCCCTTTCTATCCTTTAATGTAAATTTCCATTCTGTTTGTGTATGTGAAGGTGCAGCTGGCACCGACAAGACAGGTTGAGGGCTTTGATTGGATATACTTGGACTTGTCCCACTAGGGAGATTAATATTAGGTACGTTATTCGTCATAATATCGTTCTTTAAATGATTATCTGGAATCGGTGTAGTTTGTTGACGTTGATGATATTTATCTATTGGGATATTTGAATCTAAAATTAGACCCGTGGCTCTCACTAATGGCGATAAAGAATCTTCTAGGATCTTTGTATTATGAGAATTTAACATCGATGGATTATTATTTGATGACTGGTTTATATTCTCTAAAAACCCAGGTGACGGAGTTAATTCATTTAAAGAAGGTAATTGCTTACCTGTTGACATGTCATGCTTGTCTAAGTTTGAAGCATTACGTAAGGCCGTGGTATCCAATCGATCCAATATTGATTTATTATTATTATCAATCTCAACATCACTAGGTGATAATGATGATAATTTACTATTTCCAACATTTGAACCATGATTATTTTTATTTGAAGACTTAATTAAATCTTTCATTTTATCAGAATTAGTTTCTCTCGAGATTTGAGAAAGATCTAAATTTTTATTTTCTTTTACTGCTTTTGTAATCTCTTCATTAGCTTGATCTCGAACCACCATTGTAATGATCTTTCTCCATCTATTTCTACAAGTTAAAGAGGGTCTAAATTCCATCTCAGATGATATCTTTCTCCATTTGGTACCATAAGCTTTCACTTTACTAATAAGTGCTAAATCTTCCTCTAAACTCCAAGCTCTTAATCTTCCTTTACTTCCAGGACCTAACACTTCAATATATCTTTTTGCACATTGATCCTCTGTTCTTCCATCTATCTCTAAAGAGACACTTAACCAATGTGCTCCAAACTTTTCATATGATCGTATCAATTGTTCATCTTCTTCTTTTGTCCATCTACCTTTTTTCAAATTAGGGTCTAATGAACCTGTCCATCTTTTCTTCAAATCCTTAGCTGTTCGTAATTCATTTTTAAATTTCTGAGCCAGTACTTCCCATGGAACTCTCTTACTCACTTCAACAGATTCCTGGATCGTCTTTACTGATTCGATGCCCGCAGGGTATCCCAATTCTTTTAATGCATTACTAATTAATACTCGTAACTCTTCATCTTCCTCTTTAGACCACGAATTTCTACCATTTTTCCTATGGATTTGATACCCCAAGGATTCAGTTATTTCCAATAAATCGAATGTTTTGGCTCTTTTACCTTTGGGTTTCTTTTCTTTCTTCGTCATTTCTGTTTTCCTTTTATTTTGTTTTTATTGACAGAACAACCAAACACTTCTTGTAAGTGTATTAAAACAACTTTTCGTTAGTGGAATGTTCCAACTTTGATAAAATAAAAAAGGCAATAAAGTAGTATTTATAAAAAAATGTAACCCACCTGGTACCTCTTTAAAGTGATCGTTGCTTTATTCTGTCGATTGTTGTTGATGCTCATCGCTAGTCTTTTTTCAAATTTTTTTTTTCTTTCTTTTTTTCTTCTAAAAGCGAAGGATTTCTGAGATCACGTGAAACTGTGTCAATTTTTAGTAAGATATATGTATTTATTGTTATCAATACATAAATGAAATTTAAATGGGAGCCTCGAGAAGTGGTGTGATATTTGAGTTTACAAACAAGAACAATTGCTATGTCTTTAAGTTAAATTTATTATTATTATTATTATATATTACTATTTAGATATATGAAGAGGTATATATATATAATAGGTTAGAAACGCAAAGAATGGAAAGGACATGGATGATGGTTATTGTAGGGCAAAAAAAATGAATAGGTAGAGGCGATGTTTGTTATGAGACATATATATACATATGTTTTTTTTTTTAAAATTGTGGTCCTGCTGCTAATACATCTGGAGTAGCTTTATCTTCATAAGTATGAAAATTTTCAACAAATAATGATGCTAAATTCGTAACAGCTGTATTATATTTAGCTTCACCTTGTGCCCAATTTTTCATTGGGTTTAGTAATTCAGGTGGAACATCACAAACATGTGTTGGTACTTGTAAATTGAATACAGGTAAAGTTTCATATTGTTCTTGTGCTAAGGTTCCATCATGAATAGAATCTAATATAGCTCTAGTATATTTCAATGGACAACGTTTACCACCAGATACATAAGAAGCACCGGTCCAGCCGGTATTAATTAACCAGGCATTAGCATTATGCTTAGACATCTTTTCTGCCAACATAGTTGCGTATCTAATTGGATGTAAAGCTAAGAATGGTTGACCGAAACATGATGAAAAAGTTGGTTCTGGTTCAGTAACACCTTGTTCCGTACCTGCCATCTTTGATGTATAACCTGAAATAAAATGATACATTACTTGTTCAGGAGTTAGTTTTGAAATTGGTGGTAATACACCAGAAGCATCACAAGTTAATAAAACAATGTTTTTTGGATGAGCATCTGCAAAACATGGAATTTTTGCACTTGGAATATATTCAATTGGATAAGCACATCTTGTATTTTCTGTAATTGATTTATCTTCATAATCAACAACACGAGTAGCTGGATCATAAACAATATTTTCAAGGACAGAACCAAATTTAATTGCATTAAAGATTTCTGGTTCTTTTTCTTCCGACAAATCAATACATTTTGCATAACAACCACCTTCAATATTAAAGACACCATTATCTGACCAACAATGCTCATCATCACCAATTAATAATCTATGTGGATCTGCTGATAATGTTGTTTTACCTGTACCTGATAACCCAAAAAATAATGTAACATCACCTTCTTGAATACCTTGATTTGCTGAAGAATGTAAAGTTAAAACTTTATGATGAACTGGCATTAAATAAAACATAACTGTAAAGATACCCTTTTTCATTTCACCTGCATATTCTGTACCTAAAATAATCATTTCCATTGCTTTAAAATTAATTTCAACTGTTGTCTTTGATGTCATATCTTCTGTATTTTTGTTTGCAGGAAATTGACCTGCATTCCAAACTGTGAAATCTGGTTCACCAAAATTTTCTAATTCTTCCTTTGTTGGTCTAATTAACATATTTGTCATAAAAAGTGCATGANGTTCGGGTGTCTGTGAAACCGCCGTAGAGAACGCGGTTTGTTACCATGCGGGAATTCTTCTTCTCCATTAATAATTGGTGTTCGTGTGAAGTGATTTGATGTGCTAGTCGTATTATGTGATGATTATACAGATTGATATATATGGGCATATGTATATGAGGCATATGGGGTGGATGGATTTCACAACTCGTCCATGGTCTCTATGATGGTCTTGATACTGTCAATGACGTTGCTGACACCGACTCTCAGTACCCTGTCGTCGATGGAGGCAAAGGATGCGACGAGGTCGTTACCTTCGGTGGTGTATGTGACTTCGAAATCTTGAGGTTTGAGAATTGGATCCGGTTGTAATACTTTCATAGCTATATTTGCCTGATTAGAATTTTCAAATGGTACATTAAGTGTTCTTTGTATAATGATGTAATGGTAATGTGCGTTTCATTAAGAGACTAGTTAGTAAAAAAAGAAATTGATCAGGATATTTTGTTAGTGTGCGTGCATGCACATATATACTTACAGTGTATGTGATAGTGACATGGTGCGTGGACGTGTATGATCGTAAAATTAGATAGAAGTCCTTCTCTTTCTCCTTGTATGTTACACTTGCTGTTTTGAGAGATGACTTCCTTTAAAGTGGCTATTAGTCCCCAGGAAAAAAAATGACTGAAAAATTAAACCAAAAAACACATACAATAATAATATTTAAAAAGAAGCATAAGTACTAGACCTTTTTTAAAAAGAGATATTATATTAGGAGTTGACTTGAGTTATTGGGAACTTCATAGAGAAACTTATCATCTTTTTAATATATATATATATACAGAATTTATCTTGAATAATGTCTGCTACAACAAAAAAATTAATAACTAAATCATTGCTCGAGGATGGAAACTCAAGATTTAAAGTTACTTATGAACTTACTGGTTCCTCATACACTTCGTTTCAATTAATTGATGAAATGACTCAAGATACTAAAACGTTTGATCAATTCAGTACTCATTATGAAAATCTAACAATTATTGATTCAATTATGTCAGGGATAGGTAGAAAGCCGCAAACAGATTTTTATCAAATTGTAATTAAACCTGTGTTAAACTTTTCAAATATTAAACATGAATATTTAAAGACTGAATCCGCTGATTCAATTGAAACCTTTGCTAAACGATTAAAAACAAATCAAAATTATACAATTATATTTCTTTCTGGAGATACTAGTATTTCTGAATTGGTCAATAATTTACCTGTTTTGATTGACGAAACTACCAAAATTAGAAAATTTATTAAAATTGTACCCATTGCAATGGGTTCAGCTAATGCTTTAGCCAACTCGATTGGACTTGGAAATCCCATAGAAACTTTTGATAATTTTTTACATGGAATGAAACGAACCACTGCATTTCCATTATATAAAGTGATTTTCCCTAATGAGAAACAGATTATCTTTTTCATTATCTTTTCAATGGGGTTCCATGCTAATCTTTTACATCTTTGTACTCTGGATCCTAAATATTCAAGTCTTGGTGTTGAAAGGTTCCAACTGGCAAGTACAGAAATATTAGATAATTATGACCTTAACCTTAAATTAGAAATTAAATTAGCTAAAAAAACAATTGTTTCACAGTTTGCTTATTTTGCTCTTATTAATACTCCAAATTTAGAAGAAAAATATATTCCATCTCCACAATAATATATATATATATATATATATATATATTATCTGCTGGAAAAATTTAAATTTAAATTTAAATTAATTCGTACAGATATTATTCTTTATACCCATCTTTGTACATAAAGAAAAGACAAAATGTGTACTAAATGTCATTACTTGTTGATCTTTTGCCTTTTTAGCCATTGTAACATCATCTGTAACTAAGACAACATAAATAAAATCAGATGATAATCCAATCGTATTATGTTCTTTAAATTTTTGTTGCGCTTTCATTACAGCTTCAATAACAAATTCATCAACATGAGAACGCCATGTAATTTGTTCTTCAACTTCTAAATGTTCTTCAATATCTGCTGCCATATTGCCTGTAAATCTTAATGGTAGTAATTTATCCTCTCTATATAATTGTCTCATTGTAATAATTGCTCTTGCAGCTGCTTCAACAACATTTTCATCCTTTGATTTACGTAAAAATCTTAATTCTTGAAACGTTGTTAAACATACTGCAAATCTTAATAAATTATTTGTAGCAAGTTTATAAATATGAGCAAAATGACGTAACCAGGATGTTGCATCAAATACAAAATATGTAAACTCTTTATTAATAACATCCATTGGACCATTGAAATTATCAAACGTATTTTCTTGTCCCATATATTTTGTAAACCATTCTTCTTCATCTCCAAATAAATTATTTATTGAAGGTTGAACGGGTATTGTTTGACTTGGTGTAATTTCTGCACTTGTTGTAGCTGTTGTAGTTGTTGTTGTTGCTGCTGCATTTGTAAAATTAATTCCTGATGAAGATTTTGAAGAATCTATAGCCACTGATGCACTACCATTATTATTCATTGAAGTTTTATTATCAACCAAATATTTTGTATATAATGATGAACTTATTACATCACCATTCTTATCAAATGATTCTCCATCTGGGAAAAATTTCTTATAACCAAGATAGTCAAATATACTTTCACCAGGTATTAAACTTAAAGATGGAATTGTATTAAAATTAGAATTTATTTCATCAATTTCTTCACACAATGGTATCATTTCATTAAATCTTGTCGAAGTTTCTTCAGTGTATGGAATAGCTTTAAAACAAAACGTTCTTAATACATGTAATGGTTCTACTTGTGGATCATTACAATACACTGAAGCATTATTAGAGATGGCTAAACCAATGTCAAGTTCTTCTGCAATTTTTTTAAACATAAAGATAAGACGTAAAGCTCTTTTCCAAAATTTTTCACCAATTTCATCTTGTGTATCAAAATCTATACCATCAATTGGTAAATCTAAAAACATATGATCTTTAATACCAAGTTGTTGAAAATTTTCAGCTTTTAATGCACCTTTATCACATAATGTATCATACCATAAAGTACCCCAACATTTCCAAACTTCTGGTAATTCTTCATTATTATTGAAGTAAGATAAAAATTCATCTAATGTTTCAAATTTGGAATATTCATTACAAATTTTATCAATACATTCACAATTATGGAAATTATCGAGAGCATATGCGATTAGAATATTTAAGAAACTTGATATAGTATTCCACGGGAAAAGTCTCTTAATCAAAACATTCCAAAACTTTAATGAACTGTCATCATCTTGAAATGTACGACGGGCTTTTGTGGCAGTAGCTACAATAAAATATGCCCATGGTAAGAAATGTGGTAATGCAATTAAAAATGGTCCATGTAAAAATTTCTTTAAAACAATCATACTACATTTTAATGATGTTAAATTCACAAAATCTAATGATTTCAGCCATATATAAATATTAGCTTTCTTAATAGGGGATTTTAAAGAATCAATATTTTCGAAAAATTCTGTTGTAGAAAGTTGTATACTTGTTTGATCAATAGACATATCAGATCCAAAATCTCCACTTGGTTGTAAAATTGAAATCGGAGAATTTACTGTTGTAGTGGTAGTCGAAGAAGTCGCAATACTGGTTGTAGCTGTATTATTAACATTACCATTGTTATTATTATTATTACTATCATTTGTATTATTACTGTTAGAATCTGCAGTTCTTGATCTATTCTTATCTTTCTTATCTTTTCTCTCCTTTAAATATTTAGGTAAATCAAATAAAATGGCAAATGGATTTTTTGGATCACCAAAACCTATTATCTGTAATATATGAGATTCAGCAAATGCTGGTGCATGTCTAAAATAAAATCGTAATGATGATGGAATTTGAGTAAACATTTGTTGTGTTTCAAAAATATTATTTTCATTATAATCAATTCCGAATCTATCTTGGAAATAATTTAACACAACACGTTGTAATTCTGCATTCTCCAAAAAGGTTGGTAATAGCATGACTTCACTATGCTTTAAATAATCAATTAAATCAGAGTTTCTAATATTACCATTGTTAGTTCGATCAACGAAGGTACGTTGGTAAATATTATCAATAACTAATTGCATGTATTGTTGTGAGGGTGTAAAAGTATCCTGACAAAAGACACTTTTACCTAAATTAACGAAGGCTTCTAAAGTATTTTGTTGAACAGTTGACATATGGTAATATAATTTACCATGACTATATGTAAATTTCATTGCCTCTAAATACCAATATTCTGCACTTAATTTCCAATCTATGAATCCCGATGGATACAAAGCAATTGCCATTCTAGATAAATCACCTAATCTTTGTAACCATGGAATGGAATGTTTTGGAGGTATATCTATAAGCATTGTGGATAAAGAGATAAAAACATGGGTAATAAATTGTGAACAAACATCAGGATCCATGAAATTTGAAAAATTTTTCAATACGTCTAAGAAAGTAATTGTACCATATACCCATAATCTTCTTTCAATTCTATAAATCTCTATGATTTCTTCACCAATCAAGATATCTTGTTGTGATTGCGAAGGTAATAATGCAGTGGTAATGAAAGTAGTATAATTATTAATTAGATCAATATTAATTTTGTAAATTGTCCATAAATTTTTCAATTCGGTTGTTTGTGATGTAGTTAATTGTGCACAACGATCTTGTAATTCGATTTCTTGTTTTACAATTAATTTATAAATATCTTGAAGTTTTTGAATCAATGCTTGTCCAGTCTTCTTCCCATTAGTTTTATCACTAGAGCGATTGTTATCGGGATTATTCCCGTCATTGTTGTTATTATTGTTATTATTAATATTATTATTATTATTGTTATCATTATTTGTGTTTGTGTTACTATTGTCCTCATTATTAAAATTATCCTCTGAATTTTTTTTATTGCTATCATAATTATTGTCGTCGCCATTAGAATTCGTGGTGTCATATTGTTGATTATTCTGTGGTATATTTGGACTTTCTGCATATCCTGTCATTGATGCGAGTTTGTCATTATTCGGTATAATGGTATTAATCGGTTGTTGTTGAGGTTGATGGAATGTTTCATACGTAGTGGTATTATTATTGGCATTATTCAATTGTTGTTGATTCATGGTATGTTCAGGAGATATAGTTGGAGATCTATTTGAAAAAATAGTATTTTCTAAGGGTGAATTAGCCTGAGTTGGAATTCTATTGGGACTCACACCTGAACTATTATTTATTCTTGATGAAGAAACTTGGTCATAATTATTATTATTATTATGAGGGGTGCCAGCTCCAACTAAGGGACTTTTCATCATCATTGATGGATCTGATATAATATATGATGGTTGTGGAGTAACATTTATTACTTTCTTATATGTAGGATCCATTGAAGGTGTTGAAGGTGGTGGAGTTGAATTTTCATTAAGCACATTAGATAAAAATTGATTTGATATTGAATTTCTTAAACAACTAGTAACAGCATTAGCTTGTTGTGATGAGGATAATAACAGTTGCTCATTTTTAATTGAATCAGTCATCAAAAAATTTGAAGGATTCATAAAATCTGGTTTTGTTATTCGTCTCTTATTTCCTACAGGAGGAATTCCCGGTGAATATCTCTTTGGACGTGATGACGATGATGCACCATGTGGTAACAATGGTTTATTCTTCTCTTTATTATTACTATTATTACTAGTGGGATGACCACTATTAAACCTACTCATAGTAATACTTACGTTCGATAATCCTTTATGATTTATAATATTATTGTTATTGTGAGGGAGTAGAAAAAGATCGTGAGCAGAAGATGATTTTTGTAAAGGATAGTTCTTTATACGTGAATTTTCTGAGTAATTGATTGGATGTATAGACAATTCAGACATATTATATATGTCAGATGATAGGAACGTGATGTATTTTGTAAATAATATATGCTAAGGGAGGGTGTTGATGGTGGTTAAAAATAAATAGATAAACAAATGCTTAAATTTTATTATTATTATTCTCTCTTATTTGTTTATCCCCCTAGTTTGATAGAAGTTTAAAGTATGAATGATCTTATTAAAATAAACAAAATGTATCCAAAATAAAATATTTTTTTCTGTTTCTCTCTCTCTCTCTCTCTCTCCTTGCTGTACCAAAAACAAAACAAAGTGTAGAAAAAAAAATTATAAAAAAAGAGGAGAAAAGAATTAAATATAAAATGCCCTTATTGATCTTTCAAATAAAGATTGAAATTAAAGTATAAGTTAAGAATAGAAGTTAAAGATAAAACTTATTAAATATATAAAAAATTCAAACAATGGAAATAAATAATGATTTAATAATAAAATTACCCTTGAAATTTTGGCAAAAGACGTAGACTTTAATATTAGGAATCAAAAACTGTGTGTACCAGAGAGAAGGGAAAAAACCGTTAAGTACTACCAACTCCTAGACCTTAAAAGACAATCAAAACAACTTTTTTAAACAGCCAAAAGAAGAGAAAATTTGTTTTCTTTATTGTGCAACGTAAACCAGTTCGGGTGTCTGTGAAACCGCCGTAGAGAACGCGGTTTGTTACCATGCGGGAATTCTTCTTCTCCATTAATAATTGGTGTTCGTGTGAAGTGATTTGATGTGCTAGTCGTATTATGTGATGATTATACAGATTGATATATATGGGCATATGTATATGAGGCATATGGGGTGGATGGATTTCACAACTCGTCCATGGTCTCTATGATGGTCTTGATACTGTCAATGACGTTGCTGACACCGACTCTCAGTACCCTGTCGTCGATGGAGGCAAAGGATGCGACGAGGTCGTTACCTTCGGTGGTGTATGTGACTTCGAAATCTTGAGGTTTGAGAATTGGATCCGGTTGTAATACTTTCATAGCTATATTTGCCTGATTAGAATTTTCAAATGGTACATTAAGTGTTCTTTGTATAATGATGTAATGGTAATGTGCGTTTCATTAAGAGACTAGTTAGTAAAAAAAGAAATTGATCAGGATATTTTGTTAGTGTGCGTGCATGCACATATATACTTACAGTGTATGTGATAGTGACATGGTGCGTGGACGTGTATGATCGTAAAATTAGATAGAAGTCCTTCTCTTTCTCCTTGTATGTTACACTTGCTGTTTTGAGAGATGACTTCCTTTAAAGTGGCTATTAGTCCCCAGGAAAAAAAATGACTGAAAAATTAAACCAAAAAACACATACAATAATAATATTTAAAAAGAAGCATAAGTACTAGACCTTTTTTAAAAAGAGATATTATATTAGGAGTTGACTTGAGTTATTGGGAACTTCATAGAGAAACTTATCATCTTTTTAATATATATATATATACAGAATTTATCTTGAATAATGTCTGCTACAACAAAAAAATTAATAACTAAATCATTGCTCGAGGATGGAAACTCAAGATTTAAAGTTACTTATGAACTTACTGGTTCCTCATACACTTCGTTTCAATTAATTGATGAAATGACTCAAGATACTAAAACGTTTGATCAATTCAGTACTCATTATGAAAATCTAACAATTATTGATTCAATTATGTCAGGGATAGGTAGAAAGCCGCAAACAGATTTTTATCAAATTGTAATTAAACCTGTGTTAAACTTTTCAAATATTAAACATGAATATTTAAAGACTGAATCCGCTGATTCAATTGAAACCTTTGCTAAACGATTAAAAACAAATCAAAATTATACAATTATATTTCTTTCTGGAGATACTAGTATTTCTGAATTGGTCAATAATTTACCTGTTTTGATTGACGAAACTACCAAAATTAGAAAATTTATTAAAATTGTACCCATTGCAATGGGTTCAGCTAATGCTTTAGCCAACTCGATTGGACTTGGAAATCCCATAGAAACTTTTGATAATTTTTTACATGGAATGAAACGAACCACTGCATTTCCATTATATAAAGTGATTTTCCCTAATGAGAAACAGATTATCTTTTTCATTATCTTTTCAATGGGGTTCCATGCTAATCTTTTACATCTTTGTACTCTGGATCCTAAATATTCAAGTCTTGGTGTTGAAAGGTTCCAACTGGCAAGTACAGAAATATTAGATAATTATGACCTTAACCTTAAATTAGAAATTAAATTAGCTAAAAAAACAATTGTTTCACAGTTTGCTTATTTTGCTCTTATTAATACTCCAAATTTAGAAGAAAAATATATTCCATCTCCACAATCTGACCCTTTTATGAGTCAATTACATATCTTAGGTTATTCTTCTGATTTATCACCACGACAGTTGACAGACAATATTTTAAACGGTTATACTTTAACACGGGGTGATCATGTTGCAGGATCTGGTACTGTTTATGAGTCAGTCACAGAAGACTTCGATATTACAATCAAGACTGAAATACAAAAGGATCCTAAATATATGATGGATGTATGTTGTGATGGGATTTTAGAAAACTTAAATGATATGACGTCAGAAGATTTAAAAATCATTAAAATTAAATTCTTAAAACCTAATGACTTGGCATTTAACTTAGAGATTATGCAACCAGAAAATTAATAATACGCTAGCTGGTTTGTCATTTTTTAAACACCTAAATCAATAATGTTACAATTTTTTTTTGCATTAGATATTAACAGATACACAAAATCATATATCTACATATTTCTTAGTATTTTCTCTTAAATTATACTATCTATTCTTATCAATCATTCTTACTTTTCTTGGAGTCTGTACTATTACTAGTATTATCATCTTCATCCTCATCATCCTCTTCTTCCTCAAACGCACGTTTATTTCCAGGAGTACTATTTTGACTAGATTCCTCTATATCGTTTTGAGTTTCCTGTTTACCAAATGAAAAGGTTGGTTGAAATTTACTGAATGGATTAATACCACTTGGGGACGATCCCGTTAAGTCAAATGATGCACTAAATGGATTCTTGGTAGCATCAACACTTGTAAGATTTGCTCCTTTTAAAAAAATACTACTTCCCGGTGCGAATGGTGAATTATTAGCTTTAAAGGGCGATGGTGTTTGAGCCCTTAGTGAGATGTCCAATTCCTTTTCAGATTTGAAAGACGTTTCCGCTTCCGAATATTTAGCCTTATCATTATCAACAGTTACTACTGTTTCATTTCCACCTTCACTCACATCTTGATCATCATCTTGCTTAGCGTTGCTTAATTGCGACTCCAGAGAAGATATCTTTTTTTGAAGAAAAGTTAATTTCATTGACACTTGTTGTTGACCTTCCTCAAATGATTTCCTCTTTACCTCTTGCAGGTCCTCAGTATGGGCTGATTCAAGTTTAGTTTCAATCTCTGATTGAATTTGTTCTTTAATTTTGCCAAACACTGGAGTTTCAAGAAGTTCCTTTGCTTTTGCTTCAACTTTTTTGTCAAACTCTTGATCCAGCTCATTTTTGTGATCAACAATACTTTTATTTATTTCATTCTTAGATGATTCGCTGACCTCTTCCTTTATTTTTTCAGTAGCTTCTTGAATTCGTTGTAAAACTGCACTTTCATTGTCTTCTTCCCATTTTTTCTTCAATGCATTAACGTCCACTATCGTTTCCTGGACCGTTCTTACATTCTCTCTCATATTATCCTCAAGTTCAAGCTGTAACTTTTCACCTTGGTCCTTCAATTTTTTCTCAAATTCTTCAGTTTGATCCTTGATAAATTGAATCTTTTCATCTTCAAATGTTTTTCTCATATTCTCAATAACCTTACCATAATCATCTGAATCATCATTGCTTACAATAGTGCCAAGTTCGGTTGTTTTGGCCTCCTCCAATTCTGATTTTAGGTTATTTATTTCAACGTTAAGTTTTTCTATTAATCCATTAGACTTTTCCATTGTATCATTGAGTTTATACTCAATCTCCCTCGAATGGATCTTTGCATATTCCAGCTCCTTCTGTAGCTCTATCACCACATTAGATCTGTTATCAAAATCGCTTACCATTTGTTCTAATGAGGATGCCCTTGCCATTTCATCTTCTAATTTAGATACTAACTGAATGTTCTCCTGTTTCAAGGTATCCATTTGGGATGACAATGCCTCCGATGCTAACTTCGAACTGTGTAATCTTTCGTGCGCCTGTTTCTTCAATCTATTAAATCTATCTTCTAATTCTTCGTTTTTCTTTAACAAATCACCCATCTCTGTATGTTGATCATTTATTTCATTTACATCTCCAGCGTGTACAGCTTTCACCGACTCTATGGACGATGCCTTCAAACCTTCATTCTCTTCATTAATGTTGTTCAGTTGGGTCTTCAAATTAGAAATTTCAGTTTGAGAGACGATTATTTGTTCGGTTAAAATATCACATTTCGTTTCTGCCTTTTCCATCTTCTCTTGCAAAATATTGTTTAGTTCCTGTAGAGATTCCATTTGCTTGGGATCCACTTCCATCTTAATATCCGGAAATTCTTTACTAACATTATCATTCTGTTTTGAATTTTCTGAACTCGAATGTTCGTTTAAGGAAGTATAGTATTTCTGTTGAATTTCATCATTTATTATTTTTTGTTGTTCAAGTTCCTCTGCCAAATTCAATATTTTAGATTCGTAGTTTTCTTTGTTTGCAATCTTAGTCAGTTCGATCTCCGATAATTTGGACTGAAATTCAGCTTCCTTTTCTCCTAGCTGAGTTTTCTGATTAATCAACTCAAGTTTTAATTCATCAATATTTTTCTGAAGATCCTCTTTGTTTTGATTTAGTTCTTTTGTTGTATTTTCTAGAACTATTTCAAGGTCTTTAACTGTCTTCTTCTCATCTTCATATAATGTAGTCATATTTTGTAACGACGTTTGGATCTCCGAAACTTCAATTTTATATTTTTTGGACTCGACTAACGTTTTGTTCAATGATTGCTGAACTTCGTTGAGTTGAGCCTCTAGCTTTTCTTGGGCAGGTGATTTTTGGCCATCGTTAATTATTCTCTTATATGAGTTAATGGCAACATTCTTATCTACTATTTCATTTTCAAGTACTTTTAGATCAGATAGTAATTGTTCAATTTTGGCTGAACGTTCTTCAATAGAGTTTTTTAACATATTTATTTCAATATTTGATGTTTCTATCTTGACTTTATACCACTCAGTCTCTTTATACCGGTTGGCGAGAAGTTCTCTCAGTTCATCATCTTTTACGCTCAATCTTTTACGCGATTCGGAAAGGCTTTCTTCTAGGTTTAGGATAGTTTCCTTATATGTAGTATCCTTAACAGACCAAAGTATTTCGTTCTCCTTCAAAGTAGCCTGTGCTTTAGAAAGATCGATTTTGAGAGAATTTCTTTCTTGGTTACTATTGGATAATTTATCTTTGAAGTGGTCTCTATCCTTAAATGCACTTTCTTTTTCAACCTCATTGCTTTTCAAGATTACATTTAATGTAGTCAGTTCTGATTTGCATTCAACGAACTCTTTTAAGGTTTTATTCATCCTTTTCTCTTTGTTACCTAAATTTTCCTCCAAATGACTATTTCTCAAGGTCAATTGTTTATTATCTGTCTTCAGCAAATCCATCGAATTCTGAATAACCATTAATTTTTGATTCATTAATTCATTCTTGGATTTTTCCTTTTCATATTCCAGTGTGGACGTGGATAGTTTGGTTGTTATCTCCTTTAGTTTATTCTGAAGAGATGTCTTTGTTTTCAAAGTAGTATCTATTGTAGTTTGCAACGTTTTTTGCAAGTCACTTATCGTTTTCAAATGCATTTGATCGGTTTTATTGTTTTCACCTATATTTTTATCACTATGGCTTAGCGGGTTGTCAACCTTTAAGTCACCGTGCCCTGGTGTATTGTTTTCAAATATTTTCAATTTTCTCTCCAAGTAATTATTACGTGCTTCCAATGTAAGGATAGCTTCTTTGGCGTCTTGGATTATTTCTCCTTCAGAATTACTTTCCATTTTACTATTGAGTGTCTCAAGATATTCAGCACGAGATGAGAGCTGGTCTACAGTGCTTAATAGTTTCATGTTCTGTTGCTGTAATTCCAATATATTTTTAAATTTTTCGGCATTTTCTGCTATCACTAAGGATGTATCATTGTTATAAACTGGAGCATTTTCTTCATCATCTAAAATAGATTTCAAATAAACTCCTTCCTCGGCTGTCATAGGATAATTACCATTTCCACAAATTTCCATATTGACTAGAAGATATTTAACCTGATTTGCCAAGTGTTTGCGTTGGCTTCTAAGATGAGTGACTGAGTCATTTAATTCTGTTATCTGCTTATCCTTCTCATGAATCGCTTTTAAATTAGTTTCATTATCATTGGAGGTATGTTCTAACAGAAGAGAGATATTGGTTAATTCATTTTCTAGAGAGGCCGTTTTATCTTTAAATGAATTAATCGCTGGGACCTTAGTTTGAAGATCAGATATAAATATTTCAATTTGTTGCTCTAGACGTTCTTTAATGTACCTTTCATGTTTTAATTCTTCTCGTAAAATGGTAATGTCACTTTGCAATTTTATACTATTATCTTCGTTACCCTCCGAGTCGTCATTTTGTTCATTTAACATTAGTTGATTTACATAAGCCTCCAGATGAGCTCTCTCTTGCTCTGAATATTCTAATCTTTTCTTTAATGTCGAAAGCTCTTGAGACAGTTCATCAAAACCTTTTTTTGTATTTTGCGATGACAACTCCTCTCTTCCAAATTGAGCTTTTAATTTTTCTTGAAAGTTTTTAACTTGTCCTTCTAGGACACTTATAAGCTCTTTTTGAGAATCAGTTTCATGACAATATTCTTCTTTATTAAGTTTAACGGTAAATTTTAAATCATCTATTAAATTTGAGTTTTCTTGACCTTCTTTATCCAACCGATCATATTTCTCGACTAATGACGAATGTTTGTCTTTTATATCCTTTAATTCATTTTTACATGAGAGAAGATCATTAACAGATTTCGATATTATATTTTCTTTACTTGTTCTATAATCAGAGAATTGATGACTTTTATTTTCCAATTGGGCAATTAAAGAATTTTTTTTCCTATCTGAATCTCCTAAGAGATGTTTAGTCTTTTCCAATTCTGCGTGTAATGATAAATTTTCTGATTGAGTTTCTCCAAGTTCATCAATTATTCTTTGATATCTTTGATTTTGCTCTTTATTAGTCTCCAAAGTACTCGTAATCTGTGATTCCATTCGTACTATTTCATTTATCTTTTCATTTAATAATTTAACTAGATCCGTCTTTGTTTGTTCCTGATCTTTAATATGAGCGTTCAATTTATCTATTTCAACCTTTTGCTCATTATTATTTACTTGAGATTTAATATCAATGTTTTCTCGCTTAAAAATCTCATTCTCTTTAGCTAACTGTTCCATAACCAGTTGTATATCATTTTCCTTTTCGGAATCTGCCCTTATTTTCCCTATCTTTGAATTCAATTCAATGTTAGAGTTTTGCAAATCATTAAACTCTTGTAATTTCTTTTGTAATATCACCAATGTATTCTCATCGAACGTGCTCAATTGTGTAACAGGTATATGGAAGAATGTTGATATCCCCTTCAAGTCCATATTGTTGGTACGATTACCATCTTCTGACATATTTTAGTAACCTGGTGTATATTTTACAATGAAAAATGGAGTATTATTTCCAAATAAAGTTATTATACTTTCTTTTCAGTTAATAGATACCAAAACAAATACACAAATATACTAGTCTGATATTATGAAATCAAATAAATAAATAAAGTGAAAAAAATATTTCGTACCCTCAGCGGTTGTTTTTCTATGTCTCGTTCCTTATTGGCTATCTACACAATGAGCTTATACTTTAGTTAGGTTCTTCCTTCCAGACCCCAAACTTTAAAATCAAAACATTTAAAACCAAGTATCATTTCCTACGAAATATTTCCTTTTCCGAAAAAGAAGAATACCAAACAGTTTCATGACTGCACATCCGTACATCCAAACATTTTTTCAAAATAAAAAATTTCCAAAAAAATTTCAAAATATGTGAAAAACATTTCATTTTTTTGTAATTACTGTGTGTGTCCGATATTATAAAAAGTTGCGAAGAAATAGTCGTACAAGACTGAAGTTTACAGACGCGTTGAGCCACACATTGACAACTTTTTGAGTAGAATCATAGAAAATTTCAATCTCGCAGGGTTGGCCAGAGATAGTAGTTAGTGATGGTAGTGAGTAGCTGCTGGGTTAGGTAACTAATGTTCGTTTACACCAATAAGCAAAGATACTCCCTATCTGGTGAAGGTTTGGTGATAGATAGTGCTAGAAGTGTATAACTTAATAGGTTATAAGAACGTGCTAAGTAGCTGTTACTATTGATTCGTATTCATTATTATAGAAGGAATACGAGACCAAGATTCAAAGATGCAAATGTATGTGAATTAAGTTGAAGGGTTAGATTACTGTATGGAACTTTGATTGAATTAAACGGAATATAAGATGAATAGACCGATGATAAGAGACATAAGATATACCAAAAGAAAAAAATAGTAAATTTGGGGAACATTTATGAGCAAGAATCGATTGAGTTTAAATTATTATTGCCAACCAGAATGCAAGGTTATACACTCTACCATATGAAAGTCTTCAAAGACACAAAAGACATTGAAACTCTAACAAGATATGAAAAGAAACCACTTATAACATGAATAACAACACCAAGTATTAAACAATGTCCGTACTTAATAATGTCAATATAAGAAATACAAAACAAACGAAACCCTAATATCTAAACGCTTTTTAAGTTAAAATCTCTTTCTTTTTTACTAACAACCAAATTAAATTTATTCTATTGATCCAATAAAAGAGGAGTGTATTTTATCACATGTACATATTTCATTTATTTTCTCTCGTTGAAATCAATAGTGTATTTTTTCGTTATTTTTTAATTTAGTTTCGTCAAAACTTTAACAGGTAAGACCATTACCTTGGAAGTCGAATCCTCCGACACCATTGACAATGTTAAGTCCAAGATCCAAGACAAAGAAGGTATTCCACCTGATCAACAAAGATTAATCTTTGCTGGTAAGCAATTAGAAGACGGTAGAACTCTATCTGACTACAACATTCAAAAGGAATCTACTCTACATTTGGTTCTAAGATTGAGAGGTGGTATCATTGAACCATCCTTGAAGGCTCTAGCTTCCAAGTACAACTGTGACAAATCTGTTTGTCGTAAGTGTTACGCTAGATTACCACCAAGAGCTACTAACTGTAGAAAGAGAAAGTGTGGTCACACTAACCAACTACGTCCAAAGAAGAAGTTAAAATAGTTGCATTCGCTCTTTATTCAATATTTGCATGCATATTATTTTCTCTTTCTCTATCTTTCCCTTTCCAACTTACATTTGGTCAGTTATCCTGGTTTAAATAGACATATATAGTAGTATATTACTTATAGTATATTAAAATCGATAATAATATTTACTTTTAAAAACTAATATTTTTGTAATGTAACAAAAAAAGTATTGATAAATAATAATAAAAAGAATTTAAACAAAACATAATATTTCATTTATTTTATTTGTTTGTCATTAAAAAGGGGGATTATATATATAAAAAAAAAAGGTTATGTTGAAAGAATAAATACAAAATGTTGGAGTATGTTAGTGCATGTGTGTCATTCCGACATCACAGCTATAATAATAGTCGTAGTAATAATAGTAATAGTAATAATAATAATAATAATAATAATAATAATAATAATAATAATAAAGGTCATTAATCCCCCATGCATTTCTCATTTCTTGTATTAATTGTTCGTTAGTGAAACAACATAATTGTAATTAAATTTCTTTTATTAAATCATAAACTTCTTTCATCTCTATCACTTTCAACAGATTCCAACATTTCAATATCTTGATTATTTCTTTCAATTTCTTCTTCATCATCAACCAATTTTTGAGCATCAATTGTATCATTATAACTTCTGAAACATAGCCAGAATAAGCAACCTGCAATGAAACAAGCCACAGCAAGACCACCAAACAACCAGGTGTAATCTGGATCCTTTGAGACAGGAGACAAAGCACAACCAATGGCTGAACCAAAGGCATTAGTCACTAAGAAGATGGACATAATAAATGATTTCATTGAATCTGGAGCCTTTGAATAGGCGTATTCTAAACCTGTAATAGATGCAAAAATTTCAGAGAAAGCAATTAAAACATATGCAGGAACTTGCCATCCGACATGGACATGGTTTGGACCGGAACAACTTAATGGATGATCATAACATGGTCCTGCACTATAAATGAAATGTTGTAATACACAAGACCAAGTCATTGCCAAAGCACCAAATGTAAAACCCCAAAAGATTTTAGTAATTGGCTTAAATGGAGTAAATCTTCTAATGAATGGATATAAGAAACCTTCAAAGATTGGAATGAAAACAATTAAAGCGATAGAATCGATAGCTTGAAAGAAATCATTTGGTAGACCATGTAATTCTAACATTGAACCTTGTGTAACAAAAGTACTAATCATTTGACCGTAACAAGTCCAATAAATTGGGTAAAATAAGAAAACTTTACAAGCGGCTAAAGAAACTTTAATTTCATCAACAAATTTATCACTCCATGGATAATTTTTCTCTGGATTAATTGAAGGTTTAGCTAAATCGAAATTAAATTTATTTCTAATTAAAATCCATAAGACTTTAAAACATTTTGATATAACTTTATCACCAATTGGAGGCCGAATATATTGTTTCCTACCAAATACTAAAACTACAACGGCGACCCAAAAGAAGCAAAATGGTAATAAATAAGCAGCCCAAAAACCTTTATGAGATTCTAATTCAGTAGTAGCGATAACGGAAAGAGAACCAACATTAATCATTAAATAGAAGAACATGAAAACATTTTGTAAAGTGATATTTGGATCTTCAATGACTCTTTCACCTGATTTTAAAGTCTTTACAGTTGGTTTTCTCTTTGGTAATTGATCTGCGATTAAGACAGATAAATTTGCTTTAATCATACCTGTTGCAATACCAATTAAAATAATTGAAGCAATAAATCCACCAAGACCTGTATTTTTATCAGTAATTGATGGAATTGAGGTAATGAAAAGAATGAAAATACCAACTAAATAAATACCTGTACCAACTGCAATAGTATTATATTTCCCCCAATAAGTATCAGCCATATAACCACCAAAAATTGGTGTAATATAACACCAAAATTGGAAAAAATATGATAAACCAGTTGCACCTGAACTGTCTAATTGTAAAAGACCCTTTGGTGAATCATCTGGACCATTTGACATATAATTTTGAAAAGGTGCAGATAAACCATAATAAGAGAATCTTTCAGATAATTCGACTAAAGCAATTAACCAACATCTGAATGGGATATGACCTGAAACATGTCTTAAAGTATCCATTTCTTCTTGAGTTGGTACTTCACCATCTTCAAAATTTTGGTCATCAAGGATTGCGATATCTGTATTATTTTTATCACTAATTTGATAAGTTTCTGTATCAATAAAATGTTCTTCTGTTGATACTGCAGTCTTTTTCAATTCAATAATATTATCTTTTTCATCTGAAAAATCTGTTGTATCCAGTTTTTCTAAACTGTTTGAATTATTTGGTGCCATAATATAAGTATATATATATATGGTATAGAAATATTATGTGCGTGTATCTCCTGTGTTATTATATGATAATAAATAAAACTAAAATTAATCCAAAATATTAATAGTAATAAAATAACAAACCAATTTAGAAATAATGTATAAATCGAAAAGAGAGAGGACTATAATAACCTTGACTTATATATCAAAAAAAAACAAAAGTAAAAATGTATTGATCTTTCGATATACTATCTAAAAGAAAATATGGAAGAGGGGGTGAGTTTATACTATTCAAGCATGCAATAACGATTAAGAAAGACAAAGAAAAATATTATTCATCAAGATTTGCTTTAACTATCGAAATTGTTATTTTAATTTTCCCATGGAAGAAAGTTATGTAAAAAAAAAAAGAAACAGACTTAGATAAAGCTATAAACTGATAAAGATAGATAGATACTCATTACATCAACACATCGTTCTCCTCGTTTTTTTCCCTCTTCTGCTTCAAATTCTAGTAATTCTTGCATCTTGCTGATGATGATGACGATGATAATCATTTATATTTTACTCTCTAAACCTCTCGAAGAAACCAACTGATCAATGTGAATGTTCTCCGTGCAGATGAAAAAAATCCTTCCCTCATCATCCATCCACTCAAATTTTTTGTTGCTTGACTGATAATTTTTCACTTTGTTTAACTATCACCACACAGAGACACTGAGAGGGCAGAGAGCATGACGCTGACACATTTTTTTTATTATTTCTCATTCAATTAACAATTACCAGTAACAAGTCCCCGTAGAAACTATCAAAAAACACAACAATTTCTTTTTCTCTTCCATTAAAAAATTTTAATTTGTAATAACAAAGAAAGACAAAACTGACAAACAGTCGTACAAACACACCAAAAGACAAAGAGCGAAAACGGGTATATTCTAAAATAATTTTTTTTGTTTTTTGTCACAAAACGGGTGTCTCTTCTGGGTTATCTGAGTGGCCGCATCTCACTTTCATTATCAAGAAAACGATCCAGATCACACAGATAAGCCCGTAGTTCGGGATGGAAAGTGCCTAATGACACATAAAATATGTGTCGTCGTCGTCGTCCTCTCTCTTTACTAAGGGAAAGAGAGAGACAGAGAGAGAGAGGTTGCTTGGTTGTGTAATTTTCGAGGGTGGATTGGTCAAATTTTATGATAAGCAGAAAGAATATGTGTAATTAATTATACAGAAGTTTCTATATCTGATACACTATTTCGGTGTTCATTATTGGCTATTGTATATTGTACAGATACTAAGTTGTTCTTGTTTTTCGATTAATTTTGGTGCCGTAGTGACTAGTTATGATTGTTTTCAATATTGTGTGAGGTGACCGGCACCGGTACCGTTTATCTATGACGACTATACAATGTATATACATATTTTTGTGTCAATGGTTACTATTATATTACAATAATGAGAATGTGTCTTATCTCTTTTATTTGTATTGTATATATCCCTTTACCGGGGTCAAAAAATTGTTAGCGTCGGTCTCTTTTTTTTGTGTTGTGTTGCTTAAAGCTTTATCTCTGCTTGGCTTTTTGACTAATTATTAAGATTTGTTGTGAACACACAGCCTCACAATCGTGTCTTTTTATTATCGCTAATATATTGAGTACTATGAATTGTTATCAATTTTCACACGAGAAGTTAGTCAAAAGACATTTTTTGCGATTGTGGAAAGTCTTTGTCTTGCCAAGTAATTTTCTTAATTTTAAAATTGAAATCGCTTACATGCTTAAGGGTGTGTCAAGTATCAAGCTAATAAAACATTTTTTTATTATCATTAATGATATGTCATATCACACTTGATTGATATCTTGAAAAGGGTGTATTTCATGAGTCACACATATATATACATACATACATACATACATACATATACATTAATTCATTCATTTTTGCAAATAGCAATTACCTCTTGAATACCCTTCATTCTTCATATATATGGTATTGAATTGTATTGTATTGCATTGTATTGAAATAGTTATGGGTATTACTAGAACATCATGTCGTACACTGTGATGGCGCTTGAGCCGTACTAAACTTGTTAGTGAAAAATTAAATTTTGGTGGAAAAAAATAAAAATTTTTTTTTTTCTTTCTTTTTCACGATGGGTGAAAAATTATTCAATTAGATTAATTCGATGACCTAATAATTATATAGATATGTACATATAGAAAATTTTGTTTTATATAGCAATTGAAATATAAGTAGATATATATATACATTTATATCAAAGATATACACGGTATTTGTTAAACCATACAGACTATATAATATACAATATGGCCTCTGAAAAGAAAGAAGATAGAGCTCCAAAATTAAGTGAAAAGGAGAAAAAGAAAGAAGAAGAATCAAGTTCAAGTGATTCATCATCATCAAGCTCTTCAAGCTCTTCAAGTTCCTCAAGTTCCTCAAGTTCTTCAAGTTCTAGCAGCTCAAGTGATTCTTCATCTAGCGACTCATCCAGCAGCTCCAGCTCCAGTTCCAGTTCTAGCAGCTCCAGTGACTCATCTTCTTCTTCATCTAGCAGTTCCAGTTCTAGTTCATCCGATTCCGATTCTGATTCTAGTTCCTCCGATTCTGATTCTAGTTCCTCCGATTCTAGTTCTTCTAGTTCCTCCGATTCTAGCTCAAGCTCTTCAGACTCAGACTCAGACTCAGACTCTAGTTCCAGTTCTAGCTCAAGCTCTTCAGACTCTAGTTCCAGCTCCAGTTCTTCAGATTCAGATTCAGACTCTAGCTCCAGCTCTAGCTCCAGCTCCAGCTCTTCTGATTCTGATTCGGACTCAGACTCAGACTCTAGCAGCAGCAGCAGCAGCAGCAGCAGTGATTCTGATTCTAGTAGTAGTTCAAGTGATTCCGATTCTAGCAGCAGTTCCAGTGAATCCGAAACTGAAGATAATAAAAGAAAAATTGAAGAATTACCAGAAAATTCTGAAGAACAATCAAGTAAAGAAACTAGTATAGAACCTAGTGATAATGATTACAATAAGAGACAAAAATTGAATATATCGGCTGGTTCAGATGATCTTAAAGATGGTCAAAGAAGACACTTTTCAAGAATTGAAAGATCTAAAATTTCGTTTGAAGCTTGGGAATTAACTGACAATACATACAAAGGTGCCGCTGGTACTTGGGGTGAAATGGCAAATGATAAATTAGGAAGAGTTAGAGGTAAAGATTTCACAAAGAATAAAAATAAGATGAAAAGAGGTGGTTACAGAGGTGGTTCAATTACCCTTGAAAGTGGTTCCTACAAATTCACCGATTAAGACACCCCCCACCCCAATAACATATAAACATATAAATAACTTATTAAATAAGTAAAAACAATAAAGAAATTGTAAATTATATTATCAATATTTTATTTGAATATTTGGTTCTTTTTTTGTATAAGTCCATTCTTTATTTTATTAATTACAAACTAGCAATATATATATATATATATTTGTATGATATTAGGTTCTAATCCATGAAACTAATAACCCTCGTTCTACGTTTTGATAATGTATTATTTCTTTTCAAAGTTTCATTGGCCTTTGTATCATTGAAGTCCGCATTTGTAAGACCGTTCTCAATCAATACATCCATATCATGATCTGCACAGATTGGTACTTCATCATTAAATATAAAATAATCATTTTCAATGATTTTTTTACAAATAAAACATTTCAAACAATCAATATGAAATCTTTCCATGTTATCATTCTCTAAACATTCCCCTTCTATAAATCTTGAACAAACTTGACATATACTATGATTCTCTTCATGATAATGTTGTTGACAATAAGGTTTATCATTAAGAATATAACATGGTACCTTCTTATTGAACTTTATAGAACAATTAGAACATCTAAAACAATTACGATGCCATTGTCCCGATAATTCATTTTCATTTTTTGAAAATACACCTTTCTCCAGGATATCTTTACCACAAAGTCTACATGGACCTTCACCTGGAGCATATTTAATTTCAGGCATTTGTTGTTGGATATCTTTATCTTCAGGTAAATCTGGTTGTGAAAACAATTTATCCTTGGATGCAAATTTGAAAAAAGTTGGTGTACCATCAAAAGTTCCTGTTGCTTTGGGATTAGTTCCACTATTGAATGAATCATTATCACTATCTTTGGAAGGTGGTGATGATCCTTGACTTCTCAATGGGAATCCCGATAAATATGCACTTGATTTTTTCATTCGTGGGTCCTCTATCGACACCGATGTAGTCTTAGAAGATGAAGATTCATCCGAATTAGAACTACTCCCATTATGACCAGAGAGTAATGTTTGTGATATTTGTTCATTCCTAGAAAATGAAACATCATCCAATTCAGCAATCAATTGTTCTACTTGTAAATTCTTGGATACTATTGTATCTGATGCATGTTCTTCTTGTTGGAAATCTAATTGAACCTCGTTATTCTCTGAAGAATGTTCATCTGTAACTTGTTTTGTCAATATATGATCTGGTTCAAAGTTTACGCTATCTGTCTTCAAGGATTCTATATTATTATTATTACTATCATTATTATTTGGTTCATTAACCAAAACAGTTGGAATTTTAAATCCCAAATCCAATTCCTGAACTGGAGATGGAAGCCTTTTAAAATGTGAAGATGTAGAAGAATGTGAAGAAGTAATAGATTGATCAACATTACTATTACCCCTTGAGATATGATTATTCATATTAATACCATGATTACTGTTTTTTCGTGATTGAGAAATTATTGAATGTGAATCATTTTGAGTTAGCATCATAAACGATCTATCAATTGGGTTCATATCTTCATTTACATCATCTGTATTGTTTGTCTCAAAATTAAAAGGTTCTTGTGAATGATGTGGATTTCTTGATGATGATGACGACTTCGTAGAAGCAGTTGTTGTTACAACAGGTACCACATATGGATCCTCATGCAATGACGAATCTACCATTTCTATACTGTTATCATGTGGTGGTGATATCCTATTCCTATCATTCACAGATCTATATTCATCAAAATTATTATTGTTACCAGGTTGAGGACGTGATATATTCTGACCGGCAGTATTAGGTGTCGACATGGGAATTCCATTCGTAGGAATGCTCTTGGTCGGCGTATTAGCCCCTGATCCTAACCGACTACTATCATGCTGATGTTGATGCGAATGATTATGCGGTGGTGTATCACTAGTACTACTGCTGTTATTGTTTGAGTTGGAATTTCCATTATTTGTGTCAAACCCAGCTCTTTCAAAGACTGTCCTATACCGAACATTAGGATTCAATTTCGGAAACGGTGAACTATATAAACCTGAGTACATTATATGATAGCGAGCGAATGAGTGTACTTTGACCTTATTTCTGAAGGATACCACAATATCCACAATTGTTAATTTCAAATTGTCTTCTTGTTCATGGGGATGTTATTATATATATATATATATATATGGGCATATTTGCTTACAAGAATGTTTGGCTCAAATGAAACCAAAAGAAAAAAAACGCGCCCGCGGCCGGCGCCTCCCCAGCTATCACGCGTTCTGCTCTAACTACAGTAGAAGGAGAGAGGAACCCTGACCGAATAAGTTTCTTCAAAATAAACGGAACAGGTCTTTGCCAAGCAACTAATTAAATGAAGGTTACATAGCGGGATGGTGATGATGGGATTGGATGTGTTGATACGCTTATGACTTTGTATCATTCGGCTATATAATGTGGTTGTGTGAGTTGTATATATATATATATATATGTATATGGTTTTGGAAACCAAAGATGAACCCATGACGCTACACAGGGCCAGATACTATCTAAATTGACAATATCTTCCTGTTGTACAATAATCGATCCATCTTCGATCTCCAAAAAAAACATGGATTTTTTTCTGGAGTTTTATCTCTTCACAATAGAAATATTTAGGGACGAATCATGAATATCTTTTATTCACTAACTGTATCCATATGCCATTGTTTTCTTTATCTCTTGCAATGTCTGGCATAAAATAAATTTATCTGGAAAATAACGTGTCTGTGACTTGATACTGCACAATTGCATCAAAAATAAAACGGATGTTCAAGTAAAACTATACAATGAACATTTGAGTACAACAAAATAAGAAATTCTTGCAAACTCTTCCTTTGAACATCGTTAATTAAGTTGCCATAAAAAGTTTTTTGGTTTAAAAAGGGGGGTGGTTTTAGTAGTAAACACTGGCAAGAGTTCATGTAAAAAGAAAACACGAAAAGGCAAAAAGAACAGTAGTGTAGAATCATGTTCTAGGTTTTATCAGAGTAATCGGGTTACTCACACTAATAAATCTTTCAATTTAGAAGCGGATTGAATGTAAGCAAATTAATGATTACAAAGGGGTGGGGTTGAAAGGTATATATCTTTCTTCAAATACTGGTGTATTCTTCTTGTAAAAGAAAACAAAAAAGAAGTACTGAATCGCTAGAATTTAAAATTTTTTTTTTCATGTGTTATCAAAGTCTCTTTGTGGTCATAGTAAGCATGACATATATGTGTATATGTGTGTGTGTAGTGGATTTTTTACGTTTATAATTTTCTTTTCAGTTCCTTTTAGAAAAAAAAATAAATCCACACAGTTCTCTCATAATGCAGTGACATGTGTATGTAGTATCAAACTCAAAAAAATAATTAATAATATATTCGTTCTCTGAAGGCACCAATAACGGAAATCTTTACCATACTCTAAATACAAATTATCCTAAAATTTGTCAACCATAAGGGATCACAGGCAGATTTTTGGCCCTAATAACGGCAGAAGAAGGAAATAAACCACTGAGTGTACTGTAAACAATAACTTAAATGTTTGCAAACCGTATGAGGAAAATAAAATACACTCTTCTTTCGGTGTATATATCTTAAAACATATTCAAAACGTTAACTATACCAATTTAATCACTTTTATTGAATATTAACCCGGGACTAAAGCTTACGCAATGTGTATATTGTGCGTAATATTGTAAATATAATGATAACACTGTCGCGTTTCCACAAGTTCTTAATATATATGTGGGGAATATGTGAAATCAATATAAAAACGTCGTTTAGTAATCATCCAAATCTATTATTACTAAGGGTATGCAATTTTTTAATTTCTCTTTAAGAAAAAAAAAGTTCACACAAGTATCATTCAAACAAAATTATGATACGATCATTCTAATCGCAGGATTTCAATATAATAAAAAATAACAACAAAAAAGAAACAAAAAGCATTCTATTACGGTGATCCAAAGATATGCATCAAACCAGTAAAATTGAGGGAGGAGTTGGAAGGTACTGTCCGTTCTATCTAAATTATATAAGATGCATGTTTTTTTTTCATTTTCAGAACCTGTTTTATGATGTATAACCATATGATCGGTCTTCACACACATATATAAAGACCAGAAGGAACAGAGACCCCCATTTTTACAGACGTCAATTAATTCGGTACAAACCTCCCACCGATCTACAAATGAAAAGAAAAAAAACAGTCCAAGATAGAAAGAGAAGCAGAATTAAAGGACTTTTGATCTATCAATTATTTCAGTTCTTCCCTTTTATATGAAGCAAACGAGAAAAAAAACCCGCAAAAAATTTCGCTGGCCAAATTTTCTGTTGAGAACAGAGAGAGAGACAGTGTGATAGCTTATTGTATTGTAGTAGATTGAGTGTCTTATTAGTGGTACTTACACCTTATCATCTTGTATTAATATCCAACCTCATAGTACTGTCTCCTTTCTAACCCCCCTCCACAATAATTCTTGTATTTACTTATCAGCCACCTTGTATAGTAGTAGAAACCCTAAACTCACACAATAAATGTTTTCTGGTTGGTACAAACGGAGATGCTAAAAACCGGGGAAACTGAATAGGAAATTATATATTTATAGATAGACAGATTAACACTATATACAAAGAAGAGAAGAGAAGAGCTTGATACACTCTTTGATTGAAGGGTAGAACACAAACACAGGTATATTAAGTATTATAACCATATTTTACAGTAATGAATAATAATGACAGGCATTCAGCGACACAAGCACTTATACAAAAATACTATGATTATATGTTAGGACTCCCCACTCCAACAACCACAGCAGCAGCCAATAATACTATTAATGGGGAAGAAACAGAAGAAGAAAAAGATCAGATTAGAGATGATGATATTGATAACTCTTTGTTAAGACAGAGGTTTATTTCTAATTTGATACGACATACTCGTTCTAGACATACTACTGCATTAGATGAAACCGATGCGGAGACAGACACTGAGAGAGGTATTATTAGTAAATATAATAAGACCAACAGTGGGAATATCGTAAAAATTAATGTTAGAGATGATTCAGTTAATGACGATGTGGATTCTGATGAAGAATCTAATTTATCTTTATTAGATAAAATGAAAAACGTTTTATATGCAATATTTGTTGGAGATTATGAAAAGGATGTATTAATTGAACGTGTTAGTTTACAAAAGAAACATGCAATGACGTTTGATGATTGGAGAAAAGCTGCTTTAGAATTGGATACTTTAACAAATAAAACAGATTGGAAAAAGAAAAAGGATTCAACTCTCTATGATTATCAATTAATTGAAGATGTTACATTAAAATTAAGAGAATCAAGGATTAATAAAGATTATGCACAATTATTATATATCATTAGAACAAATTGGGTACGAAATTTAGGTAATATGGGTAATGTTAATCTTTATAGACATTCTTATGTTGGTACAAAATATTTAATTGATGATTATATTGAAGAATCAAAGCTTTCATTAAATGCTTTAGTGACAGAATCTGATTTGGATGATAGATATTTAATGGGTATATTACAACAAACGAGAAGAAATATTGGTAGAACTGCTTTAGTGTTAAGTGGTGGTGGTACATTTGGTATGTTTCATATTGGTTTATTAGCAACATTATTTGAATTGGATTTATTACCCCGTGTTATCAGTGGTAGTTCTGCAGGTGCCATTGTAGCTAGTATATTAACTGTTCATCATAAAGAAGAAATTCCTGCTTTATTAGATCATATCCTTGATATGGAATTTAATATATTTAAAGATGATGATGAAAAATCTGAAAGTGAAAATTTTTTAATTAAATTTCAAAGATTTTTCAAAAATGGTACCTGGTTTGATAATAAACATTTAATCAATACAATGATTCAATTTTTAGGTGATTTAACCTTTAGGGAAGCTTATAATAGAACAGGGAAAATTTTAAATATTACTGTTTCACCTGATACTTTATTTGAACAACCAAGATTATTAAATAATTTAACAGCTCCAAATGTTTTAATTTGGTCAGCTGTTTGTGCATCGTGTTCTTTACCCGGTATTTTCCCATCAAGTCCTCTATATGAAAAGGATCCAAAGACAGGTAAACAAAAACCTTGGTCTGGTTCAAGCTCGGTTAAATTTGTCGATGGGTCAGTGGATAATGATTTACCAATATCCAGATTATCTGAAATGTTCAATGTTGATCATATTATTGCATGTCAAGTCAACATCCATGTTTTCCCATTTTTAAAATTATCATTATCATGTGTTGGTGGAGAAATTGAAGATGAATTTAGTGCTAGATTGAAAAGAAATTTAACTAAAATGTATAATTTTATGGCTGATGAAATGATTCATTTATTTGAAATTGGTTGTGAAATGGGAATTGCTAAAAACACATTGACAAGACTAAGGTCTGTTCTTTCACAACAATATTCTGGTGATATTACAATATTACCTGAAATGAATGCATTGTTAAGATTTAAACAATTATTATCTAATCCAACTAAAGAATTTCTTTTAAGAGAAATTACAAATGGTGCAAGAGCCACTTGGAGAAAAATTTCTATTATTCAAAATCATTGTGGACAAGAATTCGCATTGGAGAAAGCTATATCACATTTAAGAGGTAGAATTATTGTCTCTTCGTCAATTAGAAATCCATTACAATTTAATGATACTCCAATTGGATTAATTAAAGCTGCGCAAAAATATCATACAAGAGAAAGAAAACAAAAGATGTTAGAATTTCCGACTGGGAACCTTGATGAAATCATCGTTGATAATGAAGATATGCCGATTGGAAAAGGACAAGATGAATCTTCAACGGAACAAAATAGTAAAGAATCATCCAAATCTGTTGCAATAGATAGTGATGAAAAGAATTCAACTCCAATAGGTGGAGTCAATTCGGATTTAGATGATGATAATTTGGTTGACACAGAGTCTACAAACTCTTTATTAGTCTTGAAGGACAATGAAAAGAAAGAACAATATAATACTGATTTAAAGGATGAATATATGGGAAATAAGAATAATATTCATTTGCGCCGTAAATCAGATACGGGATCAAGACCAAGAAATGGTAAATCCTTATCATTTTCAATTGCATCTCCATCGACACGTAGTCTCAGGACACCAACTAGAAGAACAAATTCAAGTTACAAAGATCATACACACAAAGCTAGTACTGGACATATATTCCCACCAATATTACAAAAAACTGATACTACCGATTATGAAAGGATAAATACCGATTTGATTAATGTACCAGATGATCGACCATTAACTTTAACCCCCTCAGAAACAACACCTGCTATCGAAGAATTGCTAAACGAGTCTGATACAACACCAACTATAAGTCCAAATATGTTTGTTAACAAAGAAAAGGACACGTTTTATATAGATTCGGATACTGAGGATAGAGAAGATTTAGCAAATTATAGCATTGCTTCAGATAACAAATTATCATATGGCTATGATAAAAATAACCTCAAATCTGCAAGAAGATATAGTGAGGATGATAGAATAAAAAATATTAAGATGAGTCCCGGGAAAACTTCAACAATGTTTAGACAATCCTCTTTAGGTGTAAGAAGAAGCAGTACGGAATCTCCTAAAGCATTGAGAACGCAACCTCGGTCATGTAGCGTGAGAAATATCGACGTAGATGATGGAATCTCACCCCTTGCCAACGAATCAAGCGACAAAGAAGGACATATTTGTTGATCATATATTTGCATTTATATTTGGTTCTAATGATTAATAATTACATAAAAATAAAGTAAATAATTTAAATGATTTATCTACTTCATACATATTAAAAAACCCGTAGAATGTTTTCATATCTCTCAAACAACAATACTCGTAGTTGACCGAATTACAAGTTTCTGCTCCTCCTACCAGACATAAATCCTTTAACTCCTAAAGAGCTGCGCAATTCTCGTCTTTGGAATTGTCGCGTTGAAACAAAATTTAAGGACGCCAAGAAAGTTAAAGACGCTACTAAATGAAATATTACACACACACACGCATGAAATCTTTAAAAGAACGTTAGCAAGTTTTGGAAAGAGACAATATAATATTAATTTTAAGCATAAATAACCAAGACTAATTGGCTTACTCAATCACTTTTTTACATAATTCATATTTTTGCACAACTTAAAATTGCTCTTCACAGAATAGGAAACTCTCGGAATTTAAAAAGTTAAATGATGAGCGAGGCTGATGGTATTCAAGAAGGGACTAACACCAACCCTAGCAACATGAACACTGCTAACAATGATGATAATGAAAATTATTTTGGTAATTTGAATGACGAATTATCGTTCGGAGGAATGGATGATGACCCTGAGGATAACGATTTCCTCGACATGTACAATCTCACCCCAAGACAACGAGTAATATATAAAGCGAAGAAATTAATGTATCAAGCAAAGAATAGGTTCGATTCATTAAAGGCATGGCAAAAAGGTTTAGTTTATCTTGCAGGTGCATCGTTTTTCGTCGCCGGGATTTTATTTTTAGTGTACCGTCATAAGATTATGGACAAGATTGTCGAGACGTCAAACGATTTGGAAGCAAAATCTTCTACTCAATTCTTACTCTTACTATTTATATTCATTGTGGCATTCCCACCATTAATAGGTTACTCATTTTTATCCACAAGTACTGGTCTGATTTACGGTGTGACATTCCATGGTTGGATTATTTTAGCACTTGGATCTGTCTGTGGTTCTGTTGCATCATTTGCTGTATTTAAGAATTTGTTACATTCAAGAGCCGAAAAATTAATACATGCTAACAGAAGATTCGAAGCATTTGCTTCGATATTACAAGAAAACAACAGTTATCTTATTTTGGCTTTGTTTAGATTATGTCCATTCCCATATTCTTTAACCAACGGTGCTGTTGCAGGCGTATATGGTATCTCAGTACGTAATTTTGCTATTGCTAATGTTATCACAACACCAAAATTGTTTGTGTATTTGTTCATTGGATCAAGAATTAAGAATCTTGCCGAAACAGAATCTCCTGGATCTAAACTATTTGATATTATCAGTATCGTAGTTGCTGTTTGTATCTTAATGATGACAGCATGGATTCTTTATTATAAGACTAACCAAAGATATAAACAATTACAACGTGAAGATAACCAAGCACCAATAGATTCGTTGGGAGAAACCGATTTCGAAATATGAAAAAAAAAAGTCTCTCATTGCTACTTTTGAGTATAATCCTGTTTAAATCCGATGTAACTCAATAAGATTATCTTTTATAAAATGACAATTTATTTTTTTAATTTTATCTCTTATACACACACTTACACATACATATATATATAATGTTACTTGAATAGGTTTGCACTTCGACGAAAGCAATCGAGTCATTATTTTGCCAAAACCTTTTCACCAATTTAATTATTCTACCAAGTCCGAAAATAACGGCGCTGAAATTTAAGTTGTGCTCGAGTTAGAGTATTTAATGGTGGCGATGACTTAAAGTGTGAAATATTTATCAACACGTTTGTTATCCCATAGTGGCTCACTTTATCAGATATATAGAACAAAGTATAGTAAAGTATCAAAAATTCTTTCAAGTCACTATGTTTCGTAATATCATTACAAAGTCTTTTCTTTCGGGAAGAACATTAATCGATGGTGCACACTCAGTATCCAAGACAACCAGAACGGTCAATAAATTTAGTCCACATATAAAAAGACAATACTCAAATTACCAATACCAAAGGTTTAATAACCAAAATGGGAGATCGTTTTCACAACTGTTGTTCGACCCTGTAGGTAGAAAATATCTAGCAATAATCTTTGGTGGTGGTTCGTTGTTCTATTTTACTCATCGTGAAGAAGCTCCAGTGAGCGGTCGCAAGAGATTTATTTGGATTCCACGATGGTTAGAATTAAAGATAGGTAATCACACCTACAAATCAATGATAAGTGAAACTGGTAATTCAATCTTACCAGCAAATCACCCAGCAACTAAGAAAGTCGAAAGAGTGTTTACAAAAATCGTGGAAGCCGCATATAAGGACCCTGAAATGGATAAAAGTTTATTAGATGGAGTTCAATGGAGAATACATGTGGTTAATGACCCAACACAGCCACCAAATGCATTTGTTTTACCTGGTGGGAAAGTCTTTGTCTTCAGTAGCATTCTAGGAATTTGTAAAGATGAGGATGGTTTGGCAACAGTATTATCCCATGAATTTGCCCATCAACTTGCAAGGCATACATCAGAGAATTTATCAAAGGCACCTATATACGCTTTTATAAGTCTCTTGATATATTCTGTGATTGGAGTTAATGGACTGGATAACTTGCTCACGGATGGTTTATTAAGAATGCCAGCTTCCAGACAAATGGAGACAGAGGCGGATTATATTGGTCTAATGATTATGGCCAGAGCTTGTTTCAATCCCTCGGAAGCTATCAACTTGTGGAAAAGAATGAGTGAATTTGAACAGAAATCTAACATGAATGGGAGAACTTTGGAATTCTTAAGTACGCATCCGGCTAGTGAAAGAAGAATCCAAAACATGGAACGCTGGATGACACAAGCCAATGATGTACGCGAACAATCTGACTGCGGATCTATGAATAATTACTACAAAGGATTCCAGGATTCCTTTTTTGGTTCGTCACTTCCTTCAATCCCAATCTCATCGTCCCCTTTTCCTGGCTTTTAAATGATTTTATCTACTTAAATAAAATTTAACATTATGTAAATAATACAAGAAAACTTTTTGTATAATTAAAGAAAACAACACTAGAATGGTCTTCTCTTTTTAAAAGCTGAAAACCCTGCCCTCGGTTTTTTAATCTGAGACTCATTTGTTATTTTTGAGGTTTGTTGGACTTTTTTTTGTCTTGAGGTGAGTGTATCTCTTTCTAATTTATCCACAATCATTTTTCTTCTTAGGATACAACTATCTAATTTCTCTCGTACTACTTTACGTGCGTCTTCCATTTCTACCTCATTATTGTTTAATTTACTATTAGTTCCAAGAAGTCCGATTGAATAATCATTTATCTCATCTTTTTTTTTGATATCATAAAGCAACAGCCCTGATTCCATTAGCCAAAATGGATCTACTGCAGTAACACAAACAAGATATTCCGTAGATGTCATCAGTAGTTCGTTATAGATAATATACGATGGTAGATCACCCATCCCAAACAATGCACTAGTAGGGTGTAATTGTGTATGCATCCCGGTTCTCAAATGCACATACCTTTTAAGGCCAGATAATTTGGCAGCTTGATGGCTAAATCCTGTACATATACATTCTCGAATAATATTCCAGTTAGATCCCGCCGATGTTAAAGAGAACTTTTGTTTTTCCATAACCCTTAGTAACTGTTTTCTGATATCTTCCGCCTTCTCTAGTGATTTCCCCTGTATAAAATGCTTTGCACACCACTGGGACGAAAAATGGTTACTTTTCCACTGAAGATAGACATTTAACAAAGTCAAATGATCAGATTGTGCTACAAAAAACCTACTTCTTGCTTTATCAGACTCCTTTTCTCTTTCTTTCGGCCTTTTGAATATCTGTGGTATCGATAACATTGCAACTATTATTAAGATCTCGCTACTGCATCCAAGTTTAATAGAATTTAAGAGGATTTTTGATAATGATGGCTGTAATGGTAACTTAGTCATATCTATTCCGAGCTTAGTTAAGTTCCCAAAATTATCTAGAGCACCTATGGACCATAATTCATACAGTGAGTTTAATAAAGTTTGCATTGGGGGAGTATCTATAAATGGGAACTTCATTACATTTTCAACACCAAGTGATTTTAATAATAATACAGTATTGGATAAATTTGTCCTTTGAATTTCAGGAATTGTGGAACCATACATATCTGTTTCAGATGTCTCTTCTGTATAGAGTCTATAGGCAACCCCAGAAGAAGTACGACCGGCTCTACCAGATCTTTGATTAGCGTTAGCTAAAGAAATAGGCGTAATTGCTAAACTGTCCAAACCAATTCTAGGGTTGTAAACTTTAAGTTTAGAATAGCCACAGTCTATTACAAATCTAATGCCATCAATAGTTAACGATGTTTCTGCGATATTTGTAGCTACCACTATCTTTCTCTTTGATTTATCCAGTTTATGAAAAATTCTGCTTTGCAATTCTGGTGCTAAAGAAGAATATATCGGAAATATCTCAATGTTATTAATCTCATCAAACGTAGATGCTTCACCTTTTTTTCTATAAACTTCCAAAAGTTTCTCTTGAATTGATTCAGTTGTTGCCTCCACATCTTCTTGACCAGTCATAAATATTAATATATCTCCACTCTCAATAGAAGTTGTTAAGTGAATATTTACAGCTTTTTTCACTGCCTCTTCTACGTAATCTGAAACAGGATATTTAGAATAATTGATCTCAACCGGGAAAGTTCTACCAGGGATAGTAAACTGAGGGGCGTTACCAAAGAATTTTGAAAACTTAGCTGCATTCATTGTTGCAGATGTAATAATTAGCTTTAAATCCTTTCTCCTCTGTAGTAAGACTCTTAGTATACCCAACATAACATCTGTATTTAAAGTACGTTCATGAGCTTCATCGATGATAATACAACTGTATTTGTCTAAATCATTGTCCAACAGGACTTCTCTTAGTAAAATACCATCAGTCATAAATTTAATTCTTGTTTTTGGAGAAGAATAATCTTCGAATCTTATCGAATAACCAACTTCTTCCTTTATTTTCACATTCATTTCTTGAGCAACTCTTTTAGCGACAGACATGGCAGCCACCCTACGAGGTTGAGTAACCCCAACCATCTTTCCGTTTGCAGTGAAACCATCCTCATAAAGGTATTGAGGTAACTGTGTAGTTTTCCCCGAACCAGTTTCACCTACAATAATAGACACTTGGTTTTCTCTAATCATAGTTAGAAGGTCTGTTCTACTTCTAAAACAGGGTAAAGATTGACGAGTGGCTTTAATATCTTCTTTGTATGAGACATTGGACGATCCATTTTTTAAAAGATTTCTATTGTTTGTAACTACATCGGTTTTAATCTCTGTATCTTTTAATCCTAAAGCTTCACCAATTTTAGTTCCCTCTACAGTAGTCTTGTCCTTAGCTCTTTGTGTTTGTTCCCTTTGAGTACGTTTCAAATTTACCAATGAACTACCCTTTCTTGCCTTTACGGAAAATTCACTTTCAGGGTTTCTAAAGGGATTTATAGTATCGTTGTTTGTTGTAGACTGTACAATAGACCCAATAATTTCTTCTTTCGTTATTCCATATTTCTCAGCGTAATCAATTAAAAAAGAAGGTAACCATTTCTTTCTTTGTTCTGTTGGTAAAATGTTCAATTGAATCTCAGAATGCAAGGCATCTTGATAAATGGATGATTCAATATGAAACTTTCTTGATGATGTATTATGAACCGCACTAAGCTTGGAATTCAGTTCATTTTGTTCCTCTATTTCCTCCGATACAGGGTTTCCATAATCATCATCAAAATTATACCAATCTTTAGCTATTTCTGTTGTGGTACCAAATGATACAGGCGCTACTGTATCATTTTGTTCTTTTGCAGGGGTTATTTGTTTCTTATTTCCTCCAACATTATCAGCTATTCGTTTATCCTTAGAATACATTTTCAACCTGTTAGCATCAACCTTCTTAATCTTTTTAAAAATTACCTGATGAGATGGATCACTTTTCTCCAATGGTTTACGCTTTATAAAAGGATTAGAATTCCTCGAGGGTATATGTAAACCATCATCGTCATCATCATCAGCCTCGTCGTCATCATTCGCTATAGATATCATAAATTTCCTTTTCTTCCCTTGTGCAGGCAATGCAATTGATTTCGAAGGTAAAATATCCGCCTTTTGAGGATGTTGGCCATCGCTTGTAGGCACCTCAATCACATCAAAGACTTTTCCAAGGACTTCGCTAGCATTGGCAAACTTCCCTAGTACATTACAAGCCTTGATAAAACCTGGTTTATCCTTACCATACTGTTCCTTCAATTTCCGAACAACTTTCAAAAAGTTCTCGCTGACATTAGCTTTTGTATGGCGTTGTAACAAATCAATAATCTCTTGATCATTCATCATCAACTATATGATGCTATGAACATCAAATGATTCGTACTCACTTCAGAAGTAAAATGGATCTAGCTGAAAACTGAGTTACTGGTTTGCTTTTAACCAATAAATCTGCTAATTGTGTTACCCGCAGATCATCACTAATTGCTTGTTTTTTTTAGTTTTTTGTTCACAGCGAAGGAAACGAGAAAATTAAAGGAATTTGTTCCCTTTAAGAGAATAAGCAAGAGACAACTGGCAAAGGGAGGATTGATTAGTTTTTGAACTTACACACAGAGCATACATATAAGGCTACTGAGATCATTGGTTACAGGGATTGACTATTCAACTGTTTTCCATTCTGTTAATTTATTAAAAGTTGAAAGAGAAAAGGAAAATATATTTTAGTTACGAATATGTTAGCGTTCAAAAGGGGAATACATGCATGCTCAACAAAAGGTAAAGAGGCTGCAAGTAAAGCAACATCTAATGCTTTCAAGGAGTTAAAAGGGGTACAGACAATTTATAATCCTAGAACGTCTGCCTCTAATTACAAAGGTTATTTAAAGAACAAGACTCCGGCTGGTATGTATTACAACCCAGCACAATCGGCTACAACGGGTTCCATTAACAGTGAAACGATACCATTGTCATTTTTGGCTAAGGATGATCCTCGTAGATCATTCATTAAACAACTAAGGACACAGGATGCAGTAGAAAGTAAATATGGTCCACCTGTGTTGGTTGGGAAGAGTACTGTTGAAGGTAAGAGTTATCATTTACAACCGGAGCAAATTGCCGAAATTATAAAATTGAGAAGTTCCGACCCTGTGACAAACACAAGAAAGAAATTGGCTAAACAATTCGATGTTTCACCACTGTTTATATCATTAGTATCTAGTGCACCAAAATCAAGAATCACAGAGATGAACAAAAGACTAAATACTATCAAATCCAGCTGGCATAAACAACGTGAAATTGCAAGAGATGATAGGAAAAAACGTAAGCAATTGTGGTATAGAGCTTAAAACACGGAGAATTCATAATAACATGTACTTACAAACATTTCTGAAATATTCAAAACAAAACTAACGTTAGGTTAATGCACTGGTATTCAAAAAAAAAAAGAATATATATATATACATATCTACATAATATTCGTACATTCATACATACGCAGTAAAAAAACCCCATGTAAATACTGAAAAAAAAAGAATGGAATAACCTCATTTACTTACTAATCAGATGGACTCATTATCCATCTCAAGATCTTCCCAGATGACACACCCTGGTCTCTCTGCCTCCTGCATTGTTACCATCATCACCTCTTTTTCATTATTTTATTATAGCTTTTACAATATTTACGGGTGTGAGATGCTGAATCATTTTGGAAAAGGTGCGAAGAGTGAAAAATTTTGCTGCAGAAGAAATGAGTCCATTACACACATATATATACAAGGTGCAAAGCAAGGACAGACAGAAATTCAATTCAATTGTGTATGTTGTTTAGTTAGCAAGATTGATATACAAGAAAGGATATACTTCAAGAATTAATAACACAAAACCAAACAAACATGGCTTACTATAGCGACCAAGACGATTTTAACGATGATATCCCTGATTTTCAGGATGAAGCTGAATTCGATGATTATTTAAATGATGAAGAATACGATTTAATAAACGATACTTTCCCTAATTTAAAGAAGAAAATGACTGAAGATAATTATATTGGATGGAAGAACCTCGACGTAAAACTAGCATTATTTGATAATGATTTTGATCCTGAAGCAGCATTTGCTTCCCTTAGAAAACAATTCAAAAAGAAGAAGAAGCAAGTTGCTCCAACTACACCATCTCAATCAAATGCTCCTACAAAGAAGGTGACAGAGAACATGAACAAACTAAATATAAAATCAAATGATGATGACGGATGGTTAGATGACGAAGAAGATGAAGAAGAGGAAGCACGTAGAAAGGCTAAGAAAGAAAAAGAAGAAGCTGTAGTAAAACATTATAAGAAGGTTACAGTTCCAAAGAAACCAAGAAATGCAGTTGATATCCCAGAATATCTAGAAACTTGTAAACCGCACCTAAGTTTTGTTGTGCTGGGTCACGTCGATGCTGGTAAATCTACTTTGATGGGTCGTCTTCTTTACGATATTGGGGCAGTGGAATCTGGTAAGATTAGAAAATTGAAAAAGGAGAGTGAAAGTATAGGTAAAGGTTCCTTCCATTTAGCTTGGGTTATGGATCAAACCGCAGAGGAAAGAGAACGTGGTGTTACTGTCTCTATTTGTACAAGTGATTTTGAAACAGAAAAATCTAATTTTACTATTGTTGATGCACCAGGTCACAGAGATTTTGTTCCAAATGCAATTGCAGGTGTCTCTCAGGCTGATGTTGCCGTATTATCCATTGATTGTGGTACTGACGCTTTCGAGAGTGGGTTTGATTTAGATGGGCAGACTAAAGAACATACTATTTTAGCTAAGAGTATGGATGTAAACTTCATTATCGTGGCAATGAATAAGATGGATTCTGTAAATTGGTCTCATGAGAGATTTAATGATATTAAACAGAAATTGGGCTCTTTTTTCAAAGATGTAGGATTCCATGAAGATCAAATTAAATGGGTACCATTAAGTGGTTTCTCAGGCGCAGGTGTATACAAGAGTCCATATCCAAGTGAACAAGATTGGTACCAGGGTCCAAACCTGGTGAGTACACTGGAAGAAGTTGCTCAACATGTAGGTACAGAGGCTCATAAGGATGTCATTGATCATCCATTTTTATTTTCTATCTTAGAGTTAATTAATTCTAAGAAATCTGATGAGGCTGTTGTCTCTGGTAGAGTTGAATCCGGGTCCATTCAGCCAGGTGAAGCAATCACAATTTACCCATCTGAACAGAGTGTAATAGTAGATAGAATTCTAAGTGGTAGAGAGAAAGTACAAACACAAATTGCCACGAAAGGTGACTTTGTGACTTTGAAATTACGCCAAGCCTTCCCTGAAGATATTAGAAGTGGTGACCTTTGTGCTTCAGTTGATTATGATATTAGTGCATCACAAAACTTCAAATTACAAATGCTAACATTTAAGATGAACAGACCATTATTACCAGGTACTCCAGTCATGTTATTCAGAGGTGTTGTAGAACAACCAGCTAGAATAAATAAGCTTGTAGCTATCGTTGATAAAAAGGACCCAAGTATTATAATTAAAAATAAAGTTAGACACTTGGCATCCAACCAAGCTGCTATCGTTGAAATCGAACTAACTGAAAGAAAGAGACAAATACCAATGTTAAGATTCGATGAGAATAAACATTTGGGAAGAGTGGTCCTAAGAAAAGATGGTAGAACGATTGCTACCGGTAAAGTTTTGGACTTGTGAATATACATTAAGTATATTGAAAAATGAGAATACAACAAAACTAAAAAAAAATTATAATCTGCATGCATTTATGATGTTTACAAAAACTTGACGTTATGTAAATAATATGTAATATATAGAAACTACACATCTAGTATCTAATTAATAAAATCTATCAATAGAATTAGAATACCAATCAAAATTGCAAGATATTTTGTCATATTTGCCGTTCGACTGGCTGATTTTTTAGCTTTCTTTAACTGGGTATTACCTTTCTTGATATTAATATCAATTTCATCTTGATTATCAAGCATTGTATTAATATCTTGAGACTGGCTTTGTAAATGAGTAGAAAGCTCATTTTGAATGCTCACAATATCCAGAATTGTCTTATTTATCTTCTCTACGGCCTTTAATTGTTCGTTTTTTTCATTTAGCAATTCTTCATGCTCTGTTTCTAACAATTGTATCTGTTCTTGTGATAGTTTGGACATTGTTTCCTCGTATTGTTTAACTTCTTGTTGCACACTTTCTACAGCAGAGTGAGAAACAGTAATGCTTAATGGTTCCTCTACAGTCACATCTGTTTGTCCTTGATTTGTTGGTATTGAAGGTGGTGTTGCTAATTGTTCGTGAGACATCATTGGCGAATCGTTGAGTCCTAGGTTATCGTTAAGGTCAAACATTTCAAATTTCCGTTGTTGAGTTAATCGTCTCTGTTGCATAGAAGCAAATTCTGAAGAAATGGTTGCAATGAATAAAGTCAAAGATTGAAGAACCCCTGTTCTAAACCTATCATTAGATTTATGGAACTCTATCAATATATTTTGATTAGAATTATTTCCTTTAAATACATTCATTACTTTACCATGGGGATTCATTATCGTTTTCTCAATCAATGCCTGTCGATCAGTTTCGTACTTCTCTAAACTTTTAAACTTTTGAACATATTTCTGAAATTGTAACCTAAATTCTGTATCGAAATCATCTTTTTGTGCTTCTGTCATATTTAAATCATTTTCATTATAATAATCAGCCTTTATACTATTCAGAACTTTACGCAATTCACGCATAAAATCTAACAATTCATAACATTCTTTAACGAATGAATCCTTCAATTCGTATTTTTTTACAGTTGTATCAACAGCCTTTGAGACCATAGTCTTCTGTATACCTCCATTTTTACGATTATCTTCATCAAAAATGGTCAACATTTCTTTGAAAGTTGGAGTTAAATCAGTCATGTTGGAAGAGTTGTACTTGTAGACAGTTATGGATGAAATTAAATATATTTCTGCAAAGAACGATTGATTCAGTTGGATATGGCAAAACTAAACAGAACTCTTTACTTAGATAATCAAAATGTTGTCTCTTCTGAGTTTGCTCTCTGTTAATCTTCGAATTTGGGTAGAGAAGGTTATTGATCTTTAAATGGTTTCAATTTGGATAAATTGTTAGGTATTTTGAAATTTTGAAGGAAATATCACGTGCCGGAAAATTGAAAAGGGTTGACACGAAACTGGTTTATTATTATTATTATTAATTGAATATAAAGGCGTATAATAAAACACGTAAAGAAGGGAAACATATATTAGAGGTATTAACATTTTTATTATCACAATTATCCCTGAAATTCGACAATTACAAAAGTATAATATCATAATGGTTGAACAAGGAACTACTAATAACGAGGAATTGCAATATTTGGAACTGTGCCAAAGAATCATTGACGAAGGTGAATTTAGACCTGACAGAACAGGTACAGGGACTTATAGTTTATTCGCCCCACCTCAGTTGAGATTCGATCTAAAAGATAGCACTTTTCCATTATTAACTACGAAAAAAGTGTTTACCAAAGGTATCATTTTAGAATTACTATGGTTCATTGCTGGATGTACTGATGGTAAAAAACTGAGTGAGCAAGGTGTTAAGATCTGGGAAGGTAATGGCTCAAGAGAATATTTAGATGGTATAGGACTAACTGATAGAAGAGAAGGTGACCTGGGCCCAGTTTACGGTTTCCAATGGAGACACTTTGGGGCCAAGTATAAGACCTGTGATGATGATTACACCAACCAAGGTGTCGATCAATTACAAGAAGTTATTCGTAAAATCAAAGAAACACCATACGATAGAAGGATTATTCTAAGTGCTTGGAATCCACCTGATTTTCCATTGATGGCCCTACCACCATGTCATATGTTCTGCCAATTTTACGTCAATTTTCCTAAGGATGGTGGTAAACCACGCTTATCATGTTGCTTGTATCAAAGATCTTGTGATATGGGTCTTGGAGTACCGTTCAACATCGCTTCTTATGCATTATTAACCATCATGATAGCACACGTTTGTGATATGGAACCAGGTGAATTTATTCATACTTTAGGTGACGCACATGTTTATAAGGATCATGTCGATGCTTTAAAGGAACAAATATCTCGAGTCCCAAGAGATTTCCCAAAATTGAACATTAAAAGAAAAGTAACAGACATAGACGATTTTAAATTTGAAGACTTCGAGATTACTGATTATAATCCCCATGCCAGAATTGCTATGAAAATGAGTATTTAGAATACCTACTTTTATAAAAAATATGTGTTTATAATATAAATACACATCTATAGATGTTTACCATACATACATGAATGAAAATATATGCATAAATATATATTTAAAATTATCCATTAAATTAATTTGGTTCAATAGTGTTAGTTTCATAATTTACAACACATTGGTTACCTGTGCTTTCATTGGCAGCATTGATTATAGTGTGCAAGTGTACTCCGAGTTGAGCAATTTCACTAACTTCTTGAATATCTTGTTCAATGCAGTTTCTAATCTGAGAGATATCATTTTCATTTGAAGTGAATTCACCGTAAGTGTTTGTCAGATATTCTTCTGTCACAATATATCTATCAGTAACAGCATTAACGCTTGGTAAAGCTATATCCGATAGGAAAAGTTCTTGACCGAAAAAACCTTCCAAAACTTGATAAACCATACTATCTGATAATTGTTTAGATGTATCGTACTCTGTTATAAATTTATCACTTAGAATACATCTTCTCCAAAGAGTTGCAATTAAAAATTTCTTGATTTCATATTCAATTGAGTTGCTGTTAAATGCTATCAATTTCAAAGCGCAGAAGAAACTTTCTGCATCATTCAAAAGACTGTATTGTTCGATTACCTGGTTAAAGGGAATAGTGATCCCTTTCTGTAATTTTTCACTGGTTTCATCGTATATTTTCTTAAAAGGAGTTTTCTCATATCTAGAATTTATTTCAATAGCGTGTTGTTTTAATTTGTTTTTCAAATCAATTTCCCCATCTATTAAATCTAAACGTGATTGGATTTCATTTAACGCATCGACATCGATATTAGTTTCATCAACCAAACCACTTAATTTAGCAATATTTAAATAAGTTTGGTTCTTTACAATTGAGTTTCCTAACAAATTTAATTTGACCAGATCCATTGATGCCTTAGAGTAATCATCGTCCATAATGTTTTGAATCCACGATATGTTTCTATATTTATCAATATTTTCTTCAAAGAATCTTACTAATTGATGATGTTGTTCAGGGAATCTATAAAATAATTTCGACAGTTTATTGTTTGTGATATAATAGGAAAATAAAGTCGAGGCAAAATCATAGTCGAACTTTTCGAAAAATTGCTCATAAAGGCTATCTTGACCATCCAATGTTTCTAAAGTTTGTACCAAGGATTCGAAGTCTTGATAAAAATCCGTAATCCTTATTGATTGCTCCTTATAGTTCAATTCGCAAAGAACATCATTCCACGCTGTATGGTTGTTATCATAAAGTTTCGCAACCAAATCTAAGTTTGTTTGATCAATCTCCCTTTCCGCTTGAGTGCGCCATAATTTAATCTGATTGAAGAAATAGTATAATATCTTCAACAATGTTAGGAATTGTTCCTTTTTGACCGTATCAGTGGGTGCCTCTGCCTTTATGCTAAACTTATAATTGAAGAATAAATTGTTTACGAAATTTAAGATTTCATAATTAATGTACCATGGTAATTTTTCATCGTTAACCTCTAATGGATCTAGTTTAAACATATCATATCTAACAGTACGTTCACCATCTTCTAAAATAGCTTCATAGAAACATGAAATCAGAAGATTTATCAATTTACATTTGAATTGGTTAGATTCTGTATCAAAATCAACTGATTTTAAGAATTCGATGAATATTAATGGAAATTTATCAAGTTGCTTAACTATTAAATCCTCAAGTTGGATATTATTTTTAGAAAGAACTGATAACCATATAGTATTTAGTCTAGCACTCACGTTATCTTTCTTATCTAGGCATTGAAGGAATCTCAAAGCACAATTAACAGTTTCAAAATTTTCGATTAATTGAAGTTTGAGGTTTGGAGAAATGTTGTTATTAAAATTTAATTCAATGAAACGTAAGAAATTTTTATAGTAGTTTATTCTAGAGTTCAAATGTTGTTCTAAATTTGACGATGCATTTGGAATGAATTTACTAGTAGAGCCAAATATTCCATCATTACATAAAAGTAGATCATGTTCAATAACTTCTCTATCGATGGATAATCCGGGCGGGAGATTGAACTCTATTGGATTGTTTAATGATGCATTAGAAAAATATGTTGCTTGTTCAACATGCGATTTAACAAATCTTGTTTCTTCCAAGTCTTGTGTTGTTGTTGTATCATCAGAATCCTTCAATTCTACTCTCATTATTCCACCCACTTCTTTGCTTATGATATAAAGTGAGTTCATGCTATAACCATAACCGATGACATTTATATCTTCATTGAAACTTATAATATCTTCCCATTTTCTCTTTAATGTAAAACTAGAATCAAGTTTGGAACTAATTTGTGTAATGACCAGGCAATTTTGAAATAAAACAAAAACTGACGCAATAGATTTATTATTCTGTTCTAACGAGCTTGGAATTAATAACCTTGGTGTATTTTGTTCAGATGGAGTTGGCAAATTCATTGTGTTTAATCTATATGTTGAGAAAATAGAGTATGCCCCAAATTTTTCATCAAGGATAATAGTGGAAATAATATAGAACATATTATTATTATCTGTGATAGTGGATAAAAATAATTGAACGTTCATACTATCAGATAATAGTGGATGAGAATCAATTAATTTTAAACTACCATATGCGAAGGGATATAAATCTTGTAATGATTCCAAAATCTTATTAAAGACATTTACATTTATTCTTCTAAAAGTCTTAGATGATACTCCTAATTGCCAAACTTGGAAATCACCACATTTGGTGGTAATATATAACAATCTTTCACCTTTCCCCATCACAGGTCCTTGTTTCAAAGAAACAATAGCATGTGAATTATCTGTTGTGGCTTCTTGTTGAGATCCTCTAAAGAATTGAGAAAGTAAACCTCTATGAGCTTTAATCAAAGTTTGTTTCAATGTTATTCTTGGTTTACCAATGTTATCTCTTATTGTAATAAAATGCACAGCACCTAAAGATGTAGCAACAATAATACCAGCTGGTTCCAAATTTAAGACTTTAGTGATACGTTCATTCTGTGCTAAATTTAGATCCAGACTGTGAGACATTGCTTTTGAGAGTTGTGGATATAGATTATTTATGGATTCAACATCCTCATAATAAGTAATCCTTCCAGTTTGTTTTTCAAAAATTATTACACCACAATTTCCAGCACTAGTATTAATTTCCATCCTTCGATTATCATCTTCGGAATTTCCTGTAGTTGATTCATATGCTGCAAGAGGTGTTGTGATTAGACATGCAGGTGATTCGGATAATGAGGATTCTACTTCATCATGTAATGGAATTCTAATAGAGGGTGTATCTCTTTGACGAGAATCATAATTCCAAATGAAAATATTGTCTCTATCACACATTAATGCTTTTCTTAAAGAGGTATCTATAAACCCTATCGTCTGTTGAGATTCATCGTTATCTCTCTTTAGAGAAGATGGTAACTCTGAAGTCAATCTACTCACTGTATAAACCTCATTTTCTGTTAAAATTTTATTGGCATTATTAAATGTGGCAGTAGTAGAAGGCTTCTCTAATGAAGTTGATTTTTCAGTAGAGATGTCGGCTGTATAGTTGGAATCTGTAACATCAGCTGCACATGATTCACTTAGTTCTTTTCTCAATTGGAAAATTGGTCTGGAAGATGTTTGTGTGCTCATGGTTTTTGAGATACTGTACGTTGTTATGAAATCAGTTGAAAAAAAAAAATCAACGCAGTATATCTCTCACTCAGAATAGGATACTATCAAGCGGCAAATGTAAACAAAACAAAAAATATTTGAGAGTAAAGAACGTAATTATTGGAACTTTCTCGCACAATTGACTCCAAAGATTTTGGTTTAATCTCCTTTACTTCATGAAACGTTCTGTGTATGTATTTGATCAATTTCACTTAAACTGTTTAAAATTTCATTATTTTTCGACCCTTCTCGCCGTTCTACAAAAAATAGTGAAACGAAGAGAGAGAGAGAGAGAGAAAAAAAAACCAGAATAAACACAGACAGTCTTCCCGATCACTAAACACGAGCTGATGAGACTATAAAAATAATAATGATTTTTTGAATGTACATCTATGTAATACTATTGAAAAGAATGAAATACATCTATATATGCTGCTAATTGTAATGATGGGAGTTTATAGAAAGGGGTAGTTAATGATCTATGTGTTTAACCTTTTGTCTGTTATCTACCAATCTTAACATATTTCTTAGTAACATAGCAATTGTTACTTTACCTGTCATTGGCACATATAAAGAAGCTTTAGTCTTAACATCTTCAGCGAAATTTTTAAATGATGAAAAATTGATGCAAATTGCACCATCTCTAATATATTCAGTTGGAAATTTATAATTTTCTAAAGGTACACCTGTAATAATAACATCAGCATCTTTACAAACATCTTTAAGTAAAAGATCTGAATAATCACCTAAATCTTCGACTTGATGTTTAATTAATTTTAAACTTTCACCTCTAGTAAATTTTTGAATATTGTTAACATCTACAGAATATACTATAGCACCATCGTTTGCTAATAATGCAGCCAGGGGTCTTCCAACAATTTCTGATCTATTAATAACAACACATTTTTTCCCATACATTTGATTACCATCTGGCAATAAAGGGTTGTAAATCTTTAAATATTCTAAAATTTTAACAATGGCTAATGGGGTGCAAGGTAAAATTGACTTTAAAGTTTTCTTTTCATCCAAATATCTAACATTATGATATAAATTTTGATAATAGACATGATTTAAACCTTCAACGTCTTTTTCCTTGTTAACAATTTGTTGTAAATATTGATCTTGTGCATTACCAAAGACTGGGAAATAGATCATAATTCCATCAACGGTATCATCATTATTTGCTTCAATAATGTTTTCTTCTAATAAATCTTTATCATCAAACTTTCTTAATTCATATCTAATCCCTAATGATTCAGAAGTCTTTTGAGTCCATCTTGCATACATTTCAGCTGCAGGATCATTATTTGCAAGAAATCCAACTAATAAAGGACCTTGTGGAATTGTACTCTTTAATGTCTCTACTTTAGAACGAATTTCATCATCATATATTTTTGAAATTGTAGAGGCTAGGATAGTACGACCAGGTTTTTGAATTGCAGTAGACATAGTGAATATATTTGGGGTGTAATAGAATAGGTATATACCGATGTTTCTTTTTGTTGTCTCCTTATGCAATCTTTTGAAAACTCACAGTACTAACCTCCAATAATAAAATTACCAAGAATTGTAAATTCAGCATCTGCTTATATAAGTTGTCAATCGATCGATGAGATCTTTCTTGTAGCAACGCAAACAGAATATCTCGCTATATATGCAGTACGCAGTGAAAAAAGAAAACAGAGTCAAACGACAGCCACGGGGGTTGGCCACGGCAAATTTCTGCTGTATTTATTATACTCTGTGCACACATTTCGCCATACATAATGTGTTTCTTAACCGTCAGCGAGCACACGCCGCGAAGACAGAGTCAGCAAGTATTTTGCTATTGCTGGTGCACACAACAGAGAGAGACAGGGTCAGTTTCGTCTGTTTGATTAAGCAATTTGTGACACAATTATATGGATCAGGGAATAGAGAGGGACATTTCAGGTTTGGATATACGATGTGCAGGTTGTAGTGGAGTGTATGGAATAAATACATGGCTTACTGACGGGCTGATCTTAGTAAATGCTCTTACAGTACAAGGTGCTACAGTTTATTCATATATATGTTGTTTTGAAGGGTGAGCGTGCATAACGTGACTATACCTTTTTTGTTTTATTTTGTTAAATTGCGTACCGTTAACCTGTAGATGCAATTATTAAATCGACAAAAATCTGATAGAAGGTTGTGTTTTCATTGTGTTCTACTTCTCATCATGTAAGTCATATAGTAATGGCAATATGCAGCAGTATATGATTTTTTAAATTTTTTGTTGTTGTCCTGCACGCTTTCTCTCTTTTCCAACTCATCGCCGTTTTGCAGACGAAACTTTTTTTATTTTTTTGGCTGTTTGATTTTCCACTGAAATTTATTCATTTCACCCATACTAGGATCGTGGTTTGGATGAACCAAAATATAGCTCCAGCTCATCGCAAGTTTAGAACAGTGTAACAGGATACAGGTAAACATTTAATGAAAAATGACTAATATTCGAAAGTTGAACACTTTTAGAGATTTTGTGCACGGTACTAATCTACTTAATTCGTTGCTGTTTTTTCCTTTTGAAATCATTTTCTCTCCTATAGAGTCAAGTGCAACGCAATTATAATATTAGTATAATTCACTTTTTCAAACCTTTTTCTTTTTACAAAATATTTTGTGTGTTTCAACATTTTTTTAGTAAAACTGTCGTTCTCATTCTTTCCACATACAGTTTGTGTTAGACATCTGTCACTTTCAAGAAACTATATCACCAGATCCAGAGTTGTTCTACCAAGAAAACCTAAGAAACAACACCAACAACAACAAAACAAATCTTTAGTTCGTCCTTCTTTCTCAAAGAATAAGTACATTTCCAAAAAGTATAAATTTATTGAGAGACCCACAAAGAATAATAAACAGTCATCTAATCGTGGGTTCCCAACTATGTACACTATCACTACCGTCACACAACCATGTGCAGATACTAAACATCCTTTATTGTTATTACAAACGGTTCATGGTGATCGTTATATGTTTGGTAAGATTGGAGAAGGTGCTCAAAGAGCAATCACTGAAAATAAAATTAGACTAGGTAAATTAGAAAATATTTTCTTAACTGGGAAATTAGATTGGTCAAGTACTGGTGGACTTGCGGGATTGATTTTAACAATTGCCGATCAAGGAAAGGATAAAATTGTTTTAAATTACGGTAATAAATTAATTAACTATATTATCTCATCTTGGAGATATTTTGTCTTTAGATTTGGTATTAATTTACAATCAAATGTTTTATCATCCAAGGATAATAACCAATTATATAAAGATTCCTTAATTAATGTTAAAGCGTTTACCGTGGCTCCAAGATTATCAAATGAACCATTATTTAATAATACTGAAGATACGGTATTAAATACTATTGTCGCAAATATGTTCCCTAAACATCCTCCAGCAGCAAAATATGATCCTACATCTGATCCTCATTTGAATGTAGAATTACCAAGAATAAATTTTGAACAAAGTTCAACAAACTATGAAATAAGTTTTAATCCAATTAGAGGGAAATTCCTTGTTCAAGAAGCTATAAGACTTGGTGTACCAAAGGGTCCTCTTTTTGCCGCTTTAACAAAAGGTTTACCAGTAACTTTAGAAGATGGTACCATAGTGTCTCCCGAACAAGTTCTGGAGAAACAAAGAAGGTTCCCTAATGTTTTAATACTAGATATTCCGGATGATTCGTATATTCCATCATTTAAAGAACAATTTTCAAATTATGATTCTGAACATCTTGGTACCATTTATTATTTCCTTGATGAATCTATTACAATTAACGATGAATTAATTAAATTTATGGAATCATTTAGCACTTCAAATAAAAATATCAAGCATATCGTATCACATCCTAATATTTCTCTGAATAATTTAGCATTTGTTGGTTCGGCGATAACAACATTAAAATTGAAAGCATTACAATTGGAAAATTACAATTTACCAAGAACAAACAACTTTTTATCCAAAGATTTCTATGATTGTTTTGAAAAACCTGTCCCAAGTGGTACTTCTTTAATTCAATCACAGGAAGATACACTTCAAACAGATTTACCAAAGTCTAATGTTTATATTATGGATAAGGATACAACTGTAACCATTGACGCAACTCCTGTTGATGAATCTACAGATAATTATAAATGTCAAGTGGATACAGACGGAAGACACCGGAATGATGATGATAAAATTTGGAGAGAGTTATACAATACACATATTGAACCATTAAATTTGCCGACCGTTTCCTATGAAACATTAGTAACAAATCAAAAGAATCAGAATAATTTTAATAATTCAAAGGAAAAGGCTGACCATGTAGAGATAATCACATTTGGTACAGGTAGTGCTTTACCATCTAAATACAGGAATGTTGTGTCAACATTAGTGAAAGTACCATATGTTGATGAGAACAATAAAATTTCCCAAAGAAATATTCTTTTTGATGCTGGTGAAAATACTATTGGGCAAATTAATAGAAATTTCTCTGAGAACAAAAAGAAGGAATTATTTGAGAACTTAAAGATGATTTATTTGAGTCATCTTCATGCTGATCATCACTTAGGTATCATTAGTATACTAAAGGAATGGTACTATTATAATAAATCTGATATAAACGCCAAGGTATACTTGATATCGCCATGGCAATATAATAAGTTTGTGAAGGAGTGGTTATTATTAGAATCTCCAGAAATTTTATTAAGAATTAATTACATTAGTTGCGAGCATCTTATCAATGAGAGAGTTTGCCGTATGGAGACAAAGCCAATAAATGTAGATGAATATGTTGATTTAATGAACGAAGAGTGTAGTGAATCAGAAGCTACATCTGACGGCGAATCTGCTGGAGAATTGAGATCCTTGAAGAGAAGGAAATTAGAGTTAAATAACATGACATCGTTTAGAAACATTAAGATGATTCGTTCCATGTATGAAGATTTAAATATACAAAGATTCCAAACATGCAGAGCTATTCATTGTAATTGGGCTTATTCAAACTCCATCACTTTCCAAATCTCTAATACGAAAACTTTTAAAGTATCTTATTCAGGTGATACAAGACCAAACATCGAGCATTTTGCTAATGATGTTGGACAAAATTCTGACTTATTAATTCATGAAGCTACATTAGATAATGAATTACAAGAAGATGCTATTAAGAAGAGACATTGTACAATTAATGAAGCAATTGATGTTTCAAATAAAATGAATGCTCAGAAATTATTACTAACGCATTTCTCTCAACGGTATCCAAAAGTCCCTAATATTATGAACAATGTCAAGATTAAAGCAAAAGAATATTGTTTTGCATTTGATGGGATGATTGTAGATTATGAAAAGATGGGCGAACAATTAGCTATCTTACCTAAACTAGGTAACCTATTTGTTGAAGAAGCTGCAGAAGAACAGGAAGAAGAAAAGACTCAATTAGCTATACGTGGGGACAAGAAACAAAACAGAAAAGAAAAGAAAACAGGCAAAAGCAAGAAGATAGATAAATAATGTAAATAGTATCAATTAAAATCATTTAAGAAAAACATGGTAAATTTTATCTTTTAAAAAAAATTTATTAAAATTAGTCTATGTGAATATATATTATGAAAAGACAACAAAAAAGCTGACGAATGATTTATGTAAAAAATTAAAACTGAGCATAGTATAATTTTTGTGATCATCTTTAAGAACGGTTAATCAATTTCTTTAATGATAAACTAGCATCATCGTTTTCTGCAGAGGTTAGTGAATCATTGTCAGAAATATTTGTCATGGAATTTCTTCTTTCATTAGTACCAATTGGTGACATTGTGATAGATGATGCTACCATTTTACTACTTAAAGAACCATTCATTGTCTGCTGAATTAATGGAGTAAATTGTAAAGCAGCCACGTTAGATGATAAATTTGAATCATTCGGTGTAGCCGGTTCCATTTGCAACTTAGCTCTATCATTTAGACTAACTGGTTTCAATCTTCTTTCAATGTGAGTTGGAGAAGCAAAAGTAGTAATGTGAGGTTTTGGAGATGCTAGTAACAAAGTTGATGATGCATTGTTCATTGTTTGGTTATTGTTGTTTGAGGTTGATACGCCAGTACTTCCACCATTGTTATTCATTGTTTCAAACCAATGCCCATTCTCAACATCGTTAATTAATAATGGATCACCTCCAGAATACTTGAAAGGGAACTGTTGTTGCTGTTGTTGTTGTTGGAATGATTGACTTGTTGTAGGTTTTGGCAGAACTCTATTCTTTGGAGAGAAAGTTGTACTTGGACTACTAAATTTTAAGATTCTATCGTCTAATGAGGCCTCTTGATTCCCACTACCATTGGTGAAGAACATACGAGGTGACATACTATTCGATAAAACCATATCGAGACCCATTGAAGGGGTGAATCCAGTTCTAAATTGAGCATGTTTGGTTCTTGGAGTTGAAGGAGCATTTGGTGTACCAGACACAGTGACTTGAGGTAAAGGATGTAATTTATTAGTGATTTCACTCAAACTAGATGGAGTACCCGGTGTAATTGAAGGTCTTCTTAATTTCTTGGTATCTACCACTGGGGAGGAATGTGCTACGTCTATGTTGGATACAGCGGCAGTTTGAACAATAGTCTTTTTTTTATGAATTGGTTTTTTAACCATATTTTTCGTTGGAGAAGAATTTAATGATGAAGTTGTACTTCTCATCTTCTTTAACAAATTTAATATTTTAGTCTTCTCTGGTAAGACATCAGCTCCATCATTTTGTTTACCATTCTTCTTAATTGATTTCAACTTCGAATCCTCCATATTATTAACATTAGTAACATCGGGAGATACAGGTTTTAATGGTAAATGTTTAAAAATATGAGGACTCACAATAGAGGCTTTCCCATTGGCACCGATCGTTAAAGATAATTTTAAAGGAGTACAAGGATTAGAAGGTTGTATATTTGACTTATGTGGTTTTGTCGCTGAGGAAGATAATTGAGCACTTGATGGTGGAGAACTCAATATATTCATCCTAGGTACCGATTGAAATAAATTATCACTAGAATGTGGTGTAAATGGTGAAGATCCTCCATATTGTTCAGCAGACATACTTGTGCTATTCATACCACCCTGATGATTATTAGTACCATTCATAAAATTGTTACTCGATTTTATTGGCGTGGATAATGTTGAAATTGACTGTGGGTCACGGGTTAACATTTCTTTATTTAATGTAGACAGTAAATTTCTATTATAGTTATTGATCATGACAGTGTCTGTATAAAGTTATAATTATTTTTTATTATTAAATCAATATCAATGTATATTTATAGAGGTATAAATAGTAATTCGATCAAAATATAACTGAAAAATTCTCAAATTAGAAATGTTAATAATTTATTGCCATTGTGTGAACTTCCTAATATATATATATTAGCTTACATTATTAGGTGTGCTTGGTTCTATTTCCCAATCCGGTAATTCTGAAGCAAATTGCAAGAAAAAAAAAATTTCACAGCAAAAAGCGAAACGCGTCAAGAAAATTTTGAGATTTTCTGCTGCGTTCGAACGCGTTTTCTCCTTCTCGGGGGGTTACCAGTTAAATGATTTCCCAATCTGGTAACTATATAGGCAGGCGATAGGCAAATTTCCTGTTACGGTAATTATATTTAGATATAGATATAGATACTAAGCTTCTTATAGAGGTAAAATATGAGGATTTGGACCCAAAGGAGTTAAACCTAATGGGTTAATCCTTGTGTGAGAGCGGGTGTAATGTAATTTAATGTGATTGAAATTAGTTGTTAGTCTGAATGAATCATTATTCCAATACAAGTTACGTAACCATAAATGAATGTAAGGATAGCCGTCTCTAATTGTAGTTAAATTACATTTAAAATGTTGAACATACACTGGATCAAATCTAACAATTGTTGTATAAAGTCTAACATCTGCTTCAGTTAATTGATTATTTAAAACAAAATAATGTTTTAAAATTTCTTTTGAATCTGGTCCAAATTTTTTCTCTAAAGCTTGATGTTTACTCTTTAGTAATTGTTCAACACGATCTAAATGTTGAAAAACATTTTTAACTTCTTTTTCATAAGCAATTGCAGATTCTGCAAAACCTGCTTTATAAACACCATTATTAATATTATCATATACCCATGAATTAAACTCATCAATTTGTGATTCTAATTCTTTTGGTACTAAATTAATAATTTCAGTTGAGGATGTTGTTGAATCTTTAATAAATTCATCAAATACACCACTGTTTAAAATTCTAATAATTTCACTACTCTCATTATTAACAATTGTATTTGTTTCAGAATCCCATAGCACAGGAACGGTAAATCTATCAGAATAATTTGGGTTACTCTTTAAATATAAATCACTTAATCTTTGAAATTGATTCAATGGATCTGGTGTACCATCAATCCATAATCTATCCGAATCATTTGGAATTGATGCAAATGGCTTCATAGTAATACTTTGAGTATTATCAATACCACCAGATACAGTATGATAAATATTTTCATCGATAGATGATTTATCAGTTGGATAACGTAAAAATCTCCAGCCTTTTGAATCTAAATGCCAATGTACAACCACAACACCAATGACTGTGTTTAAATGTTTTAAAGATCTTGTCAATAAAGTCCGATGAGCCCATGGACATGCTAACGATACATATAGCCAGTATCTGTTGGCTGCAGGTTTGTAAATTGGATGAGTTTTTGAGATAACTTCTCTAAAAGATGATACTTGTCTTTTAAATGCACCATCTTTGGAATCAGCCCACTGTTTCGACATTGTGAAATTAATATTTTTGTTGTTGTTTTTATTGTCACGATTATACTACTATATATTCTTAGTTAAATAAGAATGTAACTATACATATCAATTAACAATATTGAATAGAATTCTTGTTGTTCTCTCCTTTTTATATGTTTTAAAAGAGATGAAAAAAGATTTGTTTTCTGTTCTCTCCTCTCCTATCCCTTGAACCTGTGTACCCTTAAATTTTACGTAATATATACATGTATATGTGTTGGCTTCTCCGGCGGTTTCTCCGGCGGTCAACGGTCATGCCTTTTTTTACAGCCGCGGCTTTGTTACTAAGATTTGAGTAATGCTAGTCGTGCAGGGTGATATCTTTTAGTGATTGATGACACAAACTATTTATTCCGGTCAATGTTAATGAACAAGTTGCATTGACTGTTATTTTAGTCACCTTGTATACTATCTTGCATGTAGGATGTAGTTGGTCTAATTAGCAATGTTAGTTAGTTTGTTTGTTGTTTTTCATTTTTAAAGATTAGATACAAATATACCAATTTGTGAAGAAATTTCAACTGTTAAGAGTTAAATACATTTATTCTACTTCGTGTTAGATAGGAAAAATCATCTTGCAACTAGTAATATTTATACATACTCTACTCAATTTTGTTTTGATTAACAACATCTTATTTTTCTTTAGCACGCAATAGTAAACATTGAACATCACACTTCAATAGAAAATGCTTTGATCAAAAAAACGTATACTCTAAATAGAAATACATTCAGTCATTAAGACAATATTTCCTAAATAGTGCGACGGAATAAACAACCCCAGTTTAATTCGTATGCTATTACTTCCAACATTTATCATTTGGATAAACTACATAGCACACACACAAAATGGTAAACGAGACCATGGACGAATGATCCCCATTACTCAATGAGCAATAAAAAATCACAATCACAATCAGACTACCGTAATTGGAAATTTCCTATAAATGATCTTATTCGTTTATTTTCACTTGAACAGTCAAAATTTTTCAAATTAAATAAACAAGACTCGGCCGAATACGGAAATATCTTATTTCGATATCATTACCGAATTCGGACTAGAAGTAAACATCGTACAAGCAACAATTAAAAATGTCATTAAACTAAGTGTGATTCAAATTGACAGCGTCGATCTGTCTGGAACAAAGTGCTTTTTGATTTTGAAGCAGTAGATTGTGGTTACTCTACTATATATATACTTATGTTGTCAATTGAACTGATCTATCAAAAATAATTTTTTATTTATTTTAATCTTGTTGTTAGCTTAATCAATCTGTATAGAGTTTTTACGTGTGAACCGTGAAAATAATGGAAAAACCAATTCAATTGCTTGTACATACTGTCGATGAGTATATAACCAAATATAAGGAAAGTTGTAACTACGATGAAGAAGAATTGGAAATATTAATGAATGATGAATTGTTAGATTTTGAAAAAGAATTGAAATTGATCGTAGAACAGCGATTACAACGTCTTGTAACTTCAAAGGAACAAAATGGACATAAATTACAACATCCCTATTCAAAACTATTAAGTCAACAAAATATGAAAAATATTATCCCTAATGAGAAAGTTAATAGATATTTGGATGATTTAAAACGTTATAACACTAACGATCTCTTAACGCCTGTGAAACAAATGACATGTCGTTCATCAAGGATTAGAGTTAACAACACTGCTCCTAAAAATAATTCTCCACAAGAGGAAGAAATACATATAACGAGCAGTTTATTACAACCTTCAACACCCCTTGGTAGATTATTATCACCAGTCGAGTTATTACGTAATATCGATATCGGATCATTGGAAGATACTTCACCATCGATTGATAATGAATCGTCTATAGATGAAAGTGATTTTGATGATGATATTTACACATACTATTATGAATCTGATATATCCCTAGATTCAAACACTGAATCCAATGGGAAACCACAAAGAAAGTTGAACATAATGAATTTCTGAAAGGAATAAATCAAACAAAGATAATAAAGCACATTTACCTCAATCATTTATAGAATTATATATATATATATTATGCATAAGCTGTCATTCATTTTAAGTTATAAATCCATCGCCCTGTCTTAAAAATGCTTCAATTCGGATCCTTCAGGTGGTACTGTTTCAACTGGGGCATCTTTGACATCGGTCCAACTTGTGTTTAATGTAGTACCATTACTCTCGACGAATGATTTCATCATCGCTCTTCTTGTATCAGGATCTGCATCTGCATAAATCTTTTGGAAAAATGCGTCTGCACTTCCATTTTCTTCATTATCCTCGTCATCATCTTCATCATTGATATCAATATTTGACCAATCTTTCTTCACTTTTGGTTTATTTTGAGATGTCGTCTCTTCTACACTCAGAGAATGCCATGTGACTCGTTTTTGTAATTTTTCAAACACAATCTCAATCTTCTTAGTAAACACTTTACATTGAATATTATTCTTCTCTATCTCATGCGATAATTTAGTCTCATATTGAAATTCTGAACCTTTTGATGCAATTTTAAACGATACACTTAAATTTTGACCATCAGGAATTTCAATCTTTACATCTTCATTGGATGATGGTAAATTATCAGTAAATAACGAAATCGTGACATTATTAGGGGTTTGATACCAATCTGATCTAAATGCAACTTTCTCTTTCTCAACTTTTGGCAAAGTAGTCAATACTTCTGACTCTTTATTAATATTATCGTTATCATCATTATTTCTTGTAAGCGTTGGATTTAATTTAGCTAATTTGTTTTGCAATCTTTTTTCCCACATTGAGAATGTTGCATCATCGTAACCATGTTGCTTTGCCAACTTAAAGAAATTTTCTGCCTCTGCATACATTTTCCTGTTGAAGTAATGAATAAATATTCTAAAATATATAAATGCAATCTTTTCTCTATCACCTCTCCCTTGTGCTACAACCAGAGCTTTAGATAATGTCTCATGTGCATCTTCAATTATATCATCCACATGACTTACTTTGTCCCCAAAATATAATTTTTCTAAGGACGCAGCTCTATAAACCAATGCTTTTGTATTATTTGGATATTTTGCTAATATTGTGTCATAAATCGTTAACGCTTTCTTTGGGTCCTTTTCATCATATAAAACTTGATATCCTATCTTTAAAAGTTTCTCAACTGGTATATTACTATAATCAGTCATTTTATTATAGTCCTAGTTATTCTTCAAGGCGATGTTATTTTACTCGTTTGGTCTATTTCTCTTTTAAACATTAGCCTTACTCCTTTTCATATAGCGTTTATAATCTTTTATCTCTCTATTCTTTCAGTGTGTATTGAGGTGGTTTCGGCACTTCCTATTTTTTGTTCACTAAAACTTCCCATGAAGCGATGAGTTCCGATGAACCAAAGAAAATTTTTCAGTTTTAATTTTTAATAAGAAGAGAAAACAGATGATGATTAAGCGATGAGGCTATAAAAAACACATGTGAAGCATATATTCATATCACTACTTTCACCGTCAGGAATACAACTATTAGCTGAAATTCAACTGTATAACCTAGCTTTAACCGATGTCTACACACGTGAGAGCTCTAGTGCTGGATGCAACTCCACTGATCACTCAATCATACACTCATTACCAAAACTATGCTGAATCATTTTATACTACACCAACTGTGTTTCATGAAATTAAGGATGAACAAGCTAGAAAGAACTTAGAGACATGGCAAAGTCTGGGTACTTTGAAACTGGTACATCCTTCAGAGGAATCTATTGCACATGTAAGTGCTTTTGCTCGTTTGACTGGTGACTATTCTGTTCTCAGTGCCAATGATATACATATCCTTGCATTGGAATATCAATTAGAATGTCAGTTGAATGGTGGTGATTGGCGTTTGAGACAAAAACCTGGTGCTTCTCTTCAGGAAGCACAAGAGAAGGAAGCATCTATTGAGGCCAAGGCTGAAAAGCAGGATGCCACATCAACAGGACAAAAGAAGAGAAGAAGAAGAGGTGGTAAGAAACAAAGAGAAAAGAAAGAACAACGTGAATTAGAAGAAACCGAGAAAATAGAAACTGAAGAATCAAAAGAGTTAGAAATTCCAGTGGAGAATCAAGAAGAAACGAAAAAGGAAGTAAAATTCGAAGAACCAGAACAAGAGGTTGCTGTGGATAGCAATGACGAAAGTACACTTGCTGAAGATTTTGAGGATGGTGATGATGACGGTGAATGGATTACACCAGATACACTTGTTGAAACCATGATTAGAGACAGTGGTGAAGATACATCTGGTTCAAAGGGTGTAGAAGCTATTGATAATAATAAATCTAACTCGATTAATTTACCTCGTAATCAAGTTGCACTAGCAACAGGTGATTTTGCTGTTCAAAATGTTGCATTACAAATGAATATGAATCTAATGAATTTCATGTCAGGTCTAAAGATTAAAAGACTTCGTAACTATATGTTGCGTTGTCATGCATGTTTCAGAATATTCCCATTACCAAAGGATGGTAAACCAAAACATTTCTGTCCATCCTGTGGTGGTCAAGGTACTCTTCTAAGATGTGCGGTCTCTGTAGATGCACAAACCGGTACTGTGACACCACATTTAAAGGCAAACTTCCAATGGAACAACAGAGGTAACATATATTCAATGGCGAGTCCACTTTCTAAAAATTCTCAAAAGAAATATGGTAAGAAAGGTTATGTTCATAACAAACAAAACAGTAATCATATGCAAGAGACACCACTATTAAGAGAAGATCAAAAAGAATATCAACAGATGGTGAAACAAGATGAATGGACTAGAAGACACAATGAAAAAGTTCTTGAGAACTGGATCGGTGGTGGGTCTGCCGATAATTACATGTCACCATTCGCCATGAGTGGATTGAAGCATCATAGTTACAAAGTTGGCAGAGGTCGTTATGCTAATAGTAACAAGAAGAAATAGAAGAGAGATATGCACATCTCACCTAACCCATCAATTTGACACACCGTCATACATACCATTTTTATATATATACACACATAAAACAACATAAATATTAATATAAATATCCATCTATATTGTGAAAGTCTGAAGTCCGTATGGGATATGTTGGTTGCATTATGACGTATTTTCTCTGGAAAGAGGAAGTCGGCAGAATTTTGGCGGAGCGCACGGGCATTTTGGACGGGCACAGGCTGCAGCTGTATTCAATGGCCGCGCCTGGTTGGGGTTGAGTATAAAAAGTGTTAATTATTTATGGGGGGTGCCCTTGTAAAATTTGTTATGAAAAACAAAAACAAAAACGAATCTGAAGTTGATAATGTATCAATATGGGGTTTAAGTAGGGCTAATGGGATGGGGAAAACAATATAGCTGATTCCCTCTATTTGGCATTTTGTTTCACAACAGTGTGAATGTAGTAAATGACAGATTACTGCGTGCTATATACGCAATTTTCTATTTGCAAATTGCGAGAAATTATAATCTTTAGTCACATGATTAATCGAATAAAAGTGTATAGTGTACGGTTACAATATGTTATGCCAACAGTGATTTTAATGATCAGTTTAGGTCTTCTCCTTTGCAACCGCAATTGTTTTTCGGGGCGCTCGGCGGAAATTTCTTACAAAAATCAGAAAGAGGAAATGGGCGGGAAAAAAAGCTATTTTGTACTTCGATCTCTACCACCGCGCCCTATGATTTAGCATCACATAACTTGAAAATGATGAATGGCAATTTAAAAAGATGCAGCTTATATTTTGACAGCCAACTGGGAACAGTACAAAAGGAATTTACACTTTTTATTTTAAAATTCTAATAACTATATGATTTATAATACCGCCAAATTTTATAGAATAATAACAAGATATACATATAGTATTCGTTGTAATGACATTAGACGATCAACAGAAACAGAAGAATGAGGGTATTCTACCAGAACAAGGCACAGAATCAATATTACCTCATGAGAAGAATGAACCCACTAGAACAAAATCTATTATGAATGCCAGTGGTACATCTGGTGCAGTGGTATCGAATACACCGGAGGCTGGGTTAAAACGTGCTCCAAAAGTAATGTTTAGTAATTCGGAAGGTACCGGTGGTAGCAGTGCATTTGATAATACAATAAGCAATGACAGTAATCAACTAGAAACAGGAACATCTCATAAACAATTGAACGAAGGGTCATTTGCAACTCTAACTAGTAAATTAGAGGGCACTTATACAAGAGACACAGTTAGTTTCAATGATGGTAATTCTACACCAAAATCTATGTTGACTGGTGCTGGTTCTAACACAACTAATAATGAGCATGCTCATTTTGTGGTACAAGATGCCTTACATAGTCCGCCGCACAATATGCATACGGGTAATAGTAGCATAGCTACAAGTCCTCGTGGGTCTATTGTGTCTTCCATGATGAATTCTATCAAGCATAAAGAACATGAAATTATGGCCACTGAAATAGCATCACACAAGGAGTCCATAAAAAAAGATACTACTGGGAACAACGTTGTGGTTCCAATGATAGTAACAGATATTGAAAAAGATAAAATACCCTTAATAAAAGATTCCAAAACAAACATGACTACTTTCTTTCAGGACCAAGATGATGGTAAATTACATGTATTAGTAGGTTGTACTGGTCCAATTCATGTACCAAAGATTAAATTATTTATAAGGAAATTGGAAGATATTTATTCGAAAGATAAAATTTCATTTCAAATTATCCTAACAAGAACATCAACAGTGTTTTTCAATAAGAGAAAGATCCCCAAAAAAACTGTTACCAATAATTCAACAACCTTACAAAATCAACCAGCTTCTGATTTGACGCCTCCTGATTTCCCAAGTAACGTTAAAATATGGAAACATAATGATGAATGGAATAGCTGGACTCAGAAATCTGATCCAATATTTCATATTGAATTGAAACGATGGGCAGATATTTTAGTCATAGCTCCATTAACTGCAAATACATTGGCTAAAATGGTTCTCGGACTCTGTGATAATTTATTAACAAATGTTATCAGAGGATGGAATCCCGCATTTCCTATTTTCATTGCACCATCTATGGTAAGTAGTACATATAATTCTATTACTACAAAGAAGCAACTAAAGATGATAAAAGAAGATATGCCTTGGGTGACAATATTTCAACCATCTGAAAAAATTATGAGTATGCATGGGAATATTGGATTAGGTGGTATGATGGATATTAATGAAATTATAGATAAAGTTGTAATGAAATTGGGTGGTTATCCAAAAAATGAAGAGGATGAATCGGATGAGAATAATGAAGATGATGATGACGAAGATGATAACACAGAAGAACGTTCTGGTAATAATCGAAATGAAAAACTTGGTGACGATAACACTAATGATGACCAAGATGACGATGATGACGATGACGATGATGATGATGATGACGAGGATGATGATGACGAGGATGATGATGATTATGACGAGCATCAAACTGATCAACATCCTGCCCAATAGGGGCTACGTTTAATTGTTTCCTCATTGCACTACAAAAATGATTAAAATTCTGTTGAAATTTAGACAAGATGACCAATGATTAAGTATATATTCATAAATTTTAACTATATATCTTTAAGGTTTTTTGATCCTTTCCTGGCATTTATTTAGGTTCACCGGGTTAAAAGTTGTACAGTCTCCCTAATAAGGCTGAGTTTATGACTATTATAAACTCTGGTTGGGTTATATAGACCTGATAATGGGAACTGTTAAAGCTGATTAGTACAATTTCCACTGCGTAATTCTGATATATTTTTGCAAATGCTTAATTATTCGATTGTCAGGAACATTTCCCACCTTCGAAAATTAAACAATTATCGAGTTCAAAGCCAAATAGAGTCCCATGTTCGATACAATGTGTCACAGTGTCAGAGGTTCCAAGATAATCGAACAACTGATAGTAAGAAGAGCAAATTTAACGTGTGTGCACGTGATATTTTACATTTTCGTAGGCCGGTTTCGCTATTTGAGTATTTTTTTTTTTCAAGCGAAATGCCATAATAAACTGATTACTAATGCATTAATTTAATTCAATAGTATTCTCAGGGCATCGCAAATTTGAAATAAGAAGAAACAACATTTATTATTGTATTTCTTAGCTGCTTTATATATGAAAAACTGTTTGTAATTCTACTAAGATTCAAGAAAAGGCTGTTTTTGATTTATTTGTTTAAAGATTAAAGGCTTAGCTACATAATATAACTAGCACTATAACATATATATTAATAGGATTACCATACCATTAATAATGTCTTCTTCTAAAATCGGTCTATTATTAATTCACCCAGCTGTTACCACTACTCCAGAGTTGGTACAAGACGTTAAAGAAGGTTCCGTAGAGAGAGGTATCAAGTTTGTAGATCAATATTTGGTTAACAAAGTTAACGATTCTTCCATTAAATTGAAGCCTTCCACTTATGATGTTATCCACTATTTAACCCCAGAAAAATCAGATGCTATTTTATTCCCAAAGAAGCTTATTCCAGTACTACAAGCCTCTATGAAACCAGATGGTAATTTATATGGTCTAAGTGATGTTTACAAGGTCGACGCATTGATTAACGGCTTTGAAATTGTCAATGATTCAAGTGATTTGTATCATTGGGTTAACAAGGCTAAAATTGAAAAGCCAGTCTCTAAGCTTGTTTCTTTGAAATCTGCTGGTTCTTCAAATTCTAGCTCTTCCCTGCCTTCATTTAAGAAGAGTGCAGATGCAGGTAAAGCACTACCATCTTTCAAGAAGTTACCAACCTTCCAGAAAAAGGACGACAGTCCACAGATTGTCAAGCTAGCTGATGATAATGATGAGCTAGACGAAGATCTAGACGAAGAAGTCTTTAGTGATTTCTCCAAGACTCAGTTCTTCGACGATATGGATGATGAGGATTCTATTGAAGAAGATAATTTGATCTCAGAAAAGGGCCAAAATAGCGTAATTACCATGATTACGTGCGGTAAGACCAAGACCTCTAGAAAGAAGGCTTGTAAGGATTGTTCTTGTGGTATTAAGGAAGAAGAAGAACAAGAAATTGACAACATTAGAAGTCAACAAGAAAAGGTTGTTCAATTCACTGAAGATGAACTTACTGAAATTGATTTCACCATTGAAGGTAAGAAAGTTGGTGGTTGTGGTTCTTGTTCCCTAGGTGACGCTTTCAGATGTTCAGGTTGTCCATACCTTGGCCTACCAGCTTTCAAGCCTGGTGAGAAGATTAACTTGACCAGTATTTCTGATGACTTGTAAAAAAGGCCAAATGCATTTCAACCATTTCCACCAGAGGTATCCCTCCACAGTGCACAGAATTTCCGCAAGTGGTATATATCGGATATTGTGGAATCATCAAAACAAGTTTATTTGTTGGGAAGGTCGGTTCCGATGGACCAGATTTACTCTTTAATAATTGCAAACTTCACTAATTATTACTCAACAATGAACGTTGATTCGAATAAAAAAACATTTTTTTGATTTCCCCTCAAAAAAGAAATGTTTCGATTATCACATTTACTTCAATATTCTTTATGAACCTTTGCAGTAAGTATATTTATTTTTTCACTCCATTTATCATAAGAAACCATTATTATGGTGATAATTTATTAATGCTCTCGAAAGATGTTGCAATCCAAGGTTGGTATTATCTTAGTCTATGTACATTTATATCTATTTATATATATATTTCATTTATGTATAATTGAAATAATTTTTATGGGAACTTTCAAAATTTTTGTAGAGACATTAATTTTCATTTAACACTTTAGTTACTGCAGTATAAACGTCGTCTACAATCATTGTTGGTGTGCATTTATCCAAAACATCCCCATCACGATAAACACCAGTCTTCACTAAACAACTTTCCCAACCGTTCTTTTCTGCACCAATGATATCACTAGCTGGGTTGTCACCTACCATAAATACCTTCGAGAATGGTGACTCTTCGGGTTTATATCCAAGATTTGGCAAAACTTGTACTGTTGAATTAGTTTCACCATTCAATAATTTTTTTCTCCAGTCAATTAAGACAGTATGTGCAAAATCGTATGTGATACTTGTTGGTTTACCAATAATAAAATCCCTCAAAGGCAAACCATTATTCATTTGAGTATATAAAGTTCTAACCAAATATCTGAAAGCACCTTGACCAAATCTATTTAAGTTATATTGGTTGGCCCATAGAAGATCATTATTTGAGAAATATATTGGCACAGATGGTTGCCATTCCTTTTCAGTTCTTAAAGTGTTTAATATGCCCCTATCACTATTAATTACGTCCGAGATAATTTGAAGATCAGCAGCCCAATCATGTGGGTCATTGAATACTAATACTGCATCAAATGGTTTGGTCGTCAAATCCTTAATTTCGTTAGAAAATTGATCTAATTCAGCAGAAGTCACCCCAGAAAATGGTGTAATACTTCTATTGTATTTAATAATATCAATTGGATGTACGACGTTCTTGAATCCGTACTTTTTAGCTACATCCTTTACTGAATATGTACCTACCGCCAGAATTTTCTCGTATTTGTTCACTAATGTCTTATATGGTGTATGACTCTGTACTATCTGTAACGGAGAAATCTCAACGTCGAGAGCCTTTGAGATAAAATCAACTCTTTGTGATTCTAAGACACCACCTCCATTAGTTAACAAGATATATGGAATTTTGTTCTTGTTTAGTAATCTTAAAGCATCGCCAGCTTTAGAAATGGGTTTTGTTCCTCTCAATAGTACACCATCTATATCGAAAGCAAATGCAATTTCACGAGCAGACGTACTAAGTAGACGAGCATACGTCTTAGTAGGTAAACCAACTCTTGATAACATATTTGTATACTTTGTATATGTATATTTTTTTCTATCAAAGTAGCTAATTAGAGTATCCTGGATTAGATAATGGTGCGTTAATCATTCTTTTAACCTCGAGACAGGTGTATGTATATATCTATATATATAAATGTGAGTAAAATTAGGAATTACGCAGCGCGATGCCCGATGCCCGATGACGCACATTTTCCATAATTAAGTGCTCTATATATCAAATGTGTGGATAAGAAGGTTTAGTACACATATTGATTGCTTTATGTCATCTGTTTCCCCCTCTTTGTTATTTAAACAGTAGAGGTATATCTCTACGTAAGACTACTATTTTTGATGTTGTTTACAAGATTCTATCAGAAAGTTTTTATTCAAAGTTTTATCTAATAATAAATAATAATAATTGTACGACTATATATAAGTAGAATATTCATACTGTGATACCCGAAGTCAACCCACTGAGGCTTGCTAAATCTATTGCTGAGTCAGTATAACCTTCATCTATGTGATACATGTGATCAGAGGTGAATTCTAGGGTATCGTTATTTACCAATTTCATCACGGCATTACCCATTACTAACAAGCCTGGTGGTCTTGAACCTATCTCCTCGACGACTTGTGGTAAATATTGTAGTTGTGTCCTTGTGACCCTTTGATCACTACATGAAGCTCTCTCTATTATTGCTACAGGTACATTTACAGGCCAGTCATTTTCTAATAATTGTTTTGTTAATAATGAGGCTCTATGTAAAGCCATTAGAAAGACTGTAGTACGTGATTCCACAAATTGGGATAATTCAGGTAGATTACCACGACGGCCTGTTCCTGTACAGATTAATACTTGATCTGCCACATCTCTATGAGTAGCTGGGATATCTGCTACTACAGTAGAGGTTAATGCTGAACTCAAACCAGGTAGAACCTTTGGTGTAAAACCCTTTGATTTAAAATATATATATTCTTCACCACCACGGCCAAAGATGTAAGGATCACCTTGTTTTAAACGTACTACTCTTTTACCTTGTTGTAATGCAGTCAAACCACGTTCTAATAATTCTTGTTGTGCACGTTCAGCATTACCAGGGAATTTTCTTGCAATGAACGTTTCAGTTTCCTTTGGGATTAATTCCAATATTGGTTGTGGAACTAATTTATCAGCCAATATAATATCTGCAGATTTAATTTCATGCAAAGCACCAATTGTTAACATACCGACAGAACCGGGGCCACTTCCAACAAGTGACAAATGGCCCCTCTTAGGTATTGATAATTCTGAAATTGAAGGGAATGCAGGTTCAGTGGTAGTAGAGACAATAGAATCATCTAATTGACTCCATGTTAAAGATGCTAATTGCTCCAAGGGGTAATATTCCATAACTTGTGACAACCAACGAGTCCGTTTCTTTTGTTGTGTTTGTTTATTATGAACGAATTCTTCAACCAGAGTGTTTAAAGTATGACTTTCCCATTGATCATCATCGTCTAAACCTAACCCCAATGGTGATCTTTGATATAATGGTTCCTTAAATAATTGTTTATCATGTTCCAACAATAATTCAGAACGTAATTTTGCCATATTGTGTAGAACTTGTGAAATATTATTTGGTAATTTACTAATAATATCTCTCTTAATACGATTAGCTAATACATACCCACATCCATTAGTAGTAACTGAAATCTGTAGTCCACTACCTTGAGGATCAACATATGTTGGTAACATATGAAAAGTTGAATGTTCTGGTTGTTGATATGTATTGATTGGAATTCTTAATTTGGTACATTGTGTAAATATCTCTGGTACTTCATTGCATTGTAAAAATGGTAAATTTACATAGACACGATCCACTACACGACTTGTTAATATACGGCCCAAAGTAGTTAAATCTGCTAATTTCACAGGTCTATCATGAATTTCTAATTGTGGGAATGTAGTTTGTAAAATCTGACTATGTTTAGTAGATGATGGGTTTACTAGCACCGGATGAACACCTGACTGTATTAAACTTTCTATACGTCTCGTCGTCAAGGATAAAGAGTCTGTAGACCCTGTTCCAATCAGTAGATGACGTTCATTTGCAGCGGTAGCTGCTATAATTAGCGGTAATGGTTCTTCCAATGACATTGTTGATGAAAGAAAAGGAATGTTTTGCTGGTTAACTTGTAATAATATACTTGTTGTTATTCTAGCCAAAATGATACTAAGTAACTGAAATTTTTAAGTGAACACTGAAAACTATTTACATCTGAAGAGTTCAAATGAAACCCATGCTTATATATATATATGCTTATGTCAAGGAATGACTCGATGTCTCTCTTCCACAGTTGATCCAGCTACTAGTTCCGATGATTCATCACTTCAGTTGTTGTTGTTGTTGTTGTTGTAGCTGTTAGATGCATAAATATGACTGTCTTTGCACGTGATATGATGAACTTTATCACCGCGCGGCGTTGCCACTAAAAGCCCTGCAGAACAGCTTCACAAAGTTGTGGTGGAAGTGAGAAATGAGAAAGATCAAAACTACCAAGAAGAGCAAATAAGAGTGATGATGTTGGCCGTCTGGAAGTGGGACTGAGTCTGAGGTTTGGCCTTTGAGTGTGACACCGTTTGGTATGGTTAATGCATTTTACATTGCTGTTTGGTTAGATCAGTTTGTTAATGGGTAGTGTCTGAACTTGTTGTCTCTCGTAAGCAGACTTGAAGGTTCATGAAGCGTAATTGTGGGCGTCTGGTGACCTATTAGATATGGTTGTATGCAAGTGGTTCATTTTGCATCCAAAGCCACTTGAGTGTGTTGGTACTATATGTATGTATATATCTATATTGTTTCACTACAATTACTTGTTGTCAAGGTACACATATTTGTTGTATCACCCCCAACGTGTCTGAACTTTTCTTACTTTAGTATTGGTACATTCAACAACGCACAAAATCATTGACAATGGAAAGTGCTGCCTCAGAAAATTGACAAGTGAAAGATACTTAGTTATATAATATATGTAATATCACTATTCTAAAAAAGAAAAAGCTACTTTACACCTTCTCTTGTTTCAAGTTTATATCAAAAATATTAGAGATCAAATGAACTACGTGCTATGAGATCACATATATGGGCTCCTTCATAGTGGATAATTGCTTTGTAAGTGTAGTCTGTTACAGATATTGGGCTTATGTTACTGTTATATGCACAGTACTCCTATAACAGATGGCAGATATACTTCCACGTCTCAACTTCGTGAAACAGCCTCGGGATACACGTTAGTTATTCTTTGCAACTAACTCTTACCGATTTTGTGCACTACCATATTATCACACCATTTTTAAATATATATATGTCTATGAATATAGTGTTTGCTGATTAACTACAGAAAAAAATTGAATAACCTTCAATTATTTACTGACACTTCACCTTCATCTTATTCCCTTGTATGAAGGAACAGGCCAAAATGTATTGAACTGGCATCGCGAAGTTCCAAATCTTTCATTTTTGCCCGATTTCGAATTTTCCAATTCTCTCAATTTACTTAAAATAAATAACAAAACCACGTACGTTTAAGATAATGAGTAAGTTTGTTTTAAAGGACTTGTAATACAACAATCATACAGTTTGCCAACAGCCTGCATTCACCATTGTATCACATTTTTACTCAGATATGTCGAGACAACAGTCTATCAACTCAAGTCAAACTCCAACACCTACCACAGCACAATCTCCTCTTAGTCGATCCTTAAAGGCTACAGGTGAAGAAGTATGGAAAAGAACAGAAAAGATTAATGCAGAGTTATTTACACTAACATATGGTGCTATTGTATCACAATTATGTACTGATTATGGTAGGGATTTTGTTAAGATTAATGAACAATTATATCAAATGGGTTATAGTATTGGTGTTCGTTTAATAGAAGATTTTTTAGCTAGAACAGCATTACCTCGTTGTCAAGGTATGCAAGAGACAAGCGAAGCTCTTAGTAAATGTGCATTTAAAGTATTTTTAAATATTACACCAAGGGTAACAAATTGGTCTAGTGGGAAAGATGCATTTAGTTTAATTATTGATGATAATCCCTTAAGTGATTTTGTTGAACTGCCGATGGATGCAATGGAACAATTATGGTATTCTAATGTGTTATGTGGTGTCCTTAAAGGTGCATTAGAAATGGTTCAATTGGATTGTGATGTATTTTTCGTTTCTGATATATTAAGAGGTGATCAACAAACAGAATTACGTGTAAAATTAAATAAAATCTTAAAGGATGAAATTCCAATTGGTGAAGATTAAGATTGATCCATGTTATTTTTTGAAAAAAGAAGGAAATGTTTAAATCATTAATACATTATATTCATGTTTTTTTTTAATTATTTAAATATTTATATATATATATATACAGGTCATAATACATTGAAAAGAAGAAGAAGAAGAAGAAACTATAACATTTTTACTCTGCTTTATCATGTTCGTTTTCTTGCCATTGTTCTCTCACTAGTGATGCAATCTTGGACATACCTTTGGTAACATTTTTACTTACAACACTTGGTTCTTCTGACCATTCAGTATCAGAAGTTCCAGAGAATACAGATTCGGAATCATTTATACGTCCATCACTGAAAATTGGAATATCTGTCAATGAACCTCTTGAGTTGACTCTAGATAGACCATTTGACACATGTGATCCCACGGATCCTGATCTACTACGGTTTGGATAAATCTTTAATGTCTCATTAATTTCTTGAATGATAGCTGAATCTTCAACGGTATCAGTCTTCATGATATTTGATGTAGAGAATTTTTCGAAATCTGGGAATACAGTTGGGCCTAAATCGTTACAAACATCAGTAATTTCACGACTCAACAAAGCTCTCATTTCTTTAATTTCACGAATCTTAGTGTTTGGCGAACAAATCGATACAAATAATGGTGGTAATGATTTCCATAGATCCATTCCAATTTCACCTGTCTTTAAACTAGAATATGTAGTAAAGACTAGTAATGCATAGAAATAGATGAATTGTAAGAATTTATTGGAGAAAGGAACCCATAGGCTTAAAAGATATGAATTTCCACGTGAGTACAACACTATTAAAGTGATTGAATAAGTAATGTATAGGATTGGTGCTAACACTAAAGCAACAATCATTTTCCATGTAGCAATAATATCCGTACCTTTAATCTTGACTAAAGACTTTTTCAACCCCTGTTTAGCCTTTTTCTTGGAGACTCTTGATGATATTATGAATATTGGTGAAAATAAAATAACCCCAGGAATAGACATACCATATAATACCAAAAGACGACAAACTCTTGTAATTAAGATAAATAGACTCTTAACACCACCAAGGAAACTAGTTCTGAGATCTTGAACTTGATGATCCTTTAAACCCATGGAAAATAGTTCTTCATTATATTTCTGTACCATTTTCTTCAAGTTAATAATACGAGAATCATCCTTATATTTCTTATAACCCACTAATAATCTTCTATTAATCTCTACAACTAAAGGTAAAGAAAATCTATGATTTGTTGGTTGATATAACCTTCTTGCTGCTTGAATAGTCATCAAAGTATCGTAATCTGGAGCATTCTCTGTAACTGAAAATAATGAATCAGTGACTCTATCTAATAATTTCGATACTGTATCACGAGGAGATTCAACATATTGTCTACCAAGTTCACCATCTACAATGATAGGTTCACCATATTCAATAACAGCTCTAGATCTAAATTTTTCTCTATGGAAGTAATGTAACCCACATGGTACGACATGAACTTTCATAGATGGATCAGCTGCCACTGCACCTAATGCCATAATGACGACACCTGCTTTAATTGGTAATAAAGAGGGACGATCATGAGAACCTCCCTCGGGGAAGATCCCAACACAACCATTAGTATGTAAATGGTCAAATACATTTTGATAAGTCTTTGAATTATCAATTTTTTCAGCATATTTGAAATTACAACCATTAATTAACAATTTCTTAATCTTTGGGTTTTCACTTTTAAAAGAATTAGACATTAATAACGTTTCATCATCAATAATTTCAGCAATTTGGCAATTACCTAGATAGTATGGTAATCCAATTAATGATTTAACGGTAAATCTCTTGGTAAAATCTGGAGATTTACCATCTTTACAACGGCCTTTAATCAATTTAGGATTACTTTCAATATCAGGAGCATATATTTCAATATTTTTATCAACAGCAACCAAATTATCTTGAATTCTAGGGACAGGAATTCCACCTACACAACTTCCAAAGAGTCCCACCACTTTATTAGTCTGCAGACTCTTTTGAGCAGTAATGAAACAAGTTTGTCTACCTCTACCTTTATGCAACTGTCTTGTCTTTAACATTACTAAACTAGGATCAATAAATTGGTTTGCATGAGGAGCACAAACTAGGATTGTTGGTGTACCATTTGGTGGTACATATTGGCTACCCCGGACTTTCACTTCCCTGAAAAAAATAGTAAATAAAATATCAAAGATTCCAAGTACTAAATCGTAAGCAACAGTATAGATAGTCCAAGTTTCACCATTGAAAGGATTCACATAATCCCTGAACCGATCTGGGACATGAGCCTTTGAAGGTTTTGGTCTCTTTTCTGATTGAGAATTATCTGACATATTTTTTTTTTGGCTCTTTTCAGCAAAATAATGACAGATGAATTAAAGACAATCACTCAAATTTCAAAAATAGCAGAACAAATTAAATAATAACTAATAGTAAAATAATACACGCGATAGACTTTATATAGCTAAAAATCTAATCTAATGTATCTTGGTTCTCCTTCGATCTGTCATGTTGCACCTCTGTATTGTTTTAAATCGTACCCTTTTTATATATTTATTATCCCCGTAAAACAAGAACAGCACTTCCATCTGTTTTTTGCTGCCTTTTTTCGGCTCCTCAAATTTTCTGTTGAGCGAATTCTCCTCTCTCCTCTCTCGCCGTGGGCCGTTTTCTGTGTGGATGGTGGGATGGCTAACTGAACTACTTACATAAATTCAAGATTCGATTCGATGAGGTTCCCTCCCATGGCAACCGTTACAATAGAGGTGTGTGGGGAGATCTGGCTGTGGTTGTGATTGTGGTTGTGGTTGTTTGGATTGTATGTATATGAATATGTAGATATATAGTAGAGGAGGCGGCGGTATCTGGGGAAGTTATGAATGTAGGATATTCAGGGAACTCTTGTTGGCAATGCTCAATTGAAGACTTAGTTTGTCAAGGACTTCCCTTGGGATACTATGTTCTTCTTCATGATTAGATGATAGTGATGGTTTTTTAATTTTACCGTCCACCCATTTGTCGCAGAAATTACCCAGCGTTTCTATCTCACACGGTTGCAAGAATCCATGTCTTGTATCGTTTCCTTCGACACGGTTTAAGATTGTCTCTAGTTGTTGGAAATCCGGATTGAAACTTATATATGATTGCATTCTATCTAGTGAGATATTTGGGTCATTAGTATTCGCTTTGTTGGCCCACTCCATGGTATCATTAGATTTGAAATTTTGACCTCTTTTAAATATATTTTTCAACCGTTGTATAATAGGGTTGGCAACAACCTTGGGTGAATCAATTATGAATAGGCGATGATCTGGTGCATTAAACTTTAGCTGTTCTAAGAGTTGAATAAATTGTGTTGGAATATAGACTCCATTCATTTGGTTTTTACGTATATTATCGTATCCATTGTTGTATAATTGTTTTAATGTTAGTTCACACCAATAATCTAACTGTGATTCATATCTTTTTGTTTCAATGTTGCCATTTTTCTCAATGTAGCATTGTTCTAATGATTGTTTTTTTGGATTATATCTTATCATATCATGGGATAGTTTCCCCAAGATATCATTAAACATTAATATTTGTACAGGATCATTGATATACATATTATTCGATTGTTCAATATAATTGGTATTATTATTTATAGGAAATAATGTTGTGTCTTCCATAATATGTACATTTCCAGGAATATTATCAAGTAAGGATTTCTTATTAATATGATTACATTTGTATAATGGGAATAAATAATAATTTATTTTATCAAAGGATTCAAACGGCAAAATTTCATGAAAATACTGCATAATTTGTTTCATAAAATATATAGATTGTGGCAAATTTGTAAAAATATTAAATATATTTAGATCATAATATGGGTAATCTGTAATCTTATAATTTAACCAAAGCCATCTGGCGATACATTGAGTCAATATTGGATCATAAGTTAATAAATTTTCATGTGGTATACCATGTCCATTCGATATAGAGTCCTGTTTAGAGAAAAAATTATGTCGTTTCATGATATATTTCCGATTATGAAGTTCAATTCGATCTCTAAATGCCATACTATCTGTATGTTGCCATCGAGACTGTCCGGAATTTAACCGATAAGTTAACGTTTGCAATCTGGGTCTTTTGCCCATTACTACTTTATTCATCATTATTGTGAGTAGTTGGAATCTATCAAGGAAATAATGTAGTTGCTTCAGTACTTTGTATTGTTTTATCCATCAACGTTCTGTATATAGTAATAATATCCTTGCTTTCTTCTTTCTCATTATATAAATTTTGTTTATTATTGAAAAGAAACACGCGCACAAGTGAAGAATTTAAAATACTTAAAACATTTGTTATGCTTTTAACAGTTTGTTTGGAGGGCTCCTTTAAGTCAATTGTTTTATGTTGTACTGATTGACTTCTTCCTAAATGATCTATTCTCATATTAGCTTGTTCTAATAAACGTGTTTCTCTTGAATATAAAATAAAAGTAATATCAATGAACGATATGTGTCACATATAGATGGCCTGTAGTTAAACAAGATTGAAAATATTATATAATAAAATTATAAACTAATAGAAAGGATTGAAATTTCTATTCATTGAATACGAACTTCTTGTCACTGAAGTTCGTATTCTTTCTGATAGTTACTGTCCAGTTTGTGTCTACATGGATTGTATTGAACTCCGAAAGTTGATAAAGAGATAAATAAATAATGTACGATACTTCTTGTATACATTTGCGAATTACTACAATGCAATAATGAGTTACCCATACAGTAATTAGGGGTTTTCTTATGGCTTGAATAATATTCCACTTGGAATGGGAAAACATTTAAAGATATGCTCATCACCTATATATACATTAGTTACGGTTGAAATTATGTTGATATTTGTATAGAGACGATTAAAGATCAAGAATATATAATACACGATAAAAAAGAATATTAAAATCCCAATTTTTAACAAATTTAAGCCACCAAACAGTTTTTTGTTAAATTTACTATCTCTCAAAATGTGTAATCTCGAATTGATGTTTCTACAAAACATTTCAAGTCATAAGATGCTGCCAACGCAACAATCTGTAATTGACAATAGAAAATTGACTTAATAATTTGGAACAGGAATAAAAACAGTCTCTGGAGACATGTGTTTCGTGTTTTTCAAGAATTACATCCCTAAACTTGCGTTTTATACTATATCTTGATGTACAGTTATGTAATGAGGGAAATAAAATCATACATAGATGGACTATCTAGTTATGTAGGCTTTAACTTGCACCTTTTCACCTTTTAGACAAGAATATATATTCGTTCATTTTCATAATTTTATTATATAATTACTTCCATTCAAATGACAATTAAATTTTCGTAGTCCTATACTTAGTAAATGTATATTTACGTTTGATCGTATTCATAACCATATAATATCTCTCTCGAATTCGAAGATGTCATAACCCATATAGTTAAGGATTTGCTTAAGTGTAAAGTCGTGTTTCCATCAAAGTCTCCATGTTGTTCCCCAGTTGTATTGGTTCCAAAAAAAAAGATGACACTTTTAGATTATGTTTAGGCTACAGGATTTTGAATAAGGGAACAGCAAAGTATACATACCCCCTACCTCATGTTGAGAATTTATTAGGAATATAGGAAATACCCAGATCCTTACGACACCTGGCTTACATGGTAGACACTATTAGATTCCAATAAAGGAATTCGACCAATTTAGAACCGCTTTTGTTACACCAAATGGTAAAAATGAATACACAGGGATGTTTTTTGTTTAGATATTGCTCCATGGACCATTACTCATTATATGGCAAACCTCTCCCCTGCATTACTATTCGTAGATATGTACCTACGTGATGTCCTAACTTTTCAAATAGCCATGGCGAACATTGAAAACACATTGATGAAGTATTAACAATTTTAAAGAATTAAAACCTTGTTGCTAAAGAAAACAAAAGTTCTTTTGCTAAATCTTCCATTGCTTTCTATGGATATTCTGTCTTATACTGCAGACTCCAGCCATTGATATCTAAGTGTCAAGCAATAAGTTAATTTGTTAACCCGAAAGCAGTAAAACAGGCCCAACACTTCTTGGGTATGCTCGATTATTATCGAAGATTCATATCTCATTTACGGAAATTGCTGCCCTATACAGAAATTTATTACAGGTGATGAAAAATGGTACCTCTCATACAACAAGGTTTTGAGGAACTAAGAGAGGCGTTAGAACACAACTCTTTACTAGTTCCATTCAAACAAGATGGTATTTATCAATCAACGACAAATGCGTCAAAAATTGGTGTAATTGCTGTCTTAGAAGAAATTGATGAAGATAAAAAACTGGTTGGTGACGTTGGTTATTTCTCAACACCATTACACAGTTTCTCAAAAGAATTATTTCATGGGTGAACTAGATTTAATAGGTATCATGGAAGCTTTGCAACATTTTAGTTATTTGTTGCATTGTAAACAATTTATATTAAGAAGAGATCACGCTAGTCTGACATCCATTGGGCACAAATAAACCATTCGTACGAATTCATAGATGTTAGACTTTTAAGGAGTATTCGAATGTGAATTAGAATATCTTGCTGGTCCAATAACTTGGTCGCTGATACTAAATCATGTACATCCTATACTGTCTCTGCTACTATTTAAGATATCATCACCAATCCATTATCCCCCCCACTCCATTGATTATAAAATGGGTATCCAATTTGCAGGTACTTAGTGTTGAACGTACTCTATCCTCTGTAAACTATTAAACAAAAGTTCGTAGTAGGAAGGGTGGGCGACTTAGCCACCCTTGAAAATGAAAAACTAATTATGTAAAATGGAGAGGGATTTAAATTGAGCACACCCTGATATTATTCTCCTTTTTTTTGTGACTTCAAATGTTTTTAAAGTGTTCTTTATCTAAGTCTTCAAGACGATATGTATATTATATCTTGGCAAAACTATAAAACATATATATATATATATATATATATATTCTCACTTCATTCTCATACACACCATTAATAAAAACGAAAACTCACTTGTAGAAAATCTGAGTTAGAGTTTTTACTCTTAGTTGATTCTTTAATTTCTTGTTTGTTAGTTAAATGTAATTCCGACATTTTTTGATATGAAAATTGATCAGTTATTTTAAATTATATAATCTTCAAATTACTTAATCATAAATATTTCTTATTTTACAATATTTTGGACTAAGTGTCACAGTAAGTTACCTTAGTTTCTGACAGTTTCATATTGTAACATGTTTCATTCCCAATTAGGACCTTAGGCGAGACCTCAACTAGTTGTCACGTGATTAAATGTCATTTACTTTTAATCATTTCTAAATACAACAGATTTATAAGTTATTATCCGATGTAGTGTAACGGCTATCACATCACGTTCTCACCGTGGAGACCCGGGTTCAACTCCCGGCTTCGGAATTTTTTTTGACATTTTTTCACTCACCATTTGTCACATATCGAACTCTATGGCTTCTGATACTCAGAAGCGAATAATCTTAAGCGTAAGATTCTTGCTATATTATTCTTTAGATCACGGTGTTTTTATATAGCTAGAAGTCTCTCCATTTTATTATTATAATATATTGTTTTCTATAAACTTAAGCTCATCTTGCTGTTTAACTTTTCTTCTCTATAATAGCAGTTAGTAACGGTAACTTGTCCTATATATATCAATTGGACCTCATCCTGTTATATGTATATCTTCTTTTCTTGCGTTTAACGCCTTTCTATTCTCGTTGTAAAAGACAACCACTCTGGTTCTGCCATCTAATATAACGTTGGGTAATTATCTACCATTTTATTTCTCTGGGTCTTATATAATTTAAAGAATTGATACATTTTAATATATATGTATTTTTCAGCTAAATGGTTCAGGTTTTAACAGGGTTCAGTTTCCGAAAGACAACAATTTACAAGTTTTATAACTTTCTTAAGAAGGAACTTTGTATGATTCGCAACTTCTTTCTACTTTTTTTCAGTCCTAGTATAAGTACATCTATATATCCAATAAAATCATGATAGAAATTTAGGCAACTTTATTGAAAATATAACTATCTGATAGATCGTATGACGGTCTACGTACTGCAAGAGAAAACATATATTATTTCAAGGATTACTTCCCCTGGAGGAAATATAGGATCTTTATAAATTTGGTTGTAAAAAAATAAGGATCCATCGGTATTAAAACGTTTCTTTTTCTTTTTGAAGATAAGCTATTTTTTTTCTATTTAGATCTGATCCTAGCCGCAAATGACTTAATCCCAGTCGAGTATCTACCGCAGTAGTCTCACCACATGTCACTTTGTCACAATAATCAATTCTAAATCCTTACATTCCGATCACGTTGTAACCGCCCCCAAAAGAGGAGAGAAGAGTATTGTCAAATAGTACTTTAAACTGCTGCTCTTATCAACCTTACTGCAACAGCAGACATGTTATCCTCCATTCATTCCCCCACATTGTATTGTTTTCAAAAGGAAAGAATGGCGTAGAGGTCTCTTACAGGATGTGCTTATAGTGGGGCACTGAAACACACACACACATCTATTTACCATGGAATGGACTACGGTTGTTTCTGGGGAAACTGAAGTTTGTGTGCTTTCAATTTTTTTGCTTTTTGAAGTTTTCACCCCCCCCACTTTCTTCGGAAAAACTGGTTGTCCGGACCTTTCAGTGGCGGAGGACGTACGACAGCAAATATTTTTCAGTGAGGAGATTTTGTAATCTTCGAGATCATTTTCAATTAAATAATCGATATGAAAATATATTTATTTACCCAACAATTCTAGGAGGGCGAAGACAACAAGATATATATTGAGTTGTTTTGATGTGTCTTCAAAAGATGATGTCTGTGGTGTTGAATGTTACTCTCGGAATAATGTCAATCTAATTAAAATGCAGTCTGCAACTAAAAAAAATGGTACTCCTAGTATTTTCTAAAGAAAGAAAGTGCTTTCTCCTCGGGCAAGATAGGCGAATTTTAATGATATGTGAAATTATGTATTGACAAATTTAGTATTTTCTGCTGGAAATGTTAAATATTTTTCCTTTTCCCATTCGTTATTGTTTCTTGCACAATAGTTGTCGGCGTTATTTTTGGTTATATTTCAAAGTCATTTAATAAAAGCTCAGAATATCTTGCATAAATATCTTCTCTTTGGTCAGTTATTTTAATATTTTTGTATCTTTTTTACACTCTTACTTATCTCCTGCGCATTAAAACTCTATGGCTGACCTTGTAATCTTTTCCTTTTTAGTTTCTTTCTTTTTTCTCTTTCTGTCTCTTCCAAATAGTTGTCATTTGATACATTCGAATGATACTAGTCATTTATATGCGACAATGACTTTCTCAGATTTGATAACTTCTTTTTTTTTTTGTCTTTTTTGTGTCTTTATATATATATGCAAGTAGTCAAACATTTTTATAGTATCCTGGAATCGAACTGGTAGAGACAATTAACAACGCATATAAACTAAAAAGGTAAAACCTACGATCTCCTCATAAATAAAAAAATATAATGAGACCATGCCAGATTTCAAGCTCTCAGGAAGTAAACATTTTACGAGACCTTTACCAATTCTCGAGACAGGATCAATATCAACCCCGCAATCAAATGAACAGCAACTACCACGACCAAATATAGCGCTTTCGAAGGATAGAAAACGTAGATTATTCCCACTTGTGAAATATCATCATCAAGCCGGTAATCACGATAGTAATGCACCAGTAGAGTTCACCGCACGAGCTCGAGATGAAATTAAAAGAACTTTATTTCTAAAGGATAATGAATCCCATAATAATTCAAGGAAAACCAGTAATTCACTGGATAATAAATCATTATATTCTTCAGATTCAAGTTTATTTTCTTTACCTCAATCTCAAATGACCGATGGTTCGAGTATATTAACACAAGTGAAACCTGTTAATACACCATATGTACCTCAAACACCATTGATTCCATTAGTCACTGAGATTTCTTTAGAACATGCATTACCATCAGATTTTTCAGATATGTATACGCGATCAACATTATTAACCAATCGATTGTTACCAAATGGAAGACCTGAGTTTACCATTCGTGAATTAATTGATTGGCCATTAAATGATACAAGGTCGTTATTGATAATCAATGAATTGAGGCCTGAATGGGGTAATAAGTTACCTAGAATCATTGGAATAAATCCTAGTGGTCCAAAATATAGGTATCAATTGTTACCATTATATTGTTCGGATGAATTTATCATTGAAACCCTTGTTGGATCGGATATTTATTTAGAGGCGAATTTAGATCATGAATTTAAATTAAGGAGTGCTACATATATTGTTAAGACCGCAAGGGAGAGACATCAATTGATGGCAGGTGGTGCAAAGGAAAGATTTATGACTTTACAAAGATTTGAATGGAGAAATATCATTGAAAATTACCTTTTGAATCTTGCTGTTGAGGCTCAGTGTCGTTATGATTTTAAGTATAATTGTAACGAATTTAAAAAATGGAAAATGCAACAACAAGGTATATCTATTCAAGATACACAACATAAAGTATATCTTTCTCATAAGGAAAAGGATATGATATGGCAACAATGTCAGTCCTTCGTTTATAGACGCCTAAACCTTGATTGGAAGCCGGATGCACTTAACAATATATAATGACAATGAAAAAATATAGATATATATTGAAATATATATAATTAATGATTAAACAATATAAAAAAATAAAATAGTTATTTTTATTATTAAGGATTATAAATTAAATGTTTATTAAATATGTTAGCAAAATTAATTTTTGTGTGTATATATGTATGCAAGTTGTGACTAAATTTTGGAAAATAGCAATGAATAAGCAAAAAAAAGCAAATGTAAATATGTGTATAATGATGAATAAGATTTATGTTTTTCCTTTCTCTATCTATATATGTAAGGAAAATTTATCGTCTTTGTAATTGAAGTAAAAATTTGTAGCATATACTTCTGGAAACGTATTTTAGTAACCGTATACAATATACTGCGACATCTAAAATATCTAATAGTATTATTGGTCCAGCAATAATGATCATTAGACAACGTAATATCCAGCTAACTAACACCTGTGTCATTACCATGATTTTATACGTTGCTATTAATAAATTCAAAACTAAATGTTGCCACATGTCAGAATCATATGTTTCCCACATGTACCTCAATACATGTAAACGCTGTATATAGTACTTTCCCATAATATAGCTGATAAAATTCAGATTAAATTTTGTTGCAATATCATCTAACATTTTTATTATTATTTTTTCAGATTTGCTATTGATATGTTATTTTTTTAAAAAAAATAAGGAGAGAATAATTCGTTTCTTATATTTTCTATTTTTTTAATATTTGAAACAATATTCTTTTTTATTATTTTGATTAGAATAGTCTTAATTTTATGTCGCTAATTGAAAGGAAAGAAAAATGTTAATCCTACTTTTAATAGTTAAAATGAAATTCTGTCAGATCCCTTCACAATTTATATAATTCCAATGTCTCTAAAAATACCCAAATTCATTGGCCATCGCAATGGAAGGTAACAATATTCATCGTCAAAAAGGTGTGACTGCAAAAAAAACAATAAAAAAGAACGAAATTGTCAATGTGCAGATATGTTCATAGTCATTTTTACTTCTCCTTGCAGCATGCATTTGTGCGGCACTTTGTGTGTGATCCCCGCTTCTCTCCTCCCCGGCAGAAAAAATCACCGCAAAAAAAAAGTTTTCTTAACAAAAAAACTTTTTTGCCTCTTTCAGCCATTCGATGAGATCTCGCTGGCCCTTGGAAGATGAGCTTAAGACAGTTTTGGGAAAAACAAGAAGATTTCTGTTAATGTGGTCATAGTGATTGATCTGAATTAGGTTGTTTTAACTTACTGGTGAGGAGAGAAGGGGATTGTGTAGTTGGTACCGATGAATCATCTGGTTGTTCGATTATCTTCGGAGTTTGAGATGAAGAGACGCCATTTGTTGACTGGATGAACGGAGTTTTAAGATTTTCATTTGTGAAGAGAGGGATCTTTTCATTTTGAAATATCGATCGTTTAGGTTGTTCATTTTGTGATTTATTCTCTGGATATCTGAAACGATTGAACTCTTCTTCTTTTATTGACACCATACTCTTTTTGTGTCTTATTGTTCGTTGACCCTCTCTACTGATTAAGTTTGATGTCAACTTCTCCGTTTTTATTTCTGCTTCGAATAAAATCTCGGCTGTATTGCCTAAGGACACCAGTGGATTGTTTTCTTTTTCGTTGATTTCCACTGTATTGTTTGTAAGTGTTCTTGTATCGTTCCTGGGGTTTGTCTCTGGGAAACATTCACGATTATCATTTATAGATCTTTGTTCAAGTGGTTGGTCAACTTTGTTTTCTGTCTTTTCCATGGGTAGTTCTTGGGGAATTGTACTATTGTTTGTATGCGTAACTGTTGCATGTAGAGGACTGCTCTTGATATCTTTAGGTTTTGTAGAGGGGATGGATTGGTAGCTTGTAGTCGGTAGTGAAACCTCTGATGGGTATTGTGATTTTTTATCCGTTGCATCCTTTAGGTTAATTTGATTTGAAATAGAATTTTTCTGATCTTCAGGAATTTCTCCTTCACTAATACTAGTTTTATTTATTCGAGTCCCTTCAGAATCGGTAGAATGTAGATCAATATTGTATGACAAGTTAGTATCCTTTCGATTAGAATTTTTATTGTGATTTTTACCTCTTGTTGCTACTGTGCTCCAACTAAGGGAAGCCTTCTGTGGTTTCTCAGGTCCTAGACATTCACTCTTGTTGGTATTTTTTGATTTTTGTTCTTCGTTGTCTCTCGACTCAAGTTCTTTCCTTAATTTTTTTTTGGCATTAGCAAACGAATTTTTCAGTTCTTTCTCCAAAAGACTCTCTATCATATCCTGAAAATCATCTTCCACCATAAATTCTTCCTCATTTATAGTCTTACCATTTTCAAATAGTAATAATGCATTATAACTCCTATCAAATTTATATTTTGAAGCAAAAAATATTACCATTATCGTAGATATTGGAACGGCTGGGAAAGCTGCTTGTAAATCATCTATTTTTGATAAGTTAACCCCATTCCCACATTGTAAAAAAGTTTGCTTAATATTTTTTTTGTACTTAGATAATAAATTCATCAATTGAGTGAGAGGAGGGTTTTCAAAATGGTGTGGTTATGTTTATCTTATTCACTCTATTTGCTCCTTCTTGTTTATGTATGAGTAATCAATCTTATTCAACAAGTAGCTGTATTAAATTTGTGTCTCGGCGCTTATTTTGAAGGATTCTTTTTGAAACTTGAAGGAAAGAAAAAAAAATGAATGAAAAGATTAAGAATATTACTATATTAATGAATATTTGTTATATATATGTGTGTAGTTATAGATTATTATGCTATTGTATTTAGCAACGTTGGTATCACTCAAGATTTGTATTCATCTCCAAATCATCTACCAAAGGTTGGTACGTTCTATTTGATCGCCAAAAGAATAGAAAATTATGTAGTCTTGGTAGTAAACCTGTTTGTTTATAATCATTATAGTTCTGGTTACTCTCTAATACAGGAGGTGTCCAATCTTTCAATTGTAAAGAACTTAGTACAACACTCACAGAACTCAATGCCATTGCCATCCCAGCGATCATAGGAGGTAATGTGATACCCCATGGAACTAGAATCCCCATGGCGATAGGAACCATGAATGTGTTATATGAGAGTGCCCAAAATAGATTTAATTTAATTCTTTGGTAAGTTCTTTGAGAGATATCTATTGCATATACAAGTCTTTTCAAACTTGCGTTTGTTGAAGGACATTCGGAATTGGATTGACCTGCCAAAATTACAATATCAGCCGCATCAATTGCAATTTCTGTTCCAGTTGAAACAGCAATCCCTAAATCTGCTGTTACTAATGCAGGGGAGTCGTTAATACCATCTCCGACAAAGATTATAGAACCGGGTTCACTTGTATTTTGCAAACGTTTCACAACTTCACATTTCCCATTAGGAGGAATACTACTAAAGACATTTGTTATATCAATCTCTAATGCAGAAGCAATCTTAGAGGCTGCAAAATGATTATCTCCTGTGACAATATAAATTTTATAACCCATCGATTTCAGGTATTGTATGGTAACATATGAATCATCTCTTAATCTATCAACAATTTCAAAATTCCCCACTAAACTATCATTAATAGAAACATAAGCAATTGTATAGCCGTCATTATTAGTTTCTATCGATAAATCCGATTGTGACAATTTTCTAATTTCATCTTGAATAGACACGGGGAACAAAGTTGAACCGAAACCGATACAAACTTTGTATTTCTTATTTGTCCTCTGATGTGTAAAATCGCATTCTAAACCTTGCCCCATTACTATATTGCAATTATCTGTACCAAACTCACCAATCTCATTATCATCATACTTAGATAGTAAAAGAGATGCATAATTGACAATAGTTCTGGCAACAGGATGTTCACTCTTTGATTCACAAACTTTAATTAAAGTCCATAATTCTTCGGAGCTTAAATCTTTAGGTTCATTTAATTGGTTAAAATTCTCAACAGTCATCATACCTGTAGTCAATGTTCCTGTTTTATCGAAGACAAATCCTTTAATATCTTTGCATTTTTCAATAGCGTCACCATTCTTAATTAGAACCCCATTTTGGGCACCAATACCAGTACCGACCATGATAGCAGTCGGTGTTGCTAGACCCAATGCACATGGACATGCAACAATAACAACTGAAGTTGCGATTCTTAGACATTTAAACACATTGCTACCTTCCCCTGAAATGAAAGTTTGAAAACTATTTACCATTGCTGATTTTGAAATGAAATACCAAGTAATGAATGTAAGTACCGATAGAGATAAGATTACTGGAACAAAAATTGCACATAATTTATCTGCATATTTTTGTATTGGAGTCTTTGTCAATTGAGCATTCTTAATAGTGGAAATAATTTGAGATAATTTAGTATCTGAACCCACTGAGGTGACTTTAAAATAAAAATGACCCGGTCCATTAATAGTACCACCAATAACATGAGATCCAATTTTTTTATAGATTAAATTTGATTCACCTGTCATTAATGATTCATCAATCTCAGTTTCTCCTTTGACAATAGACCCGTCACTTGGAATTTTCATCCCTGGTTTCACTTCAATAATATCCCCTAATTGTAATAGTTCTATTGGAATTTCTTTTGTGTTATCATCTGATATTACAAGTGTACACATGTTAGGTGATAATTCAATTAAATGTGACAATGCTGTTGATGTTTGAGATTTAGCTCTATTTTCTAATAGTTTACCGATGGAAATAAATGCGATTAACATGATAGCGGTATCAAATACTACGCTTGGTAATTTATCAGCTTTCCAAATAATGTTACAAATAATAGATCCCAAGGAAAATAAATATGCACTTAAAGTAGAGATAGTTATCAAAGTATCCATTGTTCCTGTACCATGCATTAAAGATTTCCAACATGATATATAGAAATATATTCCAATATGAAACAAAACATACGAAGCCATTACCAAACCAATAATATCTCTATAATATAATCCTGTAATTCCATGAACTTCATTATATGGGAAAGTATGATTCATTATTAATTTATGATCTAACATTGGAATCCCCATATACATCAGCATTGAAATGATTGCGATAGTACAAGATTTCATACAACGAGTTTTCCAAATGGAAATCTCTTGAGTCTTCTGTAACATATTCAATTGTACAGATTTATCATAAGAGGAATCCAAAACCATCTTGTAACGAGTCTCTTGCTCACACAATTCTATTAAATCTCTAATCCCAAGCAAAGATTGATTATATTCAATAGTTACAATTCTATTATCGGTGATTTTTGAAGTCACTTCAATTGAAATCAAACTTTCTCTTAATGTAACCAAATGATCAAATTTCTGTATAATTGTATTATAGTCATCATTATCGTCATACAGAATAAATTTCGTCTTAACAATTTGTAATTGTCCACATTCATCCATATCTATTAAATTTGCATCAAATCCACAATCTTCAATACAATTTTTTATATCATCTTTTGAGACGATCTGAGAATCAAATTTCACCACACACTCTTCCGTCAGCAGAGACAAATCTACATTTAAGACACCTGGTAATTTATCTAATTGAGATTTGATAGCATTGACGCATGCGGAACAAGTCATTCCTCCAATCCTTAAAGTACATTCTTTCTCCGTAACAACATTTGTTGTTGTTGTCGTAAATACCAATGTATCCCTAAGCACTACACAATCAAACCCGCAATCTTCAATTTCCTCTTTAATAACCGTACCCTGAGGTTCATCAGCCGCATATGTAACTTTCCCCTCACATGTTGATAACGATATGATTACACTAGACACCATATCCATCTTTTCTAACTGCGTAGCTATTGATTGAACACATGCTGAACAAGTCATCCCTGAAATATTAACCACCGCTTCTCGCAGCGGTATATTACCTTCTCCCATGATACCTCAAACGTTGTTCAATTTAAACACCTAGTAGCTACAATTTTAATTAATACCAAAAGCAAAACAAACCTTTCGTTCCAGAATTGAGACACCTCTCTTATATATCCAGTGCTTTCCCTCAAAATGTTTCATATCAGAGAACTGTCACCAAACCCGGTGTCATCGGCACTAAAGGGAAAAGAATCATCCTTTATATAGAATATGTATAGATTCATTACAACCCTTTTTTACTCAAACTCTGCGGGCGACGCCGTCAAACAGTCAAAATCGTTGTTCTTCGCCGTGTGGGAGTGATGCATTGAAAACTAAACTGGGTGCGTTTTTGTATTGAAATGGCTATAATTGCACCCATTGATGGCAAACTTTTTGGTAAGCTGACAGAGGTGTGCAGTCAGTGCTTATTTAATGTGTGTTTTTATATATGTGCACGGTTTAATTTATATATATATATGTATATGGTTGTCTGTGTGTGTGTATATATCTTGACGTAAGATGGGTGATGTTATTTACATGCGGTCAATTTTAGAAATCGTTTGACAGACCGATAATCTTCTTGATTTCAGTTAGATTCCTGTGTGCAATTTCTTGTGAGGATTCGTAACCCTGTTGAATGACACTCTCAAGGTAAGCCTTGTCGTTTGTATATTTTGAATAATTTGATCTGATGGGTGCTAGAGATTCGATTATTATATCGCTGACATAATCTTTCAATGAACGATAATCATGGAATTGTGAAACGTCTTGTTCAACTTCTTGCATTGTCCTTTGTTGAAATCCACTAACCATCTCTAATAAATTTGAGACACCGGGTCTCCCTACAGGGTCATAGTAGAAATGATCACTGATAGAATCTGTCTTTGCCTTCTTAATCTTTTCGCGAATACTCTCTGGTGAATCTGTAACATAAATCATAGATAAACGATCTTCGCTACTCTTTGACATTTTTTTATTGGGATTAGATAAATTGGCAATTTTTTTACTCTTGCTATAAAGTGTTTTTGCACTTGGGAAATAATCAACATTATACATCGCATTGAAACGTTCACTCAAATATCTTGTTAATTCTAAATGTTGACTTTGATCATCACCAACTGGTACGTGTGTACCTTTATAAATCATAATATCTGCAGCTTGTAATACAGGATAAGCAAAAAGACCAAGTCTTTCCTTTGTTTGATCTCCATTTTTCTTATCCTTCCATTGGGTCATACGATTTAAATAACCTAGCGGGGCTAAACATGATAAATACCAAAACAATTCTGTATGGTATCCACCAACCATAGATTGAAAATTTATTGTACTCACATGTGGATCAATTCCACAACTTAATAACGTAGCAATGGCTTCCATTCTATTTTTTTTCAATTCTAAAGTATAATCTTTCTTAGGAATTGTAAGTGCATGTAAATCTGCAATACCATAAATAATTTTTTGATTAGGTCTTTTCTTATCATTAATCTGCTTCCAAGTATTGATCGCTCCTAGATAGTTCCCTAAATGGATTATACCTGTTGGTTGAATCATACTAAATATTACTGCATCATCAGGAATCGGTAAAGGTGTTGTCTTATCCATAGGTAACTCTACACAGGATTCCATGTGATTCCATCTTCTGATTGTTCGCAATAAGACTGATTTAGTGGTGGCCCCACTCCGGATACCTTTGGTAAACATCCTTGGTTACAGTTCTCGAGAAACTTGGTATATACTCCCCTCCTTCTATTCTGTGTCCTTTCTATAAGTTACCAACTAACGTTGTGTTGTTTATAAAAAGAGAAAGATAACGATCTTTTAATTCCTCGAGTTCATTAATTGTTTTCCTTATTTTCCCTATTTATTTATTTATTTTTTTTATTTTCACGTTATTATTGCATATTTTACTATGGGACAAGTAAGGTGCTAAAGAAATTTTATTTAATCAAAGATAAATATACAGATACGTTCAATTATTCACTAATAATTGAAAAAGTATATAGTACATATGCATCTTATATATGTATATATATATATATATATTTCTTGTTACATAGATCACATTGTGTTCTTCGCTATGTGCATTTAATGGATTACTAATATGGAAAATACTTAACTTCAATAGCCCATCGCCCTCTGTGAAAATTATATAAAGCATCTAGCCATCTCGCAGGTAACTTTCATAGATATACAAGTAAGTTGTGAGGGACAGTAACATTGTTAGGTCTCTTGAAACAAGTATCAATTGTATTGTACTAAAAAAAATTGTTAGAAATGTCTATCACATTAGCGAAGGGTATCAAATTACAGAATGACAAGACATGGTCATTGGATTACAAACGAACTCCGTATGCTAATTTGTTAGCTGTAGCCTCGACAGATCGTAAGATTAAGATTCTTAATATTAAACCAAATGGTACGAAACTAGAAGATGTCCTTGATGGCACTGTTCATAGAAAAGCTGTACGTTCTGTCGCATGGAGACCTAATACTGATATTAATACTGTGACATTGGCAGCGGGTTCATTTGATGCAACTGTCTCAATTTGGACTAAAGATATTGCCTCTCATGTTGCTGAGGATGAGGAAGAAGAAGATACTGATATGGCTGGTGAATCAGAAATGGATTTGTTAGCAATTATTGAAGGTCATGAAAATGAGGTTAAATGTGTTGCATGGTCTCAGGATGGTATGTTACTGGCTACATGTTCCAGAGATAAGAGTGTATGGATTTGGGAAACTGATGAAATGGGTGAAGAATACGAATGTGTAAGTGTTCTACAAGAGCATTCACAAGATGTGAAACATGTAGTGTGGCATCCAACTATGAATTTGTTAGCAAGTTCCTCTTATGATGATACCATTAGATTATGGAAGGAATATGATGATGATTGGGAATGCGTTGCTGTATTGACAGGCCATGAAGGAACTGTATGGTCATCTGATTTCGAGGCTAGTGATAATAAGCTTGATATCAGGTTGGCTAGTGTAAGTGATGATTCTGCTGTACGTATATGGAAATATATTGAAGAAGATGATGAAAATGATGGTCAACAAGTATGGATCTGTCAATCTATTTTACCAAAAGTACATCATAACCAAGTTTATAGTGTTGCATGGAGCCCAAAGAGTGGGTTGATTGCTACTAGTGGTTCAGATGGTACATTGGCACTATATAAAGAAACTGAAAAGGGTAGTGGAACTTGGGAAGTAGTCGCTCAGAAAGAATTATGTCATGGAGTGTATGAGGTAAATATTGTAAAATGGATAGATGTAGATGGACAAGAACTTCTTGCAACGGGTGGTGATGATGGTAGTGTTAATATTTGGAATTTTAAAATTTGATCCCCCCCCTTCGAGTTATACATCTATGTGTAAGGGAAATCAATTGTATATAAATTAAAGAATACTAATAAATAAATAAATAAATAAATATAAAATGGAAATTTTAGAACATGTTCTTTTTCATTAAGAGTTTGATGCTGGGTGGTGACTATTTAAGTGGTATGACTTGTTGTGGTTTACACGTTTGACGGCACAACGGACATTCTTCCTTTTCTTTACACCAATTGATGATACATTTCCAACAGTAGATGTGACCACATGGAGCACAACCAGGATCGATCATATCAGACAGGCATAATATACATTTACGTGAACTTTCAGGAATAAATTTGAAAGAGTCTTTATCAGAAAGATCAATATGGTGCGACTTGGTTTCGTCTGGAACACCTTTTATTATACCTAACTTTTCATTTCTATACGATTGATCTAACGAGTTGATATTAGTGTCATTAACAGACTGTTTAAAGATTGACTTAGTTAACAACTTAGTTAAAGATTTCACCATAGGCATATAGTTAGAAATACTCTGTAACAAAAGAACAGACCCTAAAATCTTATATGTCTTGGAATTCCTTTCCCTGATACGTTTTTCATCGTCAGTAATGCGATGTCCTGTCACATATCGTATCCCACTAATTCTACGTGATGCATCATAATAGGCACCTTTGAAATAAAATATTAACATATGAATATCCAATAGGCCATTCGTAATTGTTTCCCACGGTATTTCCTCGGAGTTATTTTCATTATCTTCTTCTTCTTTTAACGTTTGATAATGACGCTTCCACAAACTTATCAATTTTTGAATAAGGTATGGTCCCAATGTATAACCGAAGATAAATAATAGCCGCTGATACCTCTTTACAAGTCCCTTATTCTTCTTGTTCACAATAAAGATATCTACATATTCTTCACCTAATGTCTTCTTTCCGATGAGCGTCGTCAAAGCGAAGTACAGTAGCTTTGATGCAATTGAAATGTGTTTCCTATAAAGATTAGTGAAAAGTTGACCCTTCAATAATGTTAACAATTCAGTTAATTTCCCATTTAGTATTGTCTCTATCTGTGTATCTTTCTGATTAGCCTGAACAATGCTGGCGGCATCGGCAAGATGTAATAGGTTCTTTCCCTGTGTACTATCCTCTTTCGTCTCAGTAGCCATTAAAACGGATCTGTTATAGAGAATTTGTTAAAGTTTGTAAAATATATATATCAATATCAAATAATTAGCACTTTCTTTATCTTTGTTTGAGTTGTTTGTAGTGGATGACAGCTCTCCCTTTTCTAGTTTCTTGTCTTCTCATTTTGTATGTAAATTTCTTATTCTCAGCGGGGCCAAAATTTTGTTATGAAGATGGCAAAAATCTGACAATCAAACGTCGAATCGTTACTACTTACTTATTAGAAGATATGTTATAAATGGGACACATAAAAATAGAAGTTCTAAACCCTTGGAAATCGTATGAAACCCAATTGCTATTATTATTTTGAGTATTAGTTAGTCTTTAACATAGTAGAGCCTTGATATCCAAAACAAAAAATTTATTTTTTTGGAGAGGCTGAGTTAGTTACAAGAAGAAGTTAGTTAGTTGAACAAATTGTTTTTAATCTCTACTAAGGTCTATTTCGTGTGTCTATATAGTGAGTCTGACACTAAAGAATATTACTGATAAGCAGAAACTTACTTGCATTTAGAGGATTTGATTTTACAGAAGTGAACCCCCATTATGATTGAAGCAAATGAGCCTCCATTAGGGCAAGATCATGATTTAGAAGGAGATGCTGATACCAGCTCTCTGCAAGCAGTGGTATCTAATGATAATATGAGTAACAACAATGAGCAGGATGGTCAAGAGATATTGGATGATCCAAACGTTACTAATCCTGTACTCGATGAGTATCAGCAAGCGTGCCAATCTGGTGATATCGTTACAGTGAAGAGGCTTATCGAATCTGGAGCAATTGATATCCATCAGGATTTTGATCCAGTCGAGAAAGTATCAGGTCTACATTGGGCGGCTATTAACAATCGATTATCTATTGTTAAATATTTGGTGACTCAAGGCGCTGAAGTTAATTGTCAAGCTGAAAAATTACATTCTACTCCTTTACATTGGGCTGCTCGTTATGGGTACGTCTATATTGTGGATTATTTGATAACTTTTGGAGCAGATATCAGTTTGGCGGATGATCAAGGGTTTAATTTATTACATCTTGCCGTCAATAGTTCAAATATCATGCTTGTTACTTACGTATTATTTTTTGTTGTGAATAAAGGTTTATTGGACATTAATATACAAGATCCTAATGGTAGAACTGCCCTTTTATGGGCAAGTTATCAAGGTGATTCTTTAACCGTCGCACTATTATTAAAATTTGGAGCTAATATTAATTTACAAGACACTGGTGGTTTTACTGCGTTACATTGGGGTGTAGTTAAGGGTCAATTACATGTTATTAGGTACTTAATTAGAGCTGGTGGTGATTTTTTCCAAAAGACTAATGATGGTAAAGATTGTTTTATCATTTCTAATGAATTAAATACTAGTTATTCATTGAAACGAGCTTTAAAATCTTGTGGTTTCAAGGATAATGGTTATCCAACATTTAAATTATTTTCAGATCCTTCCTATGCTAAATTTACAATTTTTATTACACCTTTATTATTAATTGGGATTATTAGTAATCTGTTTTGTGTTACAAATCCTATTGTTTGGTTGTTAGTTTCAATGATACTTGGATTTTCAATTAATCAAATTTTCGAAAGATTTATTCTTTCATCATTTATTGATTCATCGTCTGATGTATTAGATCCATTGGTTGAATATAACATTGCAAGATCCCCCTTAATGGCAGGTATATTTTTTGGTAGTTTATTTTGGGTTTCGATTGTATCAATATTTTTAATTATACCAAATACGTTAAAATTCGGTTCATATGTCAGTTGTTTATTAATTTTAATTATTTTGATAATCTCTTACATTACATTTTTCAAATTAATTAATAGCGATCCAGGAGTTAAACCATCTATAAGAGATCAACCAGAAACCATTAGAGATACTATCCTTGAATTGATGAAAGTAGGTCAGTTTGATACAGAACATTTTTGTATAGAGACCTGGGTTCGTAAACCGTTAAGAAGTAAATATTCTAAATTTTCCAAAGGATTAGTTTCAAGGTTTGATCATTTCTGTCCATGGGTTTATAATGATATTGGATTACATAATCATAAATTGTTTATGTTTTTCATAATTGCAGTAGAATTTGGTATTATAATATTCGCATATTTAATTTTTCAAAATTTTAAAATGGTTAAAAGTAATATTATTGAAAAATTCAAAAATTCATCAGATAATTCTTTAAATGAGAAATGTTTTATCATTGGAGAAAATTCATTATGTTATGGATATCATTATGATAAATTTTCATTTATTATATTAATATGGTCACTATTACAAGGTTCATGGATTTTATTTTTATTAATTATGCAAAGTTTCCAAGTGACAAAGGGTGTCACAAGTTATGAATTTACGCGATTTGCGCGAATGGCAAAACATTCGATGGGTCCTAGTACACATAATCATGATGTAGAGACTGGAAGAGGACTTGATGAAACATTTAATACTACCCCTGACGATATGAAATCTCAAGATTCAAATATTGAAACCATCGAGGAAGAAGATGTTAGTAATAATGATTTACGTATGCTGAATTCTAATAATAATAAATCAATATTTGGATTATGTTATAAATTATTTGGATTAACACAAATTTGTCGAGTCATGAAAGAAACTTTAGGTTATGATCCAAATGTTTCAAATTATAATTTTAATTTTAAAAATGCACGTCGTATTCAAATTCCAACAAATTATGGTATGAGACAAAATATTATAGATTTTTGGTTAACAAGTGATAAAGGTGCACCAATATGGGAACGTTTATTTTATTCACCAACGGGTTCACATGCATTATTAAACGGTAAAGATGTTGATTATTTTACATTATATGAATTACCTTCAAAAGAGACAAGAGTTTGAATAAATAGATAACAACAACGACAAAAAATTTTCAAGAGAGAAAAATAAATATAAGATATGGTATAAATTTTTTCTATGGTCGAGAAATACTTCTAAGTGAGAAAAAAAAGCCCAGAATTACTGATATAACGAAAAAAATAAAAAAACAATACATGTGCTTATTGTTTTAAAAAAAGCTGTAATTCAATAACAAGGACAAATATTAACATACAATAGAGCGAAAAATAAAAAGTATTTTTTTTTATATATGTGCAATAAAATAAAAGATAATGGAACAGTTTACTTGTTAAGATGTAGATTTTTTTTTTGTTAACAGGTATACTACTATTTAGGAGGACATATGATCCAATATACACTACTAATTGTTGTAATTTTTGAATACATTAAAGAATACTTGTTATTATTTTAACTAATTATTATGAACCAACAATATATATAAATATATAAATTAAGAAGAATATACCATTCCACCTCGTATGATCCCACGTTACACATAGAGAGAGCTTAAAGAAGATTAAAATGTCTATGTTGTTCAATTCATAAACTGATTTAGGTGACAGAGTGAAAGCAGAAAAGTGTGGGAGACTGGAATATTATGGGCCGTGCGGTGTGTGGGTGTGGGTGTAGATGCGGATCATTTTCTCTTTAAAATTGTCCGCTTCACCCATTTTTTACTGCTTTTTCATTCATTCTCTACGCTGTTTTCTGTATTTCAGCTTAATATACTATGCTGGCTCCGTCTTCCTCTTTCATTCTCTTCCCCCGGACAGATGTGTGTGTTTCTCAGAAAGTAAATGAGAAAGACAATGTCTTTTTACGGACGAATAAACTGAAAACACTAATAAGCTTTAGTATACTGCGCATGTGTCTGGGTGAACAGGGTTCGATGTAGTATGGTGTGCTGTACTGTCTGTGACAACCATGAAATAGTTTACAGCGTGGCATAAAAATTGATTTAAAGTGATATTAATATGATAGAGGAAATAAATCAATATATAAGTCATTTCATCTTGAAACGGTTTATATTCCAATGAGGTCATAGTTTGTGATGCAAGAGAGACAGACTAAACGAAGCTAATGAGAGAGAGAGAAAAGTTAGTGTTTTTATTACTCATTTCTTGTGAGATATAAAAAAAGAGTATTAAAGTAATTGTAACAATATAATTTATTCTATTATGCATATTTAAAATTTATTCGGTTGTGATGGCTACAGTAGTAATTCAGAGTTTTAAATGCGTATCTTGCGTAGTAATGTTTATTAGAGGAAAGTTCCTGATTTGATCTTTTACTTCTCTGTACTCCCTCTCTCTCTCTCTCTCTCTCTCTCTCTCTGTTTTTTGCTTGTTTTTTTTTGCTTCTGCAATATCATTATTATCTTGTAGCTGCTTTGCAGGTGAGAAGATATGCTGTGTAAATTTTTTAATTTTTTTTTTCTTTAACCAAACAGGAAACAATCTCGAAAATAAATAAAGAAATAAAGAATCATCTCTACAATCCCTTTTGTTCGCGAGTGCTTTTTTTTGTCCTCCTACTGATTTTAAACTTGCATAGAATATATATATATATAATTTTATTATATTCTATTTTATATGTTTTTTTGGTTCTTACAAAGGTTTGTTAGTAAAAAAAGAATATAAGTGTAAATCAGACCAGTTTTCATTCACTTTTTTTTTAATCTGCTTGATCCAAAGTTCTCTGGTGAAGATATCTGTTTAATTGACATTACTCTTAGTCGTATATATATGTATATATAGATCCAGTAGTAGTCCAGTTTTATTCTGCTGAGTGCAGGATTTCTCAGAAAGGAATATTTTGGCTCTTTAGCTGCTTGCTTTAAGTAGATAGACGTTCTCTACTTCTTCGTATTTTTCTTTTCGTTTTGTTTATTTTCCAGGCATCGTTCTCAGAAACATTAGAAGAGTACTAATTCCTTTTTTTTTTTACTTCGAAAATTTTAATTTTATATATTCCTCGAGAAATTTACTTATTAATCATATACAATTATTTTTCAAATAAGCGTATATGTATGTATTGAAAGTAATAAAAATTACTCTCTTTCTATTTATTTTTAAGCAGTTCTATATAGATCATCATGTAGTAAACATTTTTTTTTTCAGTCTTTCTACCTCAACTTTTTATTTATTTTGTTTGTTTGTTTGTTTGTTTTTGTGTTGTTTAATTTTACTTCCCTCAGCAATCTATAGTTAATTAACATTAACCTTTCCATCTGTCTAAAATTTAATCAAACCTTATTTTATTTTCCTACTCTTCCTTTTTCTTTAATTTTTTTCTTATATAATAATCTCTTGTATAAATTTTTAAAATTTTGTTTTTTATTTTTTTTTCTTGATATCTGTTTTAGTTTCTCTCTCTCTCTTTATGTATATATACCTTTTCAGTTTCTTTCTTTTGTTCATTTTATGACATACTTAGAAAAATTATATTGAATTGAATAAAAAAAAGGGTACGTCATCTATATATTTATATTTCAATTTATATATATATATAGATATAGTTTTTCATTCATTTTTTTTTCTTTTTAAAATACAATTTATTTACCGTCATCAATTGAATAAGAAAATTTAATATTATTGAAACATTTATTAAATTGATTCTGATGAAATGAAAAGGAGGGACAATTCCTTCCATGATGAAAATTTCCATTCTTCTAATGGAACAACAGATATTCCATCACAAAATAATTCAAGTAATAATATTCCTTATGGTTATGTAATGAGACAAGGTCCTCCTCCTCCTCGTACATCACAACATATGTACGGTGTACCACCAACTACTGATATTCCAATTCCATTGAAAAATGGTCAATTGTATCATATTCAACAACAAAATAATGGTGGTGGTAATGGAAATGCAACGATGGGACCATCAATAACGTCTCAGTCTATGCAATTGTATCAACAACAACAACAGCAGCAGCAGCAGCAGCAGCAGCAGCAGCAGCAACAAATATATATACCGCCTGGTCTTGTTCAACAAAGAGAACAGAATATTCAACAGCAACAACTCCCGCCGCAATCTCTATACAATCATCCTTCACAACAACAACCACAGCAGCAGCAACAAGTCCCAATACCAATGTATAATCAAGTTCCACCTGGTAATCCCATACCGTCTTCACAATATATGGTGCCGCCCAATATTATTAATATCAATCGAGTGCCTATTAATGCCTATGCTGCACAGGTTTCAGAATATATGGTGGAAGATGATTTTGGTGATACTAATCACAATTATAATAACAATAATAATAATAATAATAGCACAAATCCTAATGGTCAAATGATCAGCGGAACCTTAAATATTCCAAATTCTAAAGCATCGAGAAACTCTAAAAGAGCAATACAAAATCGTAATGCTCAAAAAGCTTTCCGTCTGAGGAAAGAACGATACATACGTCTTCTTGAAAACAAATCACGCAAATTTGATGAATTGATGAAAGAAGTTCAAAGATTAAAACTTGAAAATATGAATTTAAAAAATAGAATATGGGAATTAGAAGGGAAATTAAACGCATATACCCAAACTGCAACAGCTACAACGACAGTTTCAACTGCAGCTACAGTTTCAACAACTCGAGAGAAAAATAACGACAAGAGCAAGAATGGTGAAGGTTAAGTCTTGTTAAACAGCAGGATATTAAAAAAATATATGTCTCTCCTATACTTTTTTTAGGTACTACTTTTGCATCATAATTCACAGATGCCCCATGTCATCTTTCACTAATATCTTTTTTTTAATTTACTCTTAAAAAATTAAATCTATTCTCACTTTTTCTTCAAAAAAAAAGCATTTGTTTTAACATTAGTACATTATTCAACTGTTTGAATTCAAGTGGCATTATCATTTAACCCTAATCCCTAACCACCAATTTCATATAGTAATTATTTATTCATTCATTCATGTAACCTTATTATTCCATCAACTTCATATAAATATAATTATATATACATTCAAGAAATAAAAGAAAGAAAAAACAATGGCTAAATCCACATAGGCATATTCAAATATAACCAGCATCACGGATGCAGCGTTGCATGTATTTCCATTACTAGGCTGAGTGTGACGTTTTATTGCCATACTTTGAGACTCTAGGATCGTTGTAGCATCGAAGTTTCCTCTAACGGGGGGTCCCAATCACGTGATACCTCAAACTACATGATTCCACAGAAACCCTTGCAGCGCTCTCAAACAGAAACAGGAACCTCAAAGAAAAATTCAAATTTATGAGAAAAAAAAACCCTCAAAAACTGTCAATTAACAATTAGTTCGCTTTTTCCCCCTTAAAGGGTTTCTATTTTTTGGGGGGGTGAGATGTAATCATCCCGATCTAGAAGGTTCTAGACCAAATTTGAACAGAGACAGGGATGGGAAAGCAACTCGAGACAACAATACTATATAATAACGTAATGATTTTTTCTTTTTGTATTCTTGAATGCAGGTGATAAGAGAGGGTTTAACTATACTTTAGAGATTTAATGACAAACCGAACCGGTATAAGATGCTAAGAACAGTAAATTTGCGAATTGCAAGGTCAAATAATTTAATAAAGAGAACATCCCTAAATGGAGTACGCATATCATCTAGAAGTTTATCCTATGGAAAGGGGACTAACTTACCATGGTCATCTCCTATTAAGAGTTATAATTCTTCAAAATTGAAATTTTCATCTTCACAAAATGTTATGCCATTAACAAAACCATTATTACAATTTTCTAGACCTTATGTTCAGATACGTACAGATCCTAATAAGAAAACTTTCTTGGAACAATATGCAACTAATTTAACTTCGTTAGCCAAAGAAGGGAAATTGGATCCAATCATTGGTAGAGATGAAGAAATATCCCGTGCCATCCAGATTTTATCGAGAAGAACAAAGAATAATCCCGTTGTTATTGGTAGGGCTGGTGTTGGTAAAACATCTTTGGTTGAAGGTCTTGCTCAAAGGATCGTACGAGACGAAGTCCCCGAATCATTACGTGGTAAACAGCTTTATAATTTGGAATTAAGCTCATTAATTGCAGGTGCTAAATATAAAGGTGAATTTGAGGAAAGACTTAAAGGTGTCCTGGATGATATCGATGAGTCTGTAATTATTTTCATTGATGAAGTTCATATGTTGTTAGGATTAGGTGGTTCTGGGCAAGGTTCGATGGATGCATCTAATATTTTGAAACCAAAATTAGCTAAAGGTTTAAGATGTATATCTGCCACCACATTAGATGAATATAAAATTATTGAAAAGGATCCTGCATTGGCCAGAAGATTTCAACCAATTATCTTAAGTGAACCTACCGTTGCTGATACGATTTCTATATTAAGAGGATTAAAGGAAAGATATGAGGTACATCATGGGGTAAGAATTACTGATACTGCATTGGTTTCTGCAGCTGTACTATCAAATAGATATATTAATGACAGATTCTTGCCAGATAAAGCTATAGATTTAGTCGATGAAGCTTGTGCTGTGTTAAGATTACAACACGAATCTAAACCTGATGAGATCCAAATCTTAGATCGTCATATCATGAGAATTCAAATTGAATTAGAGTCATTGAAAAAGGAGACAGATCCTCTCTCTATTGAAAGGAGAGAATCTTTACAAAAGGAATTAGATTCGGATAATAATGAACTTTCAAGATTGACTAAGATTTGGGAAGCTGAGAAAGAAGAAATTGATTCTATTAAAAATGCAAAGGCTAATTTGGAGAAAGCAAAAATTGAATTAGAACAAACCCAAAGAACTGGAGATTATAGAAAGGCTTCAGAATTAAGATTTTCTGTAATTCCAGATTTAGAGAAAAAAATTGAATTAGCTAATAAGAAAGATGCTAAGGGCAATGTGGTCACCGAAACTATGTTACATGATTCTGTAACATCTGATGATATTTCTAAAGTTGTAGCAAGAATGACAGGTATTCCAACTGAAACAGTCTTGAAAGGTGATAAAGATCGTTTATTGTTCATGGAAGATTCTTTAAGAGAAAGAGTTGTCGGGCAAGATCAAGCCATCAAGGCCATTGCAGAGGCTGTTAGACTTCAGAGAGCAGGTTTGACAAGTGAAAAGAGACCAATTGCAAGTTTCATGTTTTTAGGTCCTACAGGTACTGGTAAGACAGAATTAACAAAAGCATTAGCGCAATTCCTTTTTGATAATGAATCTAATGTAATTAGATTTGATATGTCAGAGTTCCAAGAGAAACATACTGTTTCAAGATTAATTGGTGCCCCTCCAGGTTATGTGCTAAGTGAATCCGGTGGTCAACTAACAGAAGCTGTAAGAAGAAATCCTTATTCTGTTGTGTTGTTTGATGAATTTGAAAAGGCACATCCTGATGTATCCAAATTGTTGTTACAAGTATTGGATGAAGGTAAACTGACAGATTCTTTGGGTCATCCTGTTGATTTCCGTAATACAATTATTGTGATGACTTCAAATATTGGACAAGATATCTTATTATCCGAAAAACCAATTAAAGGTGAAGAAGACTCAGGTAATATTAGTCCAAAGATTAAACAGAGTGTTGTAGATGAGATGAAGAGACATTATCCACCTGAATTTATTAACCGTATTGATGATATCTTGGTGTTCAACAGACTGTCTAAGAAGGTTTTAAGATCTATTGTAGATATTAGAATTAAGGAAGTTCAAGAAAGACTGAATGAAAAGAGAATGAAATTAAACTTATCATTAGAGGCTAAAGATTGGTTAACTGATCATGGTTATGATCACTTTTATGGTGCAAGACCATTGAATAGATTAATACATAAGGAAATATTAAATTCAATGGCTACATATTTGTTAAAGGGCCAATTGAGGTCGGGTGAAACTGTAAATGTAATTGTCGAGGACAATAATTTGGTTGTTGAACCGAATCATGCCGAAGGTGAGGAAATAGAACAAGTGCCTGAGAAATAGTTAATAATAAGAAAATAGGAAATGACAAAAATTCTGTTTTGTTTACATACCTACTAAATAACTAAAGTTTCCTTTTAGACTCTACCACTATATATATTCAGTTTATACTAAAAAAATTATGATATAAGAAAATTATAGTCATTCGATTTATACGTGACCTTATTGTATTTTTTCTTTGCTGTATTATTGTTAGAATAACGTTTTGAAGTAAGGCAGAAAAAAAAGTGTTACATTACTTTTTTTTTCATTAATTTTTGAAGCGATGAGATGATGAGCATTTTGTGAAATTAATGAGATTTCAGTAAATTTTTTTCAGTGATAAATTTATCAAACTCTACTATCAGAGGGTCATATGATGTTGAGAGTAGAAGAGGTAATATAGCAAGCAGAATACCATTTGCAGTTAGGAGTTCTAGCAATAATGGATCAATTTAATAAAGACATCGAAGAGTTTTCAAATTGGTTGTCAGACGATGCCGATGTGAAAGTATCCCCAAAAATTAGCATTGTTGACCTAAGGAGCTCGAATGAGGGAAGGGCAGTAATCGCTAATGAGCAGATAGCCAAGGATGAAATTCTATTTGAAATTCCATTTAAGTTACTTATTAATATTGAGACATCTCAGATCAACAAGGACCATCCAGATATACATAATGAGTTGAACAGACTTGGACAATGGAACGGTCTTATTGTATGTCTGTTGTATGAATGGGAGTGGTTACATGAGAAGAGTAAGTGGTGGCCATATATGAAAGTATTACCTACATCGGGGACATTAAATGGTTTGATGTACTGGAATGAAGATCAATTAAAAAAATTAGAACCCTCTTTAGTATTGGAAAGAATCGGGAAGGAAGGTGCAAAACAAATGTACGAAACAATTATGAAATTCATTAGAGATAATGGATTAGATAAAGAATTAGGGGAAACATCGTGGGAAAGTTTCCTACGAGTGGCAAGCACAATTATGTCTTATTCTTTTGACGTTGAGAAAATAGACCCAAATGGTTCTCAGGAGAAAGATAGTCAGAGTGCCGACGACGAAGATGAACCTGAGACAATTAGTCTGAAATCTATGGTTCCATTTGCTGATACTTTGAACGCAGACACCCATAAATGTAATGCGCACTTGGAATACGACAAGGATAGCTTAAAGATGCGTGCCATCAACACTATTGATAAAGGTGGACAGGTTTATAACATTTATGGTGAACATCCAAACTCCGAAATTCTAAGGAGGTACGGTTATGTTGAGATGGAAGGTTCTGCCTTCGATTTCGGTGAAGTATTACTTCAAAATATAAAAGATAGTTTAAAATCCATTTATTCAATGGATGAAGAATTTATGGATTGGATATTAACTGAATTAAAGAATGATCAAATGATTGAAACGTTTTTTGAAGATGAGGAGATTGTGTTGGATTCATATGATTGTTATATATCTGGGGAAATATTGACTGAATTAGTATTGTTTTTACAAATAATTACCACATTTTGTAGCATACCAGACGTGAAGGATCAAAATGAAGTAGATAGACTTGCAACTTTGAATAGAGTTACGAAGAAATGTGTTCAATTAGTGGAAGGTGGGACAGCAACTCAAGGCTGTTCTGAAGTATGGAAGCTTGCTGTTGAAAACAGATTAAAGGAATACCCAGAAGATTGTCTCAACACTGCCGTGACCTTCGATGACAATGATTCGATAGATAAGATAAGGGAATCAATGGCTAAGATAGTGTTGAGGTCTGAGTGTCAAGCTTTAGATAAATGTATGAGTTCTATCTCTCAGCAATATAAAATCATTAACGATGAAAAACTTTTGAATAATATCTTAAAGAGAAAGAGTAATCCTAATGACAATCGATCACCAAATTCCAAGAGACAGAAGAGATGATCTATAATATTATACGATATTTGTATGGTTTCATATAGTTATTCTATGTCATATCTATTGTAACGATAATATTAACCGAATTAAATAAACATTACAAGTCTGCTCATCACTTATTTGATGAGTTGTTTACCCAAGAAAATTCCAGTTGGCCAAACATAACAATTTGGTTAGCTCTATACATAAAATAAATAATACTAGGAGTACTAGAAGCCATTTTATCACTATCGTTTTACTGAGTTTCTGGTTCTTTGAATATTGGTTATCCAGAAATTTATATACCATTACCCTACCGCATCATGTGAAATTGTTGACAGAAGCGATTCTCATTGACATAAAACAAAACTTTCAAAGGGAACCTCAGGCTGTTCAAAGATAAATGAATGATAAGACAGTATTGCTAATTGGCAATTAATTTAGCGATAGATAGGGTAATAAAATATTGTTCTCTTAGCTGAAGATGGACTCTGTGACAAATTTTTTCTGGAATGAAGAATCTCAGGGCAAGGATCCAAAGACACTTGTGACTCCAAGTAATGAACAAGATGATACATTTAAACAACGAAATGTTGTTAATTCAGATAACACATCCTTAAAGAAACAAACGTCAGGGAATACAGATGGATCAAAAAGTGGGAACACCAAAAGTACTAAAGATAAAAAGAAATATGTCGCTGAAGGATCCAAAGATGGTTCCACGAGTTTACAGCAAATGATGACAGACACCTTAGTGGAGAAGGTTATAAAGATGGCTTTACCACCAACTTCTGATTCTTCAAGGATAAATATTGAGCAACGTAGTGTGTTTAGTAAGACTAGACCTAGTATGTCTGTTCAAATAATGAGTAATAACTTTATTCAAATGAATTCGAGACTTAGTATTCCATTCATTATGATAAATGAGGTAATCCGTTTAATGAGCTGGGAAAATGTACCCTTCACTTTATCCATTTTGTTGGTAATAACGTTTGCTATTTTAAAACCCCTTGTAACTGCAACTTCAGGACCCTTATTTTATATCCTATTTGGTATCATGGTCCCTAAATACATGTATGTGCATAAACCAAATAAGATCAAAAATCTGAAGAATAATAATACACCCGCACAAGGTCCAGCATTAAGGAAACCTGCCATACCTGAACCTGTTCCAGAATTAAGTCAGGAATTTGTGTTGAATCTGACAGATCTACAAAATCATATGCTATTATACGTATGGCTTTATGACACTATTAATTCTTTTTTGTTAAGTTTTGCCTATTTCGTCAATGAACAGATATCGTGTTTAGTTTTTATTTTGCTCTTGTTAGTGGCAATTTTGAACCTTTTATTTATCGAGAACATTGCACAATGGGTGCCAATTAAATTCATTTTGGTGTTATTTGTATGGGGATTTGTCATTGCTATGCATCCAAATAATAGAGAATTAATCTTGAAACAAATGAATTCAGAAGAGACACGTCTTAAAACTTTATCTTTTATTGCATCATATGAAACCTTGATAAAGCAACATTTGAGGTATGTTGAAGCAAAAGAAAATAAACTTGTTAAAGTATATGAAATACAGAAATATAGAGAGACTTATAAAGAATGGAGAACTGTTGGGTTTTCAAATGATGATTACTGTCTGTTTTCTGATTTACGTATTAAGGAATTAAATATTTCCGATTATTGTACAAAATTACTAGATGATGTGTTACCTCCGAGTGACTGGGAATGGGTTCCAGGATCTTCATGGGTATTGGATCTGAATCCCCATGAATGGGTTGAAGATAATTTTATTCAGAATGTAGAGATTGATTCTGAGACCAAATGGGTATATGATGTGGATTTCGATGGATTTCGTGGAAAATATAGACGTAGGATGTGGACAAACATGGTCACAAGGATTATTCAGACGAAAGATACTAATTCTGTTAATGTCGATAAAGATGATGGAGAACAAGTTATAGAGGAAGTTGTTAATCCGTTAAGGGAAGAAATTTCAAATCGTGAGTCCAGTTTCCATGGTGTTGCAAGAGACTCATTGGCCGGTGCTCATAATAGTAGCATGATTTCTGAGGGTAACAGGATGAATGACTCGCTTCTCATGGAAGGAGACGAAACTGTTGACAGTAGCCTGCCAAATGAAGGATCATTTAATGGTATTAATGATATGACGGATTTCCTCAATACTGCTGTTTGAGTGAAGTGACTATATATATTTACATATGTATGTAAGTATGTATGTATGTATAAAGAATGAATGAATAATGACGGGTTAATGATGTAAAAGTTGTTATCTTTTCATGAAGCTCTCAAGGGTCAGAGATGAAAGAGAAGCACTTGATCCATTGTTTTGTTCTTTTTTCTTATTCGCTAGTAAATTGTTCAATGAGTTTTGTTTTCTCTTTTTAGCCCTCCCTTTAGCCGTACTCTTTGTAATCTTATTTTGAGGTGCAGAGGATGGTGAACCTGATAAACTGGTTGGTGCAACTGAACTTAATTTGCTTTCTATACTGTTGGACCTAAAGGATGCTTTATGGTTGCAATGCCGACATTTAAAACTCAAAGACTCCTGACCATCATGTGAAGTTGCTTCAATATCGGTATTAACCATCGGAATGTGAACTAACCCACAATTCCCACAAAATTTGGTATCTGCATCAGTAATCTCAGAAGGTAATGTGATATCGTATCTTTTTGTTGCGTTGTAAAAACTCTTCAAGTATAGTCCGGCTAGAGCTGGGGTCTGCAAAGTCGGTAGGGAATGTAACAAATCATATTTCTGTCTCAAATGTCTATCTCTAAATCTTTCTCGTTGAGTCCTATTCATGATTCAAAGCGATTTGTACATATGACTGTACTTTCTGTTCCTGCAAGCTATATAAGAAGTTATAAAATTCATACCTGCCTGAAATTCTTACTATTTTTTTTTAAGCCTTTATTTAGTAATGTCATATTTTTTTTTAAAAAAATTTCATGAATCGTATCGTACATTATATAATAATATAAAAAAGATGAAAAAAATGTTGAAATTATACAAGGGTTTCTTTTCTTTGATATGGTGCTTTCCTAATAAGTTGATAGAAGACTATGAGTTCTGACTATTGATGGCAAGCTCCATGATTAATCTCGTGGTCATGTGTAAGAATGGGTATGCAGAGAAAGTGCTGATTTCATCTTCAGAGGAAGTTGTTCCTGTAGTAGTTGAACCGTTATTGTCCACAGGTTCTACGGGTTCCCAACCATCGAATTTAAAATCGGCAAGATAATTGTTGGTTTCAATTTGGAACAATTGGATCACGATCTTCATTAAGTTTGGAATTTTCTTATTTTTATCCTCCACACTATGATCATATCTCCAACGAACACGAATAGTCCATAAATCATCTTCAGAAGGTTTAGCCCATTCAGCACCTAAATTCTTTAACGCGATATAGATCTCACCCATCACATCTAATGGGTATGATCTTGATCTTATCCCAAAGTGCCACCTTGTCTTTGATTTTTTAGTGGTTAAAGGAGATATTTTATCAACAGATAATCCGTGTTCAATCATATTTGCACGATGAATTTGTGGTAAAGATGTTGGTAAGATGGCAATTGTTGATTTTTCTTCATGAGTGTTATAATAAACAGAATCGAATACAGGAGTCTTTAATCCATTTGTTGGTGTAGTGGCAGATGTAGCATTAATACCTTGGTGTGATGTAGTACCTGTTGAATCCATTGTACTCTTAACATTTGAATTAACATGTTCTAAAGGTGATTGTGTTAAAAATTCTTGTAAATTTTCATTACCCATTGAATTTTGATCATTTTGTTGTTTATTTTTCAATTCATTTAAAGTTGCTCTATTTTCTTTAATTAGTAAATAAGCGTCTTTAACTTCATTAATTTGAGGATTATCTGTAGTTGGAGATGTTAAAGCTTCGTAAATTTCATCATGTTCATAACCCATGGTAGTTGATAAAATATGAACCAAGGATTCATCAATTTGGTCATTAGTCAAAACTAATACATTATTATCAGAATATTCAGAATTGCTTGTTGTATTCTTATTATTACCGTTATTAGTTGTTGAATCTTTATTATCTGGTTCATTAATAACTTTTAAATAATCAGGTAAATTAATTTTAAACCATTCATCTTGAATAATTTCTTGAATAGTAATTCTATTCAATGGATTAACAATTAACATACGTTTAATTAATGAAGCGGCACCTTCAGATAAAAATTTTGGTAATGTATAAATACCATTACTAATATTTTTAAATAATACAGGAATTGAATCATCATCAAATGGTAATCTACGACATAACATAACGTATAAAATTACACCACATGACCAAACATCAACTTCTGGACCAGCATATAATTTCCCACTAATTACTTCAGGCGCAGCATAATTTGGTGAACCACATGAAGTCTTTAAAAAATTACCATCTGTCATAATATTTGATAAACCAAAATCTGCAATTTTAACATTTAAATGTTCATCAAGTAATAAATTTTCAGGTTTTAAATCTCTATGAACAATTTTATGTCTATGACAATAATCAACAGCTGAAATAATTTGTTGAAAAAATCTACGAGCTTCATCTTCTGTCATTTTATCACGTTGAACAATATAATCAAATAATTCATCATTAGCATATTCTATTACCATCACAATTTCATTTGGTGAAGAAATAACATCATATAATTTAATAATATGTGGATGTCTTAATAATCTTAAATAAGAAATTTCTCTTTCAATACGACCTTTCATATCATTTTTAGTTAATAATTTCTTATTAATAATCTTCAATGCAACTTTTTGACCTGTAGTAATATGATAAGCTAATTTAACTTTACCAAATGAACCTTCTCCTAATGTTTTAACAATTTGATAGTTCCCAATCCGAGATCCGTCACTTAGTAAAGATTGTTTATTATGCGAATGCGAATGTGAATGCGAATGGTGATGACGGGAATGTCTCCCTTGACTACTATTGTCCATTTCTTTGTGTTTTTTGTAGAATTTATCTAGTTCTCTCTTTCTTTCTTCTATTCTAATATATGAGTTCTATTCCTTATTTAATAGTATATAATGTGCTGTCCCTTTGATTCTCTTCTTCTTTTATTTATTTAAATTTAAGTTATTTACGATTTTTCTGCTTTTTTAGGAGAAAAACAACGCAACACACATTTATGTATCTGACCGTGCCAAGTGATGTGGAAGAACGGAGAAGCGTGGAAATCACATCACTTGGTACGGTGGTGTGGGGTTCGGCGGCTAAATCCAAACAAGAAAAAGAATTTCTTTCGGCGGCAAATCGGCGGTGGCGAAAACCAAAAAGTATAAAAGGGGAGAGGAACTGGAAGTCATTTGGAAGTTTTTAAAATATTTTCTTTCCACTCAGTATTTGGGAGTTTTGGGGGAAGGATTGTTCCCTTTTTGCATATTGTTCGTTGGAGAGATCAAGTATGGTATAAGTTGTTGTTAACGGTTGAAATGATGAGAGTTTGTGGTAGCCACCCTGGTAACTATTTTTTTTTTTTGTCTATAGTATATATGTGTATATAAATATGTCAAGATTTAGTCGACAGGGAGAGGAGCAGTTCACATTGAGGTTATTAATATCTGGGAGAGTTTAAGAAATTAAAGCTGGATTACACATACGCGCCCATAGAAACTATTAAATTCTATCGAGTTCAATGAAATTTATATAAATAAGAAAATTGTTGATGAGTACTATTCATTCTATTTTGCTTGTTCGTTTTTAGAGCTTTTTGAATATCGTTCTCGTTTAAACTCGTTAAATATATTGCGTATTGAAGTCGCCGCGTCTTTTCAGTTATCGGTTTTTTTTTTTTACAATTTACACCCAGATAATATATAAGAAGAGAGTATATATGCATTCAGATGGGATGAGATTCTTAAGAAAGTATCTCATTAATAAAGGTGATCGATCCAAGATATATAAGTTTCAATTATGGAGATTCCAACAAAACATTTGGCATTATCAAATTACAATAAGCAATATGGTCATCTATTAGGTGAATTTCTTTGTTTATATGGAAATATAACTCGTCAAACATTGAAAAAGGCTACTGCGATTCGTTTATCTGATTTAGATGATGATTCAGTTGTAATTTCATTTTCATTGCCAGATATTCCTTTGCCTGTTGATAAAATTATATTATATCCTGAAGAATATAAAGGAACTCCGGAATCCAAGTTTAATCAAATGTTATTGAAAACAGTTGAGAAGAGTGGTAAATCGCTGCTAAAGATTAATACATGTTTAGGTCCACGTACACCTGCTGACTTAGCAGTACTTTTAGTGGTACCATTACCTTTAGTATGTTATTTATATAGACCATTATTATTATGGATTCCAATCATTGGTAATTACTTAAGTGAAAATCCAAATTATATTCTATGGATTATTGGTTTAGAACTTTTATGTCATTTATGTGAATCTTTAACATTTATAAAACCATTAATGTTTCGTTACAGCATAGCTCCTGATCTTCAAGTTGAATGGTACATGTGGGGTCTATTAGAAGGTTACAGTCCCGTTAGAAGACTCAATGCTTTTGCTCAACCAAAAGAGAGTACGTTGAAAGATACACTAATGAATATATGAATATTCAAAAAGCCTTCTTTTTTTTACATATAAATATATAACTATAACTATCTGTATAAAATTATTCTGTTATATATATATATATTACCATTTGAGGTTTCTCCCTTTGGGAAAATTGATTGAAGTTTGAGCGAAAAGAAGGGTCTCCCACTGTGTTTATTTACATTTTTTTGGTTTTTGAAGATTAAGAAAAACTCCCTCGGGACTCTCTTCACTAAATTTGGAAGACTCAGTTTTGCGCGGATTTAACAAATTATCTTCCAGTGAAAGAGATTAAGTAATATTTATAATAAAAGGAGATCCTGAATTAATAAATTCAAATAATTAAGAAAGAGATCTCGATAGACTCCTTAACAGTTAGAAGAGAAATAAAATAAAATAAAATCAAAAAAAGGTAAGACAATTAGATAAATAATGGTAATGGATGTACCAGCAGAAGACCAATTATCTCAAAATGAGTATAAATCGGTAAAATTTTATTCACCTTTAAAAGTGAGACCAACAGATTCTAATATTATTGAAACACAAAAGAAACAATATCCTTACAAATCAATGAAACCATGTATTTCATTTAATACAGTTCCAATGATAAATGTTAATGCTAAACGTATTGATAAACTCTATAAACAAGATTTTCCTGGTGTTCAATTTCCAACAGATTATACAATGGAAGAATATTATGATAATGAAAGTGGATACGCTGGTGAAAATAATACACAATATAATTTGCATAATCAATATTTATTAAATAATTTGAATTCTGTTTCTACTCATATGTCGGTAAGACAACCATCACCAACAAGATTTCCATCATCATCAGCATCTAGTTCAAATTTATCAAATGATAAATTTAGTTTAGGGAAGAGACAACAATCTCATAAATCTATTCAATTAACAGAAATGTTTAAAATTGCGAAAAATGGGAAAATTGTTAGAGAAGATTATCCAACTAGACCTACAATTCAAAATAATTCTTTAGTATTAAATAATACAACATCAAAATGGGATAAATTATGGACTTTACATCGTTTACAACTTGATAATAGAACTTTACATAAAGAGAATTTTTTCAAATATCCTGATATTTTATTTACTGAACATAAACCGAATATTAAAGTATTAGAAGATATGGATTCAGATGGTTTTACACCTTTAACAAAAAATCAAAAGAGAAAAATTAAAGTAATTAATGAAAGAATTGGATATCCAAATTTACCTAGAACCATATTATGTAGAATTGATGGTAGAAAACATACATGGGTTGGTCTGGATTGGTTATTTACAAATTGTATTAAAGATACTGATCATGTTATTGTTGTAACTAATTTACCTTCTTTAATTACTAGAAGGAAACCAAAATTACGTAGTGCAAGAAGCGCTACACGCTCCGGGTATAATGGTTATGGTCAATCAACAAGTGTTAGTAGAAGTAGAAGTCGTGGTAGAAGACGTAGCGCATTAAGAGATTCCGATGATTGTAATTCCGGAATTGATACTGGTGATAGTGATTCGGATGATGACGATGATACTAATGATTCACCAAGTACAGTAAATTCATGGTATCCTGGGTATGATATTAATCAAATTAGAGCCAAAATGAGAGATATTCAAATTTATATCGAATCTTTATTATTATTAAACAATCCAAGTCGCGATATTAAGTTAACAATTGAAATAACAGTTGGTAAGACAATAAACTGTCTTTGTAACACTACTAACATTTATACTCCTGATCTAATAGTTACATCAAATTTAAATGTGGAAGCTGTAGTTAAATGGAAATCAAATTATATATCAGATAAATTGTGCAGTTCTTTCCCAATACCTGTAATTGTCGTTCCTGCATTATATATGAACAATTTTGAAAAAGTTGTTGAAATGAAATCTCAACAATTGATGACTATACCAGGTCAAGAACCTTCTCGAATTATTCCAGTGCCTTCGAAAGAGAAACAAACTGGTCAAGAATTACTTGAAGTATTAGATCAAATGACTTACAAATCATTAAAGGAGAGTATTAAATTGAATAAAATTACTTCACAAGCTAAGAAAAAACAAATGGTTGATGTTGTAAATACATCGCTATCAATACCTCAAAAGAGCAAGAAGAAATCAAGTAAAAAATCAAAATCAAAGTCATCAAAAGTATATCCTTCATCTTTATCCCCAGTTTCATCAATTTCGGACATAGAATCGAATAACCTTCAAACTAATGATCTCCATCGTCTAAAACCCGTTAAATCTGTATCATATAACGTAGCTGAACATACTGATCCACATACTATCCCAATATACAGATCGAAGAGCTCTGCAGAAAGAATACCATTGAAACATTATAAATCTAACTCAGAAGTACCAAGAAAACATATCAGTTCTAGTAGTAGTTCAGCATCTAGTAACAAGGGTTTCTTTTCGTCGTTATTTAAAGGTAGCGCCACTACTTCAGGAACCAAGGAGAAAAAGAAAGGGATATTTTGGTAAACTTCTTATCCTTTTTAGAAGACATAACTATGTTTCGTCTGTTAATTTGTATAATTGTTTTGTAAATACTTCTGCATTTCCACTAGAACTATAATAATAGAACATTTTTCATTGATATTTATTTTTTTTTATGTACAATGAGTATATGGCGTATAATGAAAAATAAAAAAAGAATTGTATATAAAGATATTAATTACTTGATAGGCGAGAGTTAATGACTAAATAAGGCTTGCAAAACCGTAAAGAATCTGTCTCCGTAGATAATTATTACTATTATGTCAGGAAATCGAAAGAGAAAGGCAGAGAATCAATCTCGTGGTCTTCAAACAGAACTTCATCCGGCTTTAAAGTCTACCAATTTAACACTTATCAAAGAACAACAACATAAGAGTAATCCATATTTAAGCAATGAAAGTGACATAGGTAATAACCGTAAGAGAGCACATTTATCAAGATTTTTTCATAAGGGTGAAATCATTGAACGTGTCACTCAAGAACGTGCAAAATTACGTGAAGTTGAGAAACAATTGGAACTATCCCTCGTTGAAGAACAAGAAGAGAAAAAACTTTATCAGTTGAAGGTTGCCAATGGTGAATTACCAGATCTAGAGAAGGACGAAAATAAATTTATAAAAAATCTGGATGAAATACCTGAGGATATAGAATGGTGGGATGCAGTGTATTTAGATAAGAAAACCCATCAGATATTAGAAAAATATATTGTATCCGATTACAATTCCGATGAAGAAGAAGAGAATGAAAATGATGATACAGGGGATGAAAGCTATGCACCAAGTATACGATATGTACATCATCCTTTAATTCAGGTTAACTCTAAGGCAACTGATGATCATCTAGCAAGGATTTATCTAACAAAGAAAGAACATCGGAGGATCCGTCGTCATAAGAGGAAAGCTGAACTAGAAGAGAAAGAAACAAAAATAAAATTGGGCCTAACTCCTAAACCTGAACCTAAAGTAAAGTTAAGTAATATGATGAATGTATTGGAAAATGATGCAAATATTGTGGATCCAACAAGTTATGAAAAAATTGTCAGAGAACAAGTTCAAGAACGTAAGGAACAACATATTGCAAATAACAATCTACGTCATGAGGAAGCAGTGAAACGTAGAAAAGAAGAAGCTAAAGTTTTACCAAAGTTAGATTTTGAAGATATATATTATTGTAATGTTTACAAATTTCAGAATCTAAAGAATCCACAGTTACGTTATAAATTGAATATGAATGCTAAACAATTAAAATTACGAGGCTGTTGTCTCAGAGTTGGTGAGCAAGGTCCTGGAATAATTATCAGTGTGGCCAATGAAAAAAATAGTAAGTTTTTTAATAAATTAATAATGAACCGTCTTAAATGGAATGAATCCTTTGAAAATAGATCGACAGGTGAAATAGTTAAAAATGATGAAAATTGCGTCAAGCATACTTGGAATGGGACTATTAAACTGAAGGAGCACCCATTTTCAGGATGGTTTATGAGAAGTTGCCAAGATAATAACGAGTTGAAAGGAGTATTGACTAGATTTAATGGTGAATCTTTTTATAGAGATACGCTTGCAACATCGACATTATAATGATGATTATTAAGAAACTCAAAGTTATGTATTATAGACATATAACTTTTTATATAGATAATGTATGCGTTAAATATTTACAGGGTTGATCCGTAGGTCATACTGTATAAATGTATATGTATATATAATTTTTATAACATTTTGTTCCGTGTGGTTCTGTCATTGAAATGTGTAGTAAAACTTTCTTGCACTTAAGAAATAAAAAGATAGAATTATAATGAAAAATTCAATCAGTTTTAAGCATCTCTGATTTTGGCTAAGATTTCAGAGTCCCTAAACAAAATAACTTCATCATCGGAGTTCAACTTGATGGTAGAACCACCAAACTGTGGAATCAAAACTTGATCACCGACCTTAACTTGTGGAGTAACTTTATTACCATTAGCATCTGTGAAACCTGGACCAACAGCTAAAACTTCGGCTTGGTTTAACTTTTCAACATTCTTTTCTGGTAAATATAAACCAGAGGCAGTCTTAGCTTGAGCCTTGACTCTTTGAACTAAAACACGGTCTAATAATGGGACAATAGACTTAGCAGATTTGATGATTGTAGACATTTTGTACTGTTTGGATAATGTGAGTAACGAAGGAGGTAAATTTCAAATGAAAATAAAGAGTAGATTGATCTCGATCGACAGATTGCGTGTCTTTTTTTTTAATGGTTCATTAAATTCAGCATGACTGATCCCTTTGCAATTTCAATTTCAACGAATGGCTTTCCATTTTTCAATAATTTTCGCCACTTTTTATTTCACTTTAGCTAACGCAAGCCCTTATGTGGCCCTCTATGTGTTCGTCAACAATGATGTACCTTAGGTATCTGATTGTAAGTAACCCTATAACATATGTGTTAGGGTTAATATGGCATATATCGTACGGAACTTCCAACCGTTTTAGATGCCATGTCCAGGTTCTAATGGGATTACAACTTAATCCCTTCGATTTTGATCAATCGGTTGAATTTCCAGTTGTTTTTACTACATTTCAAAAAGAATATTGCTATTTAAGTTTTCAATGATTCAAAAGAGAAAATTTATATACAGAATGCATATATATATATATATATATATATTATGTATGTATGTATTAAAGTAAATCATCTAAAGATTGTTCCGAGTCTCTCTTAATCAATTCTAGCATTCCAGTAGGTAGGATTGGTTTTCCATTCTTATCAACCACGTATCTGAATGGCATTTCTGTGGCTTCGTACTTATTAAATTTAAACTCCGGATAATCAAAGAATTTAATATCTTCAAATTTTGTTTGATCTCTAATAATAATTTGGGTTGTTCTAATTGCTGTATCAGTAGTCATTTGTTTATCCCCAAGTCTTCTACCTACCAATAGATCAGGATATGCGTCTTTCAATTCTTTAGTACGATCTCTTGGTGGGTGGTCACCTAGAATACCACCGAATACAAAATAGTCAAAGTCCTGTGCTTCACTAGGTTGTAAATCAGAGGCTGCACGAGGGTCCAGCAGACATACACGACCGTTCTTCATAGGTTCCAAATTATCAATATCTTCATGGATATGTGATAAATCCTTGGTCGTCCATTGAAGACCCATATCTAATAATTTTTTAGGGATTTTTTCGGAGGTAGTACCTTTTGGCAAAGAAGATAAAATCAAATTCTCAGGTCCCAGATCTCTAAGAACTTGAGCATACTCTAGGATAACCCACTCGCTGAAACCTTCTTCCATGTGTTCAATTATGTATTTCATCTTGTGTCTCTTGTTTTTCTGTAGTCAACTATTTTTATAGTATTGTTGGACGGTCTTAAAAGATAAGAGATATTTTTTCTATGTTAGTAGGTGTTCTACCATTCTGTACGTGTGGAATATAACTGGAAACTACCATGTCTATCAATGTAAACCAGCAAGTAAACTGAGAGCACACACACTGCCAGTTGATGTTAGTTCCTCTGTAAAGACAAAGTTCCCAACAAAGTCATCGCTTCAGCCAAAAAAACTGAAATTCGCTGCCACTGAAAATTTTCCAAACGGCGGTGCAAAACAAGAAGTTGGAAATGGTGTGAAAGTGTCACAAAATAGAAGGGAAAGGGTGCGACAGTCTCGACGAAATTGAAGGTTGCAGCTGGTGAACGTTGTTAGCGCCAGAGAGTGACATCCCTTAACAAAGAGTGTGTGAGATTTATCACTTGACTTCTCGTGTCAATTGCAACAAGGTTTTTACCAGTTTAATTTTTTAGGACACTATTTTTGGAACATAACTAATACTTAATAAATTCTATCAACAATTCCTTTCCTAAATTACTGTTCTTATGTCTGTAATATAGTTCTACGTAATTATCAGAGAATAAGGTAATGTAATTGTGTATATCTATTATATTCTCGATCTTGTATTGAAGGATTTAAAAACAATGTAAAAGGTCACGTAAACAAGACGTAAATCTTAATAATATATATTGTACTTGATGAACCAAAAAATAAGACCGTTCTAGACAATATTAAAATAAAAAGAGGGATGGAGCTTAGACAAGCTTGCCATGTAGTCAATATCAACACTTCTCAAAGTAACCTAAATCTGTTCTGATTTCGGAAAATGAGCGAGTAGCAAGTTTTATATTCCTTCATTGGTACATCAGGACCACATATTACCGTTACGACCAGCATAAAATATTTCCAAAATTCCCACATACAGAAAAGAACACAAAAAAGCTGTTGTATAAAGCAAGTTTGCTCGCATCGCATATTATTTCAGCCAGATGGCTAGATACCTAACCATTAAAGAGTATCGCAGACCATCTGAGTTTTCTCAAGATAGGAAGAGTAGTTTTGGGTGGTAGACTAGATTTATTGTATCATTTTGTATGGCAAGCGTAGAAACCGTCAACGATGTTTCCGCCTTGTAAGTTTGTAAAAGTCTGGACTTGAGGAAAATAGGCAGACCTAGTGATCTTGGATTGTCTCCCGGCAAGTAGTTCATCCAAGAATATTTATTAGAATAGCAGTATTACCATCTACACTCACAGATACGACGTAAGATCCCATTTTAAAAACCTTAAACGCATATCGTTGTTATTGCTATTTCTCCGCACTTCAGATACACAAATGTATAGTGTAGTGTATTCAATTACTACTCAGCATGCCGATATGGCTTTAAAATATTATATAACAAAAAATATTATTACTCTGACATACTGATGAATTGGTCGAAATATTGAACCCAACTAATATCTGATTGAAAAAGACATGGAAATGCATATATAGCATATATATTGATAGTCAAAGGAAATATACGCATGTGTATACTGCGATGCCTTCTTCCTTCCAGACTCGAAATTCTGTTCGCAACCAAACAAAAAATCCTTTATGACTTTTTGTTTGGTAAATAAGACGGAAACACCGCAGGAGTAAAAAATTTGGTGGCTCTTTTTGCAATTTGTAAAACTTCCCACAGCATAGAGGGTTATTTAGAAATAAAACGGTTGCTAGAAACAAAACAGAAACACTTAAGAAATAAATAAATTAGTTTTATCTGAAAAAAACCCGCCAGGTGCCAAGGAAAAACTTCCAGCAATCCATATATTTTGGAAAGTAATAGGAACAAGAAACAAAGTAGAAGCGGTATGGAAACAAACAAACTAGACAAAATATTTTTCGTTAGTTTGAAATTTCAAAATGTTAACGAACTAAAACGTTTCAAGTCTTCAACTGTTTCCTGAGTGTTTCTGATTCGTTTCGTAACGGCGTTATTGATTTAAGTTGGTGGGTTTTCCAAAACTACTCATGAACTACAAAAAACCCACCAACTTAAATCAATAACGGGTCGCGAAACGAATCAGAAACACTCAGGAAACAGTTGAAGACCTGAAACGTTTTACTTCCATCGATCGCCTTACGTGCAAATATATGTGCCAAAGAGCTAAATGACACAATGTTTGGACAGTTGGCTGTCATATGTTGTCATTTTGGCGATAAGAACTGGGTGAACTTAAGAAATTTAGACAATAGCAGGTCCAATTATGCTGCCGGGGACGCGAAGACCCTTGGGGGAAGTGTGTTTACCTGGGGCATGAATTATCCTAAGCCAAAGTGGTTTCTATATAGAATTAAAAGTTACCAATATCATATATAGGTTTCATGCTACTTTTCAGAAACTAGTGGAGTTTTGTTTTGTTTTTGCTACACAAGTTTAATTTAGTCATATATTTAATGTTACCTTAAAGCACATTAATTAAGGACAACGCATTCCAATTAAGTGACTATTAACTGGAAGTTCAGCTACGCTAGAGCTTCTTTTCTATGAGATTGTATTTGAAAATGATGTCTAGGGAAGTTTTTTTGTATTACTTCTTCCTAATTTTTGTCCAGGTGAATTTTTTGTTTTCCATTGTTACTTAACTTATTAAAAAGAATGATACCAGACAACAATTTTAATGTCAAATTAGTCGTATTTCGAAGAATATATGTTTATTCACCTTGTTGAAATTATTGTTAATAGTTTCTTACGTGATGTTTACGAACTAACCCATATTATAAGTTACGCATTTTGGGGTTTACCCTTTCTATTTAATTTCCGTCAAAGATAAACTCTGAAACTAAAAACAAGTTGTTTGTTTAGGTGCTGTGAAGATAAATAGGAAATGCTATCGTTCAACATTTTGTTAGGTTTACTAGGTTTGCCATTATCACTTTTGTTTTTTTGTTTATTCAATTAGCCCTCTATTTGATTCCCCGAATAATGAGGAGGTACAACAAAATATAAAAATTTGAGATTATTAATAATGAATAATACGTATTTTCTGAATCCCAATTCTCTATTGAGCAATAACATAACCTTACTAAAGAGCCAAAGAATAATAGACGTTACAATAAATGTCGTTCCACAAGCATAGGCTAACAATAAAATATACATGAAATGGTAAAAGACCAGCACAAAATATGCATATACTTAGAATTCGGAAACCTAACCTCATAACTTTTATAAAAAGCTGATTATTGCAGCTGAATTTCCTTCAATTACATCTGTTTCCTGGTCCTTAAAAATAACAACAACAGAAGGAGAACACATAGTAAAATAGAGAGAGAAGCGAAACTTTTCTGAAATATGAATCAAGACAAAAGCGACTTCTGGGATCTCTCGAAGTGACACAAATGTTGCAACAAATATTAAAGGAAGAAAGAAATAAAAGAGTTTCTTAAAATATTTTAAATATTGATTTCCTATGAACTGCACAGATATCTAACCTTAAACGTTTTCGTTATTTTACCCTCTACTAAATAAAGCCAGATTGATATTATTATTATTGCTCTGAAAAAAAAGATGGTATTGCTATTAATATACTTAAAAATGATTAAGAATGACAGTCGTTCCGGAAACTCAACATTTGCTAAAGTATTTTAAACTTCCAGGTATTTAAAGTTTCACCAACGATAATACAATAATGATGTGTAGATGTGTCGGATCGAAGCAAAACAACTTAACTCCAATTAACTGGACCACAGTAATTGTATCCATCTCGACTACCCAAAATAGATACAGTCATCTTATTCATGAAAGATAGAACAGACAGAATGTATCTACAAGCTTTAAAACTCTATGCAGAATGGATTCGATTTAAACCTGGTAATTCAGAGTTTGAACAATTCCCTGTAACGTGCTTTTGAACAGTATTTTGGAACCAAAGTCTCAATAAAGACGTACGGTAAGCTATAACCACAGTGAAGAATACCCCTGTATACAGAATGGATAATAATTCCCTAGGAAAGAATTATGGTGAGTTGTCATTGTTTGGTCTCATCTTTGGGATCTTCAAGAAAAGGATCTCCTATAACAGCAATTACTACTACTAATATCTCGAGAATAAAAACTATGTTTTCATGGACTTAAAAGTCTTGATTCGATTTTCCTCCAGTTTTCCTTTCATAGTTAATAAGTTAATAAATAAACTAGCAACATTTTCTCAATTTCTTTTTGAATGACTCTATTATTAATAAGTATTGATTAAGTATCCTTTTTCAACAACGGCATAACGAATTTCTGTTAAAAACAATTTTTGATAACTCCAAGAGACACATATTTCTGGACTGAATATAGATATTAAAAGTCGATAGAAATTGGTAGGCAGTATATTAAACTTGTTCTTTTTCTACTGTAACACCCTTATCTGTATGTTTAATATGGTCGTCTATGTATATTTGTTAGCCAATCAAAAACTCCAAATATCAACAGATCTACCTTTTCATTTAAGGCAATATAGAAATATTCAAAAAAATTCACTCTCAAAAATATGACTCGAGGGAATTCTTCTCTAGTATAATAGGAACCTACCTTTCAGCTTGTTGCAACCTTTCGTTTCAAAATGCTCTTCGAAACACCTAGTCTGTGTTTCTATATTTAATATACGAACCACCTTGTGGGGGATATTGAAACATATATATATATATATTATTAGACATAGTAATTCTGATATAATTAATTTATTCTGCTGTTAATTCTCTGTATCATAACTCTAAGATTGATATATTTATACATTTATATATATAAAACAGGTGTTTGGGCGGTATGTTCATCCTTTCAATGTCACAAATTCGGCGTGGAAACAACAAATAGTTTAACAACATAGAGCTCTCGCCACTACACAGCGTTATACCAAACTACTTCCAATTTAAGTTTGATTGAAATATGGTCTAATGTTGTAAACAAAATTGAAGTTCATGATCTAAACATTCAATAGTAACTTTCCTTTATTATTGACCATCAGGAAAACTCCACCCGTGTCCTCGTAGTTCCTTTTATTGGAGATGTAAGAACAAGAATATCTTTCTTGTCCTTACACACCACCACAAATATGGTTCTAACAAGTGTCATACAGTTAGGTCGTAACAGAATACGTGCGGAGTTTACAATGTCGTTATTTTCATCTTCGCAATAGTAACTGGAAAATTTCTTTTCCAACTATGGATATCCACCTGTTGTAGATTCTTAATAGTTCATCATTAACTCAGGGACTAGATTTTTAAACTTCGTGTTTATAAATTGGCCAAATATTGGTTTAGGCTTAAAATTAGTTACTTTCAGTATGAAGCTGTCATTTTCTGAATTTCATCAATTTTTGAGTTTGGTTACAGTGGATTTGCAATGGATTGGGCGATCTTCTATTAGATTTATTCCAGCTATAGACAAAGAAAGTAGGAAAAAAAAATATTACCAAAGTATTTATTAAGGGTTTTTAGAATTCATGTTGCTAATAGCTGTTCAGAAATATCAAAATCTTTCGTTATGCTTTGAGAAAGACTTCAATCATCCACCCTCTAGAAGCTGTGTAGAAAAAAGACATTAAAATGAGTTAACATCAATCCATACCTGGTTTCTTTATATTGTCTTAAAATACTAAATTGTAATTTGATCGTACTTATGCTCTCCTCATTTATTCTAATGGGCTTATCAGATATATCTTAATTTCCTTTATCTTCATCACATAGATTTAATATTTTCCAATGCTGATGTATTAGACAATGATTCCCTTCCTAATAATCTTCTGCAGAATTCAAAAATGCAAATTAATATATAGTTACCTGTACAAAAAATGGTAGATTATATAATGTAAAATTAGGCATTAATTATTACAATAAAAAGATTCCAGAATTAAGAAATTTCTTACTCACCAGAAGCTACCAAAATAAAATATTATAGCGAGCCATATCTTAGGTGCTGTGCAGAAATAACAACTCTACAACATGGGAGAAAATTTGAAAACTTTTGATTTCACAATCTATGTATTCCAAGTCGTATAATTAGTAGAACTAAAGAAAGAACTTCCCATACATTGTGCTTAAGGAACACCTATTTTCTCCATCTAAATTTAAATGCCTATATATATTCCAATATTTATCTGTTAAAGGAATAATAACGCTATTAAAATAATTATTTTTTATTTTAAATTTAAATTTAAATTTATGTACGTGTAAATATATAGTTAAAAGGTCTCAAAATAACAAATAACGAGCGCAAGTGGTTTAGTGGTAAAATCCAACGTTGCCATCGTTGGGCCCCCGGTTCGATTCCGGGCTTGCGCATTTCTTTTTTCAACACAAATCATTCATTGTCATGGAAACCCATTGCAATATGATTTTTTTTTTGAAGCATACACCATTATAAAAACAACTCATCTACAGCATTGTAATATGTAGAAGCAACATGTCAACTAATAATAAGGTCTGTAGATATTGACCAAGAAATCTAAAAGAATGTCTTTGAATGACTAAAGTAATTAGGATATGGTATATATGTTATATAAATTCTCTTTTTTTAGTTGCAATTAAAATAAAATGGTAAGGTTTAGGTCACATAGTGATAAATTTGATTTTAGAGACTTTTCAAAAATCTTGTAATCTCAATCTATAGTTTAAATCAAAATCAAAAGAAAAGACTAAAGTATCTATTTCGAGAGTTAATAAAATATCACATACTCTAGTTTGAACTCTGCAAGACAGTTAATCAGATACTCATATTTGGATAAAACAATATTAATAATCTTATAAACCTTTAAGATTGTATATTCGAGAATCGGTTAGTGTGTAAACCCAATTTTTTTTATTAATATCATTTACAAATATATTTTAAAATAATAAAATGATATTATCAAACACTGTTCAAGCTCTGCACCTTTTTTCTTTGGAATTCTATAAAATTGATTACTTTTAATTCTAATGCGGATTGTAGCTTCATATCACTGAGACTTCTTATGTATTTTAATCTTTTAAATAAGGTGTAATTGAAAACTCAAAAGCTCAGAAAATTTAAGAAATAAACAAACATAAAAAGCATGAAATTCTTAAATTATGATTGCCCGAATCTTATAGCCTCCCTTTCTAAGACTTGGTTATCAAATTGTATTAAATAAACTGTTCTGCTGTCAAATTGACCCTGTGGCATTTCATGTGCAGTGACTTTACAACGAAATCCAGCATTTGTTAAAAATCCTTTAATAATACCACAAATGAAATAGTCACAAGATATCCTATTATTCGAGCCACTTATAAATTGGGTTAAAGGTGGTTGATTGTCAATTATCATATATTCATTATTCCTTTCAGACGATTTAACTAAATCATCGGAGACATGATTAAATAAATACGACCATAAAGTGCCATGGATGAATTGTAAAATATCTAATATCTTTAAGTCACGACGTCTCATTTTAGAAATTTGGCTTGTCAAAGATTCTACTTGGTGATGATGATGATGACGATCAGAAGAATCTCTATTAGTTGTCTTTGTGGAGGATGTGTTATCTTTGGAGGACGTACCCGTATTTGATCTTGACCTCGTTCTATTACCAGTGGAACCTCCACTATTGTTACTGTTTGTATTATTTATATTATTAGTATTGTTTGCTGGCTGACTTGTTTGCGAACTTAATACAGATGTCGATGATGCTAAGAAAGTAGACGTCCTCGATGAGCTGCCGGGTGAAATCGATGATCTAAAGTTCAATAATTCTAATAGTCTCGAACCGATGGATTCACCATAAGAAGATAATTTAGTCTCAAACTCTGTGACTGATTTACATTCCTTATGCAAAGCCGAAATCATCTCTTGGAAAAGGAATGTCATGGCGGCCAAAGAAACCTCATGTCTCTTTGTATTCAACGATTCTGAATATAACTTCGAAGTCAATGGTGATCTGGTATATTCATCAGGAAGTGAAGGTTTAGGCCCCACTGTGTACTCGTACCCGGTAGATCTATTCTTGAAACTTTCATCTGAAGTGCTTGTATATATTATATCTTGTGACATTGTGTAGTTGAATCTGTTCTAGACTGCCCCTATATCGTTTGTTATTCTAGGGCTTTTCTTTGTTTCTAATGGCTTTATCTATCTGAACCGTTGTAAAACCTTTAAATTTTTATTTACTTAGTATTATTATTATTAATTTTTTTTGGCTCAGCTTCTACGTAAATAGGATATCGACTAATAAAACCAATAATATAAAAATCAAGAATTAAAAAATTGCGATCGACCTAGTATGTAAGGGGTTTATTTGTTTGTTTATTCGTTTTGAAATATTATTATACGTATTTATTTAAAACTACAATGACTAACTAGTGTGTGTGTAATTGATGAATTGTTTTCTTTTGTGATTCCTAAACTTTCTACAATTTGTCATAACAAAATTGATTAGTTTACTATATTCTTATAAATGACTTTGGGGTGGACAGGTTTATTATTTCCTCATATAAGAGAGAGAAATATCCGTAAAATTGAAACAGATTAGAATCTCAATTGAGAGAAGAACCATTGGTTCTTACCAGCTTGATGTCTTTCTTCGAATGCCTTCTTGATGACCTTCTTAGCTTCTTCACGTTGAGTTGGTTGTTCAAAAGTTTCAGTGGAGACAACAGACTTGAAAGATTCAACATCTAGAGTGTATCTGGTTGGTAGCAAATGATTGTAGTTGATGGCCTTAATGAATGGCTTAATCTTAGTTCTCTTAGCAACCTTCTTGGCACCGTACTTCTTAGTAACCTTTAATGGGTATCTTTCAACACCAGCAACTAAAGCATGACCATATGGATGAGATTTGGAACCTTCATCATGAGGCTTAACGATAACGACCTTCTTACCGGCGTAACGACCACGGACAACGACAGCTAAAATAAATAATTAAAAATGGCAATGATAATAATAAAATGAAAAAGATATCCATTTTATAACACATATATATATTTTTGTTGATGTTAGTAAAAAATAATTGTAATAGTAGTAGTAATATAATGGAAAGAATGGAATTTACAAAAGGGGAGGAAATGAAAACTAGGGAAAACATTTCAAAATATCTATAACATTGGGTTCTTATAACAATATATCCATATTCATAGTGGTAACAAATAGTGCATGTTAAACGATCCTCATATTTGATCTTGGTTTCATCTTAACTGTGTATATTCTCCTCAACAAAGTAATAATTAATATTTCCCAAATATCTTTATTTTTCGAAAAACGTTTATTAGTCTGGAAACAGTACTTTCAATTGTATCGTGTATTCTCATTTTTCCTTAATATTAAGTAATTGACATTGTTTTAATACGTACCAACTTTACCAGCTTTCAAAAATTTAGCCATTTTAAATAACTTTCAATCAATTGTGTATATACAAGGTTCTTTCCTAATAAATGACAAAGAAAATATTTATACAAGTACATATATATTAAGATGGCTAATATATAACAGCCCTTCCATCACTTATAAGGTATCATTATTACTATTTCACTGTGAAATTGAAAGACACTAGAAACTCCTCTCTGTATGCTTCAAAGTCCAGTAACTTTGGTACCTTCCCATACACTCTGCAACTTTGGGTGAAGAATGGCCATCATCATCCAACAGACTGCGTCCAATACTTAGGGAAATGAAACCATAATACCCACTGCACATCGACTTACGCAATCCAATACAGGTGGTTGTTCTCACTCTAATGGTTTGCCAGTTTATTGTGGCAATTGCTAATTTATTATGTGAAAAATTATTTTTCAGTTTTGGCTGAAAAAGAGCCAACAAATTCTGCGTCTTTTCTTACCGAGTTTGTTTAATAGAAAATGTAGACTATTCTGTACGGAAGTTTCTTACCGCACGTGACCGATGACTCCATTTTTTCAAATTAGAAAAACAAAAATAAAAAGGTTTTAGACGACAGAAAAATGACGAGTGTGGTGCACAGATGTGTAAGGAACAGGTGTACGGATGTTGAAAGTGGGCAGTCACAAGAATTTGTTAAACTGTTTTTTGCGTCACAAATTCTCTCCCCCAAAAGAAGATTTTAACTTATTTTCATTTCATTGAGATACAGATACCAGAGTGATCACAGTTATTGAGATGTTTGTTAGAATGTTTGTTTCTATCGTTTTAGTTGGCCCTCTATAATAATCTACAGCTTCTTTATGTTTTGTCAAAATTGTATAATATCAATAATAATAATATAGACGACATGTCTTTGCATGTGTGATATTGCAGAAGTTAACTCTGGATGTGTTTTTGTCCAACCTGTTAAATTAGGTGGGGAGTTAGTTAACCATGAGTTAGGAATATTTTTGTGTATTATTCCATCTATTATTGAAATGATTAACAACTCTACATGAAAAGACTTACCAGCGATACGGTTATCGTCTTAAGGCAAAAATTTAGTAATGGTCATATAAGAGAGGTTATTACTATTTATGCAGTATACAGTATTATAAGTGCTACAATTACTGCTGAACTTGGTAAAACATAGCCCCCCCTCAAATATATTCTGTTGTACTCTCTTGCATTATTTTATTTTAAAAACTTCTAAAAATATTTATTCAAACCTCTGCAACCATTCGATCATAGCAAATAATGTCGGCAGTTTAAATCTAATATTAAATATTCGAACTTGAGTTAAATATATGATAAGTGTGGTAATCCCAATTGATAAGAAAATTTATTAAAAAACAACAACACCCTGCTACAAGATTTAAAGAGTAAAGATATATATTATGTAATTTATTTCGAAGATTTCTTAAATATAGTCTTGAGATATCTATTTGATCCATGTACGGTATTCTAAAATACCGCAGTCCTTATCCTGTCTGTTAGATAAATTACCCATCACTCGACAAGAAAACTTTACGCCTATTATACATATCTATATATTACTAAGAAAAGAAAACCATAAACGGACACACACATAATAAAATACCCCCCCCATCTACCATCACCAATTTGTGACACCTTTTGATCTGCTTTATAAATTAAATTATTCTTTTATTACTGCCTCGGTCATTATAATATTTTAATCAAATGAAATGTAAATAACGCTTTGTGAGACCTCCAGCAAAACACCGATCAACAAATAGATTTCAACTTTTAAGATGGCCCTCTGTTTAAGGGACAGTAATTAAAGAGATAAGACAAAGATAATTTAGAAGCTTAACACTCTAAATTTATATTTGTTACAAACTTTTTAATAGTAGTAGTTGATACCTGATTTATTTGCTTAGTTGTGGACAGATATTTACGGAATGTCTTCCAATGATAAAGCGTTGGCTAGTGCACAAGCAAGGCCTTACTATAATCGCGAAACTTTTAATATAGGATACCCTGCCGTCTTCAATCCAGATAGAGGTGTATTAGATCAGAATGGAGCATCTATTGCTTCGAAACTATCTATAGCTAACCAGAAACGATCACGTTTTGCTTCAAGTCCCTCAAGCTCCGGTGCCATTGATAGATTGATCCCGCTGGGTGGGATAAGTGCCTCTGTAGGTGGTAAATATGGAACACAATTATATTTCCCTGGTATATCTTTGTCGTGGAAGGATATGTGTAGTATTGGTAGGTGGGAAAATTTGATTTGGAAAGTATTATTAAGACAATACTGTAAAAATTTAATACAACAACCATTTGAAACGTGTAAAATTATTATGCAAACAACTTCAATTAATAGGACAATATCATATCCAGATAATAAAAGTGTGAATAAGAAAGTTGCAGTTAATGGAATTAATGATAAAGATTCCAATGTATCTTTACCAACAAATGAAGAAATAGATTTTTTCCCAGTACAAAACCAATCCAGTGATGCAATGGATTTAAGCTCTGCTTGGGCTAATGATGATGATGCTAATAATAATTTGAATAAACAAGAGGATGATCTATTAATTAAGGATCCTAAAATTACTGAAAACATGTTAAATATAGATAAATTAACAACATGGAACGTAATTCATTCAATGCGTAACAATAAGAATTTTGGAATTGGTTCATTATGGAGATCTAATAATATTACATTTTTTTACAATTTTTGTAAAACTGGAGTAATGTGGTTTACTGCAAGGTTTATATCACCTTTTTATTATTACTATAATTTATCTTTTTCCTCTATCCTTGGTTTAAAGATTTTAATGAATTTTATGACTGAAGTGATATTGTTACCATTGGATCTTTATAAAGTTAAATCAATAATTAGTAATCATTCCACAAGAGAATCAGATTTTAAATCGAATGACGCAACAAAAGAAAATAAAACCTTAAATAATGACCAAGATATGGATAATTCAGTATTATCAACTTGGATGATGAAATTAAAATTGAAAAATTATTGGAGTTTTACCATGGATGATAGGACATTAAGATTATTTGCTTTAATCTTAATTAAGACAGCTTGTAAGAAATTCTTTGATAACGGATTGGAATTCATGATATATTATTGGTTAAATTTTACAAATGTAGAGAATAAAATATATTTGATATTCTTATTAAAATTTGTAACAGAATTTTGCGAATTTTTCATTAAGTTACCAGTGGAAACTTTGTTACGTAGATACCAAGTTGATTATTTATTAGGAAATGGCAATGACAGTAATAATGATGGGAATAGCATTACATTAAAGAAGGAAAACTTGATCATTAAACCAATCAATGTCAACACATCTGAGATATGGCAAGGTCTATGGAACGGATGGAAAATCGGATTGATGAGTTTGGTATGTGGTTTTGGTTTTAAATTAATGAATAATATCGATGATGATTTAGAACAAGAAAGATTTTGAATAATCTCACTCATTGCTCCTCCTTCCCCTCCCCACAATATTGTTGCAAATATTTCCTTTTATCTCAATTACGTTGCAATATATATTTACACAATCATTTGTACATATGATATGATTTATTTCGGATTTTGACCCTAGATGCTAATACCGTTTCCTACCCATTTTATGTATTCTTTTAATAAATAAATATAAAAAAAAGTCTTATTACCTTGAAACCCAATTGATTTTATTGTCTCTCTTGTTTCAATCTATCATTCTCCTTGATTAAATATTCACCAAGAACCCTTAAAGGTTCGTTTGGTTGTTCATTGGCAATGTCCCTCATACCCTGTAACAAGTACGGTGTGACATTCTCGTTTAGATATCTCCTTACCTGTGAACCTCCTATTATATCCGCTAGTGATTTCCCTTCATTTAAAGAGGGAAGTGGACTTGGTGTAGGTATCTCTGCAGCAACTGGTGTCTCTAGCTTCACTTCTGCTTGAATATTTGTATTCTCCGCAATTGATTGAGCATCGGTTGCAAGTTTCCCTATATCAGTATTATTGGTCTGTTCTTCTGACATATTTGTACTAGTTCAATAACCGACTGTTTTTTGTTTTGTCTTTCCTGATGGTTAGTGATGATGTTTAATCGATTTATATATTTTCACGTAACGTTTTTTTTATTTTGCTTATACGTGTGACAACCTGAAAATGTTTACAGAATTGGATATAACATAAACAGAAAAGGAACAGAATTTTTACTAACCTATAAAGTGATCGATATAAGTGTAATAACAAGTTGCCAATTTAGTGAATTTGGAATAAACTTAGTATAGAACTGAATAATAAAATTTGTAGAAGAAGGATGCCTGAGGTAATAGAAGACCCCTTTGATCAAGTAGCTAACGATACACAAGAGCAATTGGATAGATTGAAACATTACTTGACAAGTCATGGGAGAGACGATGAAGTTTTAGACATTTTAAAGGATGTTAAGGATACTATGGTAGATCTAGAGAGAAGTATTGTTGTAATGAAAAGATCAGGGCAGGATGTGAGCTCGAGGGAGGAGAAATTAGCCCACATACGAAGGGATCTGGAGTCGATAGACAGTATAAAGAAACCCAGTGCAACAACAACTCAGAGTGGACAGACAGTACCACTATTGGAAGAAGAACTAGGCGCAAAAGCATTTGAAGATAATAACGGTGGTCAGGACCCATCAGGTGGAATGGCCAACCCGTTCCAAGAGCAATTATTAAGGGAACAAGATAGTCATCTTGATGATATCCACAAGACAATGCAAAATCTACATTTACATGCACAAACAATGGGTCAAGAACTAGAAGATCAAGGTCAAATATTGGATGAACTGGATGAAAATTTTGATTCAATTACAAATAAAGTACAGAGAGGCAGAAGGCAATTGGAATGGATTTATGAGAAAAATAAGGAAAAGTATAATGATTGCTGCATAGGATTGTTGATAATCGCTCTAATAGTGCTTTTGGTACTTGCGTTTATCGCATAATTGGCTTTTCAAGAAGAATAAATTGGAAATTGAATAATTTATAGTTAATATTATATATTTATTTTTATATTAAAGACGATGCATAAATAATTCTTTCAATGTCCGTATATGAAAAGTTCACTAGGGAAGGTCATCTGGTTGACTCATTCTTTCTCTTTTGCAAACTTTTAAAAGCTGCAGATGCACCGGAACTGGCTATACTTTGATCACTACCAACTCGTTGACTTGCACTGTTTAAGGTGTTCAGAACTTCACGCCTGCTACTAGTGACAATCATATTTTTCGGTGGTCTGTACTTCTTTTCTGGTGGATATACTACTGTAGGTAATGAAGAACCAGGAGGTTTATTTGGTTTCTGAGACCTGTTATGTATTTTATATTCCTTGGCAGTGCCTAACTCCAACGGCGTTTGTCTTCGTGAGGGTGGAGCATATGTTAAATTCGAAGAAGGTTCTTTGTTCTCTTTATTGAGATGATTCATCAACGCATTTTTGGAGGCAACAGCCGCGGCACTGGTGTATAATGCTGTGTTTATATCATTAACGTAGTTAATGTTATTATTATGTCCTCCGCTGGTAGTCGAACTACTACTCTTCTTGTTGTATCTAAGGGCTGGAGATAGTTTATGATCAGGAGATACTAATTGTCTTGAAGGTAACGGCTTCTTTTCACATTCGTCTAATGTTGGGGAGACATATGTGGGTTGGGAGACAGTGTTTACTGGTAGTGATTGCGCTACAAAACTTGTTGAAGGATGATTATACACATTTTCATCACTGTTGTTATCATCGACGTTCAACGTTTTCATTTCATTTGATAAATTATCATCTTCTAATAAATGTCTGGATCTAAAAAAACAGTCAACCCAATTCTCTTCACTGTTCATAATAGGTGATATGGAATTAATGTCTGTAGAATGCAACTGAGAACCTATGGTAGCCGATGGAAGTGAAATGAACCAAAGTTTTTCTTTGTATTTTTCAAGAATAAGAAATCCTTTCCTAGCAGCTTCATCGAACTCGAAATCGTACATCGATAATCCAGAATCACTTACATCAACGATTGAATGTTCGTTAACTCCTAGGTCGTCGCTATACATCAGATGTCCTTTGTCAGTAAGCGTCAACAATTTTGGTTTGGTATTAGACTTTTTCAGAAAATCTCCGTTCTTAGAAACAATATCTGTAATTAAATCGTTGTCAATTCTGTTGTAACTATTGATACTAAGAGCAGGACCAACGGCCAGAAAGGGTATTTCACAAATATATATAAAATCTTGTTTCAAAATATGACTACCATATTTGGTCTCTGGTTGTTGCTGTTGCTGTCTTGAATAATGCAAGTTTGAAGGAGATTCCCCACTTGGTGTAGAAGCATCTAAGGAAATTAAGTTTGTACATGGTGGTGAAGGTCCCCTATTACTGTTGATATACGATCGTAAGCTAGGGGTGTATTCAATAGCTGGCCCATTTCCATTTGTTAATTGCCTTTCCATTGGAGGAGCTGTAAGGGATGCTTGTGGCATCGGTTGTGAGGTAGTATTAATATCCGATGCTTTCTGTATACCATTTGGATATGAATTTTGATAATGTTGGGTCTGTAGCACTTGTTGTTTTTTATTTGCTAAAGGTGCACTTCCGCTATGTTGATTTATAATCTTTTGTGGGTGGTAAACCATTTTTCGGTCATTATTTGGAGTCATCAAGCCTGTTGCTGGTGTCTTTTCATTATTTTGATTTAAGGATATACCTAATTTCTTTCTCCATTCAACTATACTACTTGTATTTGTTGAGATCTTCATTGGTTTCTTCTTCTTTTGCTTGGAAATTGTTATATTCTTTATCGGCGTATCTATTACATGTAGTTGCCTATTTGGAATCATTCTTCGTTTCTGTTGATCTGACATATTTAACCCTGATTGATCCCTCAATAAAGACTGATCCATGGTGAAAATCCCTTTCCATATATCAAATTTATTATTCCAATCTATCCCATTAAACCATGGTTCCCTTTTAAGATCAGAGATGGTTATCCTTTCATTGTCGTCAATTACTAATACTTTCCGAACAGTATCAATGATCATTGGATTTATATTCTTGTTCGAATTACCATTAACATTAGTAGCATATTTGTTTGGGTTCCAGGTATAATCTAATTCTACAATTTTTTCAAAAGTCTTTAATTCGTTACTGCCTCTGAATGGTGGGCACCCTTCCAAGAATTGATAAATCATACAGCCTAAAGCCCATATATCAGAACTCGTAGTGCATTTATTATATAACAAAAGTTCAGGAGAGACGTATTCTGCTGTTCCAACAAAGGAGGATGTAGAATTAGTTGCATTAAGATCATTGCGGCTTTCTCCGTCAAGCTCAGCCTTAGTTACAGTTGTGGCTGCCCCAAAATCTGTAATCATTAATCTTCCTTCTTTATCCAATAATACATTTTCAGGTTTAAGATCACGGTGTATAACTCCTTTTGAATGAATATACTCTACCGTATCAATTAACTGTATGGTAAAATGTCTTGATAGTTGTTCGTTAAATGTCCTATATTTATGTAATAGTGAAAGTAGCTCTCCACCAGCAGCAAAATCAAGGGCAAAATATAAATTGTCTGCATCATGGAAAGTATAATATAATTTAACTATTCCTGGATGATTTTCTCTAGCTAATAAATTCAGAGTATTCTTCTCGATCGTCACATATTTCACCTTTGCTTCTCGTATTATATGAGCCTTTGAGCATACTTTGATTGCATAAACTCTCTTAAGGTCATGTTTATCGATTGCCTTATAGACGGTAGAGTATGACCCATGGCCGAGTTCTTCCTTAAAGACAAAATCACTTGCTGTTCGTTTTCTGTACTTCATGTATCATCCCAGAACTATACACAAAACGTTATAGTTCCAATCTTATGTTCTAATACTCTGCTGCTCCTTCTCAAAAATAGTTGCCGTAATTATAGGTGTCACAAACTTGGCAAGATGACGATGTAAAATTCTTATTGTAGTCTTGGTTAATCTGTTTGAAAAAAAAAAACTTTCAGAAATGGCAATTTCCTTATATTAAACAAAACAATAATTACAATAGACGAATGAATGAAGGTACTAACTTACGGATATGTATAATATTACTTAAATCCACCTTTTAAATTGTAAGTCAAGATGACTAAAATCAGTCCCTCAAAAGATCCTCAAAGTTTGAAGAGAATCTATCTTTCTTTCCCTCCCCTTTTTCGCTGTGAGAGTTGATGATCGTTCTGAACGAAAGCTCATCTGAAAAAGTTTTGAAAAATTTCAACTGAAAAGAACAGTTCTCAATGGGAATATAACTGTAGATCTAGAACTATAGAGGTCATCAATTCATTTGCTAGTAGTGTTATCAAACACTTTAATATCTATAATTTAAGATGTCTGATTTGCATCATCTTTTAACTTTTCCTACGAGACCTATCATATCCGATGTTTACGAGACACAATTGGCTCATCTCCTAAAATCTGGTATTCCATCGACCTACACTTTGGAACAGGTAGCTGCCTTTGAACAAGGGAAAGAGGATGAAGAAGAGAATGACTCAGAGGGTTCGAATACTACTCCATTACACATCCTTGCCAGATCTTTGCCGAAAGATGCTACCAAAGAAGAATTGGACGTGGTTCTTAATATGATGAATACATTATTTGAGTATGGTGCAGGTTGGAACTTTTTAGACTATGAAAATAAATCTATTGGTGATTTGCTATTAGAAGCTGGTCAAAATCGTAACAGTCCGTTGTATCAACGTGTTGTAGAGGCCGGTGTTAGTGCAGAATTGCTTCTTAGAAAAGTTAATGGTGGTGATGTTGAATTTTTGGATGATCTAGATGAAGTAGAAATTGAAGATGAACAAGAGGAACAAACTAAACTTACTGATGATACAAAAATTCCTGTTGATAATAATATTAATAACAGTGAGGTTCATATTGATTCTGATCTAACTGCATCTGATCCAAATACGTATTTGAACACAAAGTTGGAATACACAGATGATAAATTGATAACGAAGGACAACAAAGATGGTGTGATGATGGACTGGGAAGACGGAATTATGAAACTTGCAGCAGACACTTTGTTCCCTGATCCTCAGAACTCCAACACTGCTACAGTGCTAAATATCGGGTTTGGGATGGGCATTATTGATTCATATATTCAAGAAAAGAATCCTGCCCATCATTATATATGCGAAGCTCATCCTGATGTACTTAGTAAAATGAGAAAGGATGGTTGGTATGAGAAATCGAATGTAACCGTCCTAGAAGGGAAATGGCAGGATACTCTGAATAAGTTACTAGATGATGGTACTGTCTTCTTCGATGGTATATATTATGATACCTTCAGTGAACATTATGAAGATATGCTAGACTTATATGATGTCATGGTAGGATTAATTAAACCAGAGGGGGTCTTTTCATTCTTCAACGGACTAGGTGCAGATAGACCAATATGTTATGATGTTTACAAGAGAATTGTCGAGATGGATGTGAATAACTATGGTATGAAGTGCGAATATACAACTGTACAGATAGGTAAACAATTGCCTGATTGGAGTGATGTTAAACGTTCATATTATAACTGTGATTACTATTATCACCCACGTATATCGTTTATGTAAGATGTATTTATATAACAAAACTATTAATATAGCAATTTAAATAATCTATCTACTTGGTAGTTAGTTTCCTTTTCTTTGTAGGTTTTTGTTCTACCTCTTTCTCGCGTAATTTTGTCATTTCTTCATTCAACTCAATTTCCAGCTTACGAGCAACATCGAGTTTCTTCAACGATAACGCTATGATATTTAATATTTCCAAATCGGTTATATTTGAGACACCCTTATCGGATGATATTGGCGAGTTCTCATTTGATACCTTAACTTGTCCACTTAGGGCAATTTCCATTTTTTGCTTAACAAATTGTTCTTTCTCTACTGTATCCCCTTCGCCGAATATAGCAGTGGCTCTCCTTCTCATTCTAGCTTTATAATCGATCTCCCAATTCTTTTGCGCATTGGCTTCTCTCCATCTTTTTTTTCTCTCTCTGCTCATTTCACGATTCAACACTTTCAATTCTTCTGGGTTCAAGAGATTCCTAGCTTTTCTCATCAAGATATTCTTCTTCCCCGGGAAATCTGAGAAATCTGGCAAGTTGAACGAATAGGTGTGAAGACTGACAGTTTCCACTTTAGGTTTTGATATCTTTGCAATAGGCAACCTTGAAATTGGACTCACTTCGATGGGTTTACCGGTAGCGGTTTGAGACATGGTAAATGATTTAGGAGGAACTAGCCCATCTAAATTCAAAACTGGTGTTCTAGCAGGAGTTGATTTAAGGGTATTCTTCTTTTCTTTTTTCACCTTTGGGAGAATACCGCTAATAGTACTCGTAATAATCTTACTTAGTCCTGGCGACAAATGAGAATTACCACCGTTTGTCTCCAATTCATGGTTAACCAACGATTCGACCATATCCTCCACTTTTATGAACTTTCTCTTTGCAGGTATTATTGTGTTTAAGATAGGTGATAATTTCTTGACTGGTTGTTCTAAACGTGCATTTATTAGATAGTTTTCTTCATCCTTAATTTCTATAACTTCCTTAATATAATTCATAGGAGGGGCCTCGGTGTTCTGTAATGTCTTTTTACTTTCATAACCTTTGATGTCAAATTCTCCACCGAGTAGAGCACCACGTAAAAAAAGGGCTCTTAGTTCTACGTCAGTAGCAGATTGATATTTTTTCTCCTTCGTAAGCATCTCATCTGGATGATCTGTTTTAGTATCTTGGTCATCGTGAGAACCAGTGTTCATTATAACATCTGGGGATTCAGATACATTTTCAACTACCTGAAGGATTGAGTCACCATTCTTACTGTGTGGTTCTACCTTTACGTTTGCTAGTTGGTTTATTGGCTCTTCTTTCACTACTATATGTGTGGGTCCTATCTTTTGACTTTCAGAAGAAATTGCGTCTTTCTCGATTTTTTTAATATTTGATAGAGTAAACAAAGGTATTTTTCTCACAGTACCGGTAGCTTTAGTACTAATGGTATTCGACTGTTCTTGTTTTATTTCTTGGTTTCTTATTTCCTCGCTATTTCTCTTTGAAATCGCCTGTGCTATTGATCTCTTAGTGCGCTCAATGATTATCCTTAGATATTTCAAAGTTTGTTCCGGAGAAGCACCATTTCCAATTCTAGCTTTTGCTGCTGCTTTCAAGGTTGTAATTACTGTGGCCAATGTCCTCGGTAGAATTTCGTTACGTAAAACAGTATCATTTAATAATTCATTAACCTTTTTGGCTTTTTCACGTTTGTGTTCAGTTGAATATTTATTATCTTTAGGTCTTCTTCTAGCAACAGGTAGGATATATGGTGGATGTAGAGGAACACACCAAGGTGGATGAAATGGAATTTTCTCTTTGAAGACTACAGTTTTGCTAGATAAGTTGATACCGTACTTTGATGCGGTAGGGTCAATAGATACTTGTGGTAATTGTATTTTGGAAAGAGTTCCCTCGATATCGTTTAATAATTTAGAAGGAACAGGGCTTCCTTTAACAGTATTGAATAATGGAATTTTTCTTAATGTTTTTAATGGTACCCTCTTCAATTTCTTAGCCTTCTTCTTCTTTTCTTTTTTCACCTTAGCAGGTTTTTTGGGCTTTTCTTGAACCATCTGAGCCCTTTTCTCCATTTCTACAGCAGTCCATCTTCTATAGGGTTTCTTTGGTACCCCTTTCTTGGTAACCCTCAGGTCGATTGGGTATGGTGGACCTTTAGCTACAATTTCTTCTAATTCCTTTAATTCAATAAGACGCTTCTCATCTTGAGCACTTTTCAGTTGTTTCTTTTCTGCACGATGCTTTATTTTATCCTCCAGAAGTTTTGCTCTAGTCTCTCTTCTCTTCATTCTACTACGCTTTTTAGCAACATTAGCAGCTTCGGTGACAATTGCTTTATATTTCTTCCTTAAAATTTGCTCTGGTGATTTCTTAGGCTTTACTGGTTTCTTAGGTTGCTTAGGTTTCTTCTTCTTCTTCTCGACCACTTTCTGAAGCACAATCTTCCTCTCCTTAGCGGCTTTTGGTTTGACAGGTTTTTTCTTCTTTGGTGCCTTTTTCTTCGCAGGCTTCTTCTTGGTTGTTGTCTGACCTGTCGACAAGAGGTCGGAAACATTGAAGCTTCCAAGACTCTTGTTAAATTCCTCCATTACCGTAGGATCAAAATTATCATCATTTTGTTCTTGGAAAGCCATGGCCATAGCGTTTTGCATAATTTGATTTAAATCAAAAGGTTCATCAGCTGCAGGTGTCGTCGTTATTTCAGCTCGAGACTCATCCTGATAAGGAGTGATTTGTGTGTGATTCCATGTGGGTATGCTTATTGAGTGTGGTTTACTTCCATCTTTGTTCGTTGCTTCTTGTTTAGATGCCGTCGATTCATCACCTAACGATGTTGAAACAACTTGGTTGACCATATCAACCAATGCTTTGGAAAAATCATCTTCCTTATACTCATCTTCCGCAGATTTATCTGTTTTTTTACTTGCCTTCTTCTTCTTCTTTTTCTTGGATTCTGTTTTAGTAGATTTGTTGATAGATGCTACTTTATCCTTCTGTGTATGCTTTTGAGACGTTTTTGTCTTTTTTGTACGTTCTTTCTTTGTTGTTTTTGTCGTAGGTTCTGTTGAGGATCCTAATAACTCTCTTTCAAATGCTTTTAAAGTTTCCTCGACAATGGCACGAGCGTCATCATCATTTTCTTCAGTTGCTCCAGTAGTTGATTTTGTTTTACCTTCTGTAGATTTATCTTCCCCTATCAAACCTTCTATCACATCATTAAAATTTAAATCATCTGCTTTGTCTTTAGACTTGTCTTTGTTTTTCTTGTGTTTAACAGTTTTCTTCTTCTTGGGGCTTCCCTTTTCCTTTTGTACACTCTTATCCTTTGATTTCTCTTTCTTCTTCTTCTTAGAGGTTTTCTTCGCAACTGCTTTCTTCGTACTTTCCTCTTTCGTTTCTGATATGTCATGTGCATTCTTTGTTTCAGTTTGAGGTTGTTCTCCGGTTTCTTCAAGGTTTTGAAGTGATTCTAGAATTGCTAACCTTAAATTTTCATCATCTCTATCCAGTTGGTCTATCGTATGTTGGATGTTATCTGTGCCTAATTCTGTATCGTCATGCAAATCGTGCGTTTCTACAATACGATCTTCATCTGAATGTACGCCATGTTCGTCATCATCTTGCATTAAACCTTCTTGTAAGATTCTGGCCCATTCACTATGCTGTTGGGCTTCATCGTCTTCATCATGTTGTGGATTTGGCGCCGGTTCGTTATTGTTGGCATTATTCTCATCTCTATTATTGTTATCATTGTGTTCATCTCCATCTTTTTCATCCGTTTCAATATCTTGCATGGCACTTGCCACTGCATTAACAAGATCCTCAGCTTCGAAATCAGGAAGTTCATCATTGTCATCATGATCACTATGATTTGGAACCGACTGTGAGTTATTATGTACGTCATCCATCTCTATATCATCCTGTTCAGCCGTTATGCTATTCGTCATTTTTTCATGTTCCTTATTTGAAGATATATCATGATCTTCATGATTTACATCGTCCCCTTTATCATCTGTATCATTTGTCAATATGTTATCTATAAGTTCATTAAAGCTAAAGTCATGCTCTTCTTCCCGGTTATTATCCGACATTGCTGAACGATGTTATGTATTGAATATGTATGTTTTTTAGTTTAGAGACCAAATATATCGATATATTTATGTGTCTGTAGTAAATTAGTATTGAGTTGTCTGCGCGTAATCTGGTTAAAAGAATAATAATAATAATGTTACAAGTTGCAGGGGAAATGGAATATTTGCAATCGACAACGCTGTTCAATAATGGTTTGCTTATTTCTAAATATAAACAGAAAATATTGATTCCTGTTTTATGAACTTTTCCTTTTAATTTATTGTTATTTGTTTATGTTTGTTTATATTTATTTTCATTTCAAGTTTAAAAAGCATCGCGAATTTTTAAAGGTCCCGTGCGGAGTGATATTTATTTGCACTCAACTATTTATACTACTAGATCCATCCATATACATATAGGGGAGAAAACTAGAGAACGGTTGCATTATTGAAGGTTAATTAAATGTCATGTTGAAATTATTTAAGGGGGGTTCGTGAATATGTAAAACTATACAGTAGTATACTACAAAGTAGCTATAAAAACTGTACAAAAAGGAAGGCTGGAACAGCTGGTATTAGATTCCGGATCTATATGTTGAAAAGTACAATTTCATGTACTTTCTCGTTGAATGGTAATCACGTTCATATAGTTGTTCCTGATCAAAATCATCTATTATATCTTCAAGATCATCAGTGTGAATATTTCCTTTAGAATGTTTTTCTTCTACTGATTTATCATCTGTAGGAGCTTGTTCTATATCTAAAGGTGGGTATGTTGCTGTTGCTGTTGCTGTTGATACGGGTATGACAGCCTTCTTTTTGTTAATATTGTTACTATGTTTACTAATTTTATACATTTTTGTTTTCTCTGGTTGAACCTCTAAGAAAGTATTTGTTGGAGTCTCTTCTTCCGAAGTACTATCAGTAGCAATTATCGCAATGGTTTCCAGGGCATCTTGATTCAATAGAATCTTTGGTTCGATTATGCTCTTTGCCGTTGAGATAAATCTTGAATGACCACTAGAGGTTTTAATCATTTTTAATTTCCCAGATTTTCTTTCACTTTTCACTGTACGTACATAATTTCGTGGTAAACCTGTACAATCACCAGATTCAATATGTTGTTCAACCCAATTTTCAATATTTTGATAAAATTCACCACATTGAGCACAATGACCAGATGATTTATTTCTATCCTGTGGCTTAACGCCTTTTGGATATAACAAATGTCTAGCTTTCAAATGAGTCTTATACGTATCTCTACGACTAAATCCACCGGAATTATGACATCTCAACTCTGGTGGGGCATCTTTACTGAAAAACGGACATTTATACGCTTTTTCAATAGCATGTTTCTTAATATGACGCGTTAGATAACCTCTCATACGAAAGGATGCATCACAATAATGACAGACAAATGGACCACCACTCTCTAACATATCGGATTTCTCCTGTAATGCAGTGTTTGTATCATTGTAATTTGTCTCAATTATTGCACTCTTAGGATGTGATTTCCTCATGGTGACCATTGGAGAAACAACAGATGGTAGTTTGTTATTCTCCATCGGTGGTGATGAGGATGAGAATGAAGACGATGATAATATCGACAACGCATGAGTATCTGAAGATACTAACGAGAATTGCAAAGGAACAGTTTCGTTCATGTTGAATGTAATTGGATCCTCTGCAACGGGAGACACGTTGTCATGATCCTTATGGATATCCTGAGCCATACGAAACTCATCTAAGTTATCTGTTGAGCCCATGAACACCGCAGGGTCCATATCATTGCCGGATCCGTTGTCGTTCAGTAACGACTCTAACAGCAAGTCCACGTTGTTTTTGGAATGTTCCTTATAATCCATTTTTTTGTTTTAAAAAAAAAGTCCTGGTAATACGATACACGCCGCTTCAATTCAATTTCAAATATCAGTCTACTTGTTTGTAGTAATCAATAAGATTATATCAAATAACGTTTATATATATGCTATTATTGTACTTAACCAAACGTAATATTAGTCTTGTTTCTCTTGGTTGCGTTTGGTATATTTTGAATCAAATTGTTTCTTAATGGGTGCATGACCTCCGAACAAAACTTTTTTTTATTTTATTTTGCGCGGTATTTGTTTTTCTTTTGGCATGGTGTTACCCGGGATATCGTAATGCACGATATCTCGTCAGTTCAATGTACTTATCTACTTAGGAAACTATTTAGTGATTACTTTGAGTTCAAATTCTCATTTGGCTGGTGGCAGGCTCTTCTTCTGCTTGTTGTTATTGTTCATCTTGTTGCTGAAGTCTCTGACGACGATCTGACAGTTGATTTCTTTACACAATGGAACAATAGCGTTCTTCTTTACAGCTTGCAATAAGTTCAGACCTGTACTTCTCTCCAAAGCATCTACAGGTACTACGAAATCTAGTAGTTTTGTATCATTAGAGATTTGATCGTTGGGTAATACGAAGGCCTCGATGGCCAATTTCCCATTTTGTTTAGTTTTAGTATCAATTGGATCTTCTGCAACTACTAATTTAAAGAAATGAGTCGGTACTGCCACATTTGGTGGATTTCCAATCATTTCATAAGAGACTCTAAATTTCCCATCTTTGGGGTCCTGTTTAGGTAAATATAATGGGCCAGTCATTACTCTAACATTTTTATATTGTTTAGTTAAATCTCTGCAAAAAAATTCAAAATGTGCCCAATAATCTCTATTAAAACCTTGTCCAACTTGAGGACACATATTAGTTAAATAAAAAGTATCATCCATTGCCTTTTGAGAGAATTTTGAATCAGCAGCAGGTGCCTGGTGACCTCTATCATAACCTGATCTAAAATAATCACTCAATTTAGCACGAAATAATTCAGGAATTTGTTCATCTTCTTTAAATATAGAACCTTGGCGATTTCCCGATTTTGTGGCTAAAGATTCCGGTGTGAAATGTTCAACTACCCAATATGGATTTCTTGTTTGTCTATTATAACATGATACGAATTGTTCTCTACGTTCTAAATCATGAACGGGACCAGGAAATCCAAATTTAAACCATTCTGCAGGGTTTACTAACGTATTACTTGTAGGGGTGACACCTTTATTAGCAACGGTACCACTTGGTACTGATGACGACGGCAAAGTCTTTGTTTCATTCTCTTTCAACAGTAGATAAGTCAGTCCCGAACCTGCCCCAAGACTTAACAGACTTGATACCAGTGTCCTTGTAGAACTCATGATTTTGAAAAATATAAAAAAATATAATACGGTACGATCCAATATCGATACTACAACCAGAAGTTAACAGCAGCAATAGAAGTTTAGATATAGACAGAGCACAATATCTTCCTCCCTTTTCTTAATAACTGATTTGAGATGTCTGTCATCTCTTCTCATCTCTTCTCTTCTCTTCCATCTCGAACTGTCAAATTTTCAAGAATTTTCCGCGGTGATTGGTGATTTGAGAAAGAGTTTACATACTGTGAACACCGGTAGTAAGCATGGGGGAGGGGTGAATGAGGCTGGAACATGTTGCGATTGATTCGTGGCTGTTATCTTTCTTGGCACTGTAAAGTCAAAGCTTGGCATTTGGATAGAAATGGAAGTACAAGAGAATGTAATATTTACTTGAATTATGTAATTTTATGTTCGCAACGGAAGTTACCTTCGCCGTTGCCCCTACCCATTTAAACGGCTCGGTTCGGTACGGTTCGGCAAGTATAGTCAAAAGATTATCAACAACACTAATTATTCGTTTATTTCATCAATAAGTGATTTCATCAACTTTCCATAAACTTAATTGATGTAAGTTAGAGTTACAAAGGATTAAGTAGCTCAGATTGTTTCTGTCGTTATTATTATTGTTGTTTTTTGCTTATCTCCATGGAAGGAAAGAAGTTTGTACGCATAATTCACTCACTTTATATTATTATGTAATCGCTTATCTCCGCTCCCTGAAATTTTTCACTTTTTAGGAGCATCGAAGAGAGAAACAATATTCATTAAACAAACATATATAATATAAAAAGGGGATAGAGTTTACAGTTTTTTTTTTATCATCTCTGAGTTGGAATTGATTATAGTGTCTTCTTCACTTCATAAAGAAGCATAGTATTCCAAGAAAAAAGGTAAATATATACAATCTTCTCATTGTTTTATTGTTGCTAAAGTCGAAAACCCTTTTTTTTTTGATTGAATTTCTAAAGATGTCTTACGAAACTGTTATTCAAACTGCTCAAAATGATACTTCATTAACTTTAAACCATACATGTGTTCGTGTTAAGGATCCAAAGGTTAGTGTTGAATTTTATACTGAAAAATTAGGTATGAAATTATTAAAACGTAAAGATTTCCCAGAGATGAAATTTTCTTTATATTTTTTGGCTTATCCAAGAGATGATTTACCAATTGATCCAAATGGTGAAGTTATGCCATTTGGAGTTCCTGGTATATTAGAACTAACTCATAATTGGGGTACTGAAAATGATTCAAATTTTAAAGTCTCTAACGGTAATGAAGAGCCACATAGAGGTTTTGGTCATATTTGCATTACTACTAAAGATATCAATGCAATGTGTGAAAAATTAGAGTCCAAAAATGTTAATTTTAAGAAGAGACTAGTTGATGGTAGACAAAAGGATATTGCATTCATCTTAGATCCAGATAATTATTGGATTGAATTATGTGCTTATAACCCTAGTGAAAGTGGTAAAAATGTTAATGATTATAGATTAAACCATACAATGATTAGAATTAAAGATCCAGCAAAGACTTTACCATTTTATGAAAATGTCCTTGGTATGAAAGTAATTGAAAAATCTGTTCATGAAAATGGTAAATTTACATTGTATTTCTTAGGTTATGGTTTACAAGAAGGTGAATCAAAAAGATCTACTCAAGGTATGTTAGAAATTACACACAATTGGGGTACAGAGACAGATTCAGAGTTTCAATATCATAATGGTAATGAAAAACCACAAGGTTATGGACATATTTGTATTGCATCAGATGATCCTGAAAAGATGTGTAAAGAAATTGAAGAAAAATATGGTGATAAAATTACTTGGTCTCCAAAATATAATCATGGTAAGATGAAGAATTTAGCATTCATTAAGGATCCAGATAATTATTCAATTGAAATTATCCCAAGAGGTATTGTTTTATAAGTATATAAATAAAATATGTATATATATATATAATTTTAAAATACATAAGGAATAAATAAATATGGGCAATGTTTTAAATAAGTATTCCAATCTGAACCGTATTTTCTTTTACATTTAACTTGATCTCTCATTGCTCTATGAGTCAAAACAATAAAGAAAAAGATTGGGAAAAACCATGGAAAGATTGAATGAGTACCACAAGCGAGGGCCCAAATTAAAGATTGAATCCAATCCGCAGTATAATGAATCTTACGAGCCCAAGTATACCAACCATCAATTAACAAATAAGAACCATCTTTAGTAGTCATATATTTTGGATCCTTTAATACTTGATATTCAAAATGTGGGAATGCTCTTCTTGTAGTTAAATCACCAGCCATTGTCTTTCTAAAAGAATTCTTTTGGGCATTAGCTGTATCAAAAATATAATAAGCTACAAGATAAGTAATAAATAAGCCAGTCATATACCATTTATTCATACGATACTCTTCAGGGTCATGATAAATTAAATATAAAGTACAATGGCAATAGGTGTAAGGAACACCAGCAATATTCCAAAAGATTAACATGAAACCAAATTTTTCATAAGCCATATCCCAAGTTGGAACGATTAATTCTTCACCTTTGGCGCATGCATTAGCATAAAGCCAATGAGCCATCATTACAAGTAAAAGGTTCGGTGTAACATAACCATAAACGTTATATTGTTTAAAACATGCCCCTAGAGTGATAAAATAAAGTGTGAACCAAGGTAATCTAACTTCAAAGAACATTTTTAAATCAAGGATCCCCCAACGTGGGTTTAATGGAGCACCCATGAATAAATCATAAATATGATTACCTGTCATTCTATGATAGTCACCATTGATATATAGAGTCCATAAATATAAACCAATTGAGAATGCAAATCCCGAGATGATTGCACATGTCATAATTTCACCAAATAAATCAATAATTGTATATAGTTTGAAGATTCCAGTGAAATGTAATAAAAGGACTAAAGTAGTTGTTACATATAGAGACCACATAGCGTTACAATAATAAGGTAGTTGTTTACCTTTTAAATGAGTTAAAGGTTGACCTTTAGTCCAAACACCTGGTAAAACATAATAAAAAATAATTTGGAAAGCCCAAAAAGTTAAAAAAATTGTCCATGAATATAATGATGGTATAGCATGATCCAAACATAATTGAATTAATTCCATTATAAAAATTTGAATATTTTTTAAAGACCAATCAATTGGTTTAGCGATGCTACCATTATAAAATTCTGAACAAATCCACATATAATACATTAAAATTGGGAAAAAAATCATATTAAATAAACAGCCAATTGGTCCACCAAATTCATATTCCAATTCTTCAGGTTTTAAATATTTACCTTGTGGTAAAAAATTAATTTTTTCATTAGTACTGGTAGCACTAGTGGTAGTAGCACTAGTCTTACTCATATTTACCAATCTGTGTATTTTTTTAAAAAATTTTGTTATTTTATTGTCTGGACATACAATCGAAAAGCATCTGTATGCTACAAGAGAGAATAAACAACATTACTTCTATATATATGTATATATATATATATACATATTCTCGAAGACACTATTTGTAATATTTATTGAGACATATATTTAAACGAGCATTCCGCGAGTCATGGACACACACACACACACACACACCCTGGTAAACTCAATTGATCAACTGTATATCACTCTCAGTTACTGTTCCTAAAATATGATTGCTGTCATAACAACAACAGGCAACACTTCAAAAGAATCTTTAAACGAACTCAAAATAAAGCAGGCACATCTATCTTCTCTCTCGTATAGAATAATCATCTCGGCTGTTAAACTCTGCGAAAAACGGAAAAATTGTTTTTTTCCAAGAAATTCCAATTATGTTACCAAACGGCAACTGCAAGCGAGGGCGCTTACTGAAAGCGAGGGCGAGCGTGTTCCCGTGCACAATGACGGCGGCTATCAACCTACACAGAGTTGCTTTAATATCCCTGGAGTTAGCACAGGCAGGTGATTTTATATCCGCGGGATTGGTCCGTCTCTCATACAAAAAATATTCGGATGGTTTGCGCGCTGTGGAAAAATAGCAACAGCGCGCGATGAGCCACATAGAATCGTTGTTAGCGTGTGCGTGTTTTCCATTAAATACGTTTGCAGTGTCCGTTCTTTCTTTCGGAGACAGGCTTGGAAACGATATATGGGAGTTGTCACATTCAATAATGTGATGATTTCTATATATTGAATATAAAGAGTTTTAACACCTTGCATAGGTCTATATATATATACACAGAGAGAAAGAGAGATACAGCGTCTTAAAGCATATATTTCGGCGGCTATTTTCATTCAACACTTCAGATTTATATATATATATATATACAGAGAGAAACATATGAAGTTTAAATAATGGTGGCAAAAAATACTAATATAGATAATAATACCACTACTGCTACAACTATACCAAAGAGGAAAAAAGTTAGTAAAGCATGTGATAGTTGTAGACGTAGAAAAATTAAATGTACAGGTACTCAACCATGTATGAATTGTCAACTACATCAATGTCCATGTATTTTTTCAAATGGTACCGCTACAACTACTGGTGCTACTCCGAATAATAATAATAATAATAATAATAATAATAATAATGTTATAAAGAAAAAAAATGCTAAAGTATCAAAAATTAATAATAAGAAAAAATCGGATGAGTATATTAAATCTAACGTTAGTAGTATTAGTAGTACAAGTACTACAAGTACATTTGATAGGGACATTCCTCATACAAGTTCATTGTATAAAGTTGATTTAAATGATGGTGATGATGGTGATACCGATGAGAAAAAAATTAATAAAGAATTTGAAAATGGTTTATATGAAGGTGATATTGAAGATATACCAAAATATAAAGAAATTAAACAGACTATTGAAAAATTAGAATCAATACCAAATAAAAATAAAATGATTGAATCAATGATTGATGATTTAAATAATAAATTAAATGATTTAATTATTAATTGGCAACCAAAAGTTAATTTTTCAAAATTGACGAAATTGTTAAAAATGTCTGATCCAATTGATGCTTTAAAATCTATTGAAACTCAATTAATGATTAATAAATATAGAAATTCAATTCATTTAAGCAGATATTCTCATTGGGAATTTAATTCAAGAAATGAAAAAATTGGTAATTCAAAGAAAAATAATGATGATGATGATTCTGAATACAGTTGTAATCGAGCTTCTCATATTTCACCAATTGGTAAAGAAGGTGGTTATTTAAATTCTGTTCCATTAATTGATGAAATTTTTGGACTTTATCATCCTTGTGAAGCTTTATCATTAAGAGGTATTGCTTATTTAACACAAAAATATAGTGTGTTAAGACCTAAAAAGAAAAATGGTGAAAGTAAAGATCAAATTATAAGAGCTAACGTTTTCTTACTTTTAAGATTTTTTGATTTATGTTGGTTACATATGAATGAAGATAGAATTTCAATGGCAAATCCACTTGAAAGTTATCTACAAAGAAATAAAGGTATATCATCAACAGGTTTCCCATCTGCAACATCTCCACAAAATTCGATTACATCATCAACAACAAATAATAATACTAATACTAATATTGCAACACCTTCAACACCTGCTGTATCGAATACAAATAATAAAGAAATGGTAACATCAATTTTAAAGACTTTACCAACAGAATTCCTTGAATATTTAACTCCAGATAATTTAACAAAATTATTAGATAATATTGAAGATGATCTTGGAATGTTTAAATTATTATTAGAAATTTGTGGAAATCATAAAGTTAAAATTGAAAGTTTCCTTAGATGGATTGGTCCACCAAATAAATCAAATGTTGATAATCGTGATTTAGAAAGATGTAATAGATTAATTAGTGTTCATGAATTGTTATTAACTCTGTGTTATTCTTATTATAATACAACAATGTATTATTTAATTCATATGAATTCATTAGACTATTTGGAATTATTATTAGATATGTTAGATTATGAAGATTGGGCTAAAGAAATTTATGGCTTTGATAGAATTCTTAATGTTGCAATTAATTGTGCTTTAAAAGCAGGATTTTCACGTTGGGAATATTATGTTGGATTTGATGAAGAAACTGCAGAAAGAAGAAGACGTGTTTGGTGGAGACTTTATATGTATGATAAAAAACTTATGATGGAAGACTCCTATATGTCAGGAATTGATGATGCTAAAATGAACTGTTTATTACCAAAAGAATTTAGAGATATGGGATTTTTAGATCATAATGATTTTATTAAAAGATTACATCTTTTTTCAAAAAATTCAATTTTAGATAATATGTCAATTGATCAATTAGTCTTTTATGCAAGATTATCAACATATCAAGTGATTAGTCATTTTTATTCTGAAGTTCTTTATAATGAAAAATATACTTCAATTAGAAATACAGCTAAACCAAATGAAATTAGAACAAAATTAATTGGTGAATTATTTGCTAGAATGGGTTTATTTGTAATGAGATTTGATAAAATTAAAGAACAAGTCAGTAAATTATTTGAAATTGCTGAAAATATTAATGACCCAAGATTTGCAAATGTTCCAGATAAAGATAAACAAAACGCTGTATCTTTTGCATTTGAATATACTGCTGTATTTTGTCTAGTCACTAGAGTTTCAATTAATATCGGAATTCGTACTGCAGTTCATCCAAAACCCCCATACATGAAAGAAAGAATCATTTCTTTAAGTAAATCAGTTTATGATAAATGGGTCTCTATGAATAAGACAATGTTACAATTAGAGGCTTCATACGATTTATGGCGTGTTCTTGAAAATTATACTTATACATTCCTACTAATGATCACTTGGATGTATGATGAATGTGCATATATTGAACATTCTGATATAGTCGAGGTAATTCATGTCTTTGAAAGACTATCTGAATTGAAAGAAATTTTTATTACACGTGCTACCAGTGATCGTCAAACTTTAAGATTTTTCTCTTCTTTGTTTACATTATTTTGTATTATGACAAGAATATTATTGACCGAATATGTTGGATTAGACCGTATGAATAGTAATGATATCTCCAAAATTTTTAGTAAAGAAGGTCCTCATATTGTTGAATTGGTTAAGATTATATTTGATGGTAATTCATATTGTTATCAATTAGTTCTAATACCATTAGAAGAATCAATATTTCATACATCCGTTAAGAAAATGTTAAAATCCGATTATGATATTAAAGTTGAAGAAAACCCTGCAGTACAAAATTCATATAAAGGTGCTAGCACAACTGGAACCACTGGTACAACAAGAGTTGGTAGTAATGATTTCTCTCAGAGACCTTTCTCCAGATCAGTTAGTGAACAAATATTACCTCATCCAACCATGTCATACAATGGTAATAGAAATGATAGTCATAATTTCCCATCTTCAAATTCAGAAACTGGTACAAGAAATGTAATGAATCCAATGGGAACACAAAATATAATTGGTCTCTCAATGAACTCTCCAGGTAGTGGTAATGGTATAAGCCCAGGAATGATTCCTCCTACAGGCATAAGTCAAGGGTTTGGTGCGGGTTTAGGCCCAGGCCCAATTCCGGGCCCCGCCATGCAAAATAAGATTAGTAATTTGCTTCAAACAGAAATTATGGATAATCCATTGCTGTCACATACTCCACCATTACCGGGTTTGAATAATACTAATAATACATTATTGTACCCTCCAAACCAACAAAACGGTAAACGTCAAGATTCTTCCCCACAAATTGGTTATATTGACAAGCGTTTATTCCAGCCGTTCGATCTGGGTATCCTTGAGGATTTCTTCAGTTCAACTGATTTTACAGATCTAGGGTCTCTATAGGGGACACTATCATCCCTCTTTCTATCTTGTCTATGTGTAATCTGATCTTTTACCCGTCTATTCACACATCTCTTTATTTGCTTATGTAGAAAGTGTCAGCCAGTTGAATGAAATTACATCATCTCCATGTATCTTCCACCCATCCCCCCCCTTTTTTTTGTTTCCATCCGCCTAACAAAGCTTGTTTGGCTTACTTTCTCGATCTCCTCTTTATTCGGCTCATTTTCATTATTTAATCGGTCTCGCTTCCTCCTGGCCGATCTGCCCCCCTCTTTCCCATCCGTTTTTATTCCCCTCTCCCCCCTGGATTAGTTCAGCCTCCGGGCCGAAGATAGGCTCAGAGACCAATGAAGAAGTTGGTTACATAATAATAATACTGATAATAATACAAACGCTGCTCGAACAAGGGGTTAAAATTAATTTGAATTCAATTGAATTGAAACCGTTATTGCTAGCATATTACTTACTTTGTGTGACTAATTGCTCCTCTCATCTAAAGGAAAGGTATATTCTCAAAGGGCAGAACATTCTAGCAAAATTGTAATTACAAAATTTATGAGGGAGATCATAATCCCCCTTTAGAGGTGGCATATATAAAGGACTATCCTTCCTTTTCTAAATGGAATGACATTATTGTTATTTTTATCTTTTTATTCTTGAATATATTTATATATAAAAAATCATCAAACAATTAATACAATTAATACAATTATAACTACAAATAACAAAAACTTATAAACTATACAATCAAAATGACTAGAACTGACAAATGGACTACTCACGAATCTAAGGCTGACCCAAAGTACTTCAGCCATAACGGTAACTATGGTGAAAATCCAAACAACGTGAAGAAGAATGGTTCGGGTAAAGGTAACTGGGGTAAGCCAGGTGATGAAATCAATGATCTAATTGATTCTGGTGAAATTCCTCCAGTCTTTAACAAAGCTAGAAGAGGTTCTAACACACAGCATAACGAACATACTTTGAACAAATCTGAATAGATTATGTTCTATACTAATGATTCAATATTAATGACCTATTTCATATATTTTTTTAATGATTTTTAACATTCATTTCTGCATGTTTCTTTAAATTTCATATATATATTTTTATTTTCTTATAACGGTATATAGATTAATAAACAAACAATAATAATAACATGAACAATTTTCAATATTTAATGACGTAAAAACAATTCAATTATTTGAAGACTGTAGATCATTCTCGCATTTGCTGCAGAATTATTTTCTATGTATATGTATATATATATATATATGCATGTATGTGTTATATATTAGTTTGTTGTAGCACATTGATGAAAGTACAGATCAATTTGTATTTATTAGCGTATTTGGTATTTGTCTCTATGTGACAGCATATTTCTACTCTCAATTGTAATACATTACTGGCATACTAATTCTGAAGGGTGATATTTAATTCTTTTCATATTTTTATTGATTGACTTACTATTCATGTATGAATTCATTACTATCTCATAGGTATTAGGATTATTTAAAAAAAATGCCATCGGGCTAAAATTTTGGTCAGTATTCTTCCATTTTTATATGCTGTCATCGATCATCATATTCCTCTACTCTCTTTGGAGGTTAGTTTAGTATTAATTTGAATATTCATTATTGTCACCTCTTATGAATGATAAGCACGTTGAGGACGTTGCATATTTTGCATCGGTATATACTGTCCCTGTGGGTATTGGTTCTGATTCTGATTTTGATTGTATTGAGGGTAATACTGTTGATGTTGGTTATTTACCATATTATATTGTTGTGTATTCTGCTGGTATTGTATTCTGTTATTATTATTAGAATAATTGTTGTTTTTGTACGATTCCACTGGGTAAGGCGGATTTTTGGAATTATTTTGGAATGCATAATTCTTATTTTGCTGTTGTTCCCAACTATTATTATTATTATTTATAGGGGGAATTCTGTTACCATAGTATGTATTATCCGGTATTACTTGATTTTGTTTGACCGTAGTTTTAGTTGTAATGTTTTCTGGAGATTTTATTACATTTCTTGATTGTTGATTAACTTGACCTCTTCTTTGATTGATAATTTTAGCATTTTGTAACTTATTATTAATTGCTTCTTCTCTATTACGTTTTGAACGTTGTTCGTTATTATATCTCTCTAAAGATCTTTCACAAACAAAATTATAAATCATTGCAGTATTTCTTGTTGAACAAGCATTTAACCAAGCAAAAATAGAACCAAGGATTGGAATCAAACTAATACATAGATCAACGGCAATATTAGAATACATTTTAACTTTCATCTCTGCAGGTAAATTATACTTCTTATCAGCTAATTTAATTAATTTGCTATGAACAGAATACATCAATGCTGGACCAATAATTGGGAAAATTGCTAACACAGGAGCCCAACCAATATTTTCTGCCCAACAACAACAGCCACATAATCCTTTATCATGTAACCAAGCTTTATTTTGAATAGATTTCCAATTTTTACTTTCTTCTTTTGTACAATAATCTGGCATACGGAGACGATGTTGTTTCCCATCTGAAGTTTTCTCATAAAAGGGATCCTTTGTAGGTTGAAAATGTTCTCCCGCAAACTCCTGACCACGGTTTAAAAGTTCATCTTGACCTAGACTGACTAAGGCACTCTCAAAGAAATTCATTGTGTGTATTGCTCAATATGTGGAGGTGTCTATACTCTATCAACCTTAGTTAAAAATCGTAAATATAAATATTTTCCAGGTATCTCTAAAAACCGATGATTAAATTAAGGTCTAGAATATTCACTGATTCGGCTTACCACGTAAAACTCAACAATGTCGAACTGAAATACTATATAAAAAAGCTATAACAAAATAAGATAAGTGAAGAGAATATATATACAATGTCTATATAGCTCCTTTATTTAATCATCCTTTGAATAATCAAATCATCTTGACTGTAATGATATGATTACTTCATCTATTTACCATGATTTTCTGTCAGGGACTGGTGAAGATCGTGGGGTCAATTCGCTCTTTTTTTTCACATTTCGCGTATTGCTGCGGGGGTTTCTGAGGATACTGTCATAAATGTAATCATTCATTCTATCTATTATGTGTTTAAAATATACTGCGTTAAATGCGATATTTCAGTATATTAATAGAAATTGTGTTATTGTTATTATTAATAGTGTGTATAACAAGAATAGTAATAGTACCGCAACGGGGTAATAAATTGAGCAAAGTGAAGTTGACGATACATTGGTATTTATCGACATATCATCTTGAAAGCTCAATCACCCCAACCTAGAGGAGTATAACCACCGAATCATGGGTCCTCAAAAAAATAATCTAGTCAGAATTACCTTTGTTAAAAGTTTTCTTGTTCACTCGTTGTCATATCTTTCTCTCTCTCTCTCTCTCTCTCAGTCTTTCTTTCTGATACAAAAAATATTACAATTGTGTGACTGCTTCTACTTCCTGAGCACCCACACACCCGACAAGAACACCAGTGCACCACTCACGCTTTCTTTAATAAATCTGGTCGTTTTTTTTCAAGGAATTTTTCATTTTTATTTTTTTCTTCTCAGAAGGAAAAGGTCCGATATCTATGTTTTACTGAGAATACACCGTACAAAGTACACCACTTATATACATTCAGCTCAATAAGCCGCACTCAATTCGTGCAACAAAAATATTCTGCTCTGTTTTTTCGCAAATTTCATGAAATTTTTCAATTAACCAAACTTTCACTGCAATGATTATACAGCATTTTGTCAGAAAATTAAAGATTATTCTACTGGGTTTTGGCATTACTCAATCAAAGATTCTTTCGTTAATGCTTTGAATTTAGTATTGGTGAGAATTTCATTTTAATTCCAATTATGCCCTGTATTCTTCACTAAGTTTGACTTAGTAGTGTTAGAATTCAATTCTTGAATAGTTTTCTTATAACGCTTTTTAATAGTTAAATGTATTACTTGTACAATTACTCATAAAGGAAGCCTTATTCTTATTAGAATTTAATTTAGTTATTGATTCTGTTGTTGTTTTTGAGAAATCATTGAGTATTTGATAATAACAAAGAAATAATATAGACAAAATGGCCAGAGAAATCACTGATATTAAGCAATTTTTGGAACTAACCAGAAGAGCCGATGTTAAGACTGCTACCGTCAAGATCAACAAGAAGCTAAACAAGAACGGTAAGCCATTCAGACAAACCAAGTTCAAGGTTAGAGGTTCCAAGAACCTATACACTTTGATCGTCAACGATGCTGGTAAGGCTAAGAAGTTGGTTCAATCTCTACCACCAACTCTAAAGGTTAACAAGTTATAAGTTTCGATAAGATCATATAGATATAAGCATACGCATAATATAAATATATAGATATATTTACACTTTTTTACTTTTAATCAAATTTGTACTCCCTAACTTTCCTATCTATTCGATTAAATTTTTTTGCAAATACATATAAGACATATTATTAATTTTTTTATTTTGAAAATATAATTGAAATTAATGATGAGGATGATTGCATTAATATAATAATCCTTCTAATTATCTACATGTGTTTTTCCTAATTCAGATATGTGTATTTTGCAAAAGCTAATGATATAAGATATGTATGTATATATAGTGCAATACGATTCCTTCGTTTTATGTATTTTTCTTTTTTTCGATTTGTAAAATGTTTCCCCTAGAAAATTGTTTCATATGACCTAGGTGTGATAGTGTTATGCATTTTATTATTATTATTATTATTATTATTATTATTATTATTATTAATCATCTATATATGTTAGACCATTACTAACGGTTGTTGTTGTTGTAGATTTTGCCGTTTCTGATAATGATGTATTAATTGATGACGCGCCCGCCATTCTATTCCTTATAACAGTAGAACTGCCACTGTCATAATCTTTAGAATCATAATTACTACTATCAATTTTCTTTATTGTAATTGGTACTTCAATTGAAGTCTCAGTGGCAGAAGTACTACTTTCAACTTTTTTAATTATACCGGTTGTTGTAGTAGTATTGTTATCAGTAGAATCATTAATATTTGATGATTTTGTAGTATCTTTATTGGTAGTAATTTTAATTAATTCAGCTGTTCTAACCCAACGTCTACGTCTTGTATATTTTGAAAATGATTCCTCAACAGATGGTTTCTTCCATTGATTATCATAATATAAATATCCATCTTCAGATCCTGGTGAAGCAGTTGTCTTTGCTTGAACATCTGACATTGTAATTGCGCCATCGTTAGTTAAATCTAATCTCCAAGTTTTATCAATCCATCTCCATTGCATTTCGGAGTTTTCATTTGGTAATTCAAAATTTTCAGGTTCTGGTGCTTCATTTAAGAATTCATCTGTCCAAGCTGTTCTTTCATAACTTAACATCTTGGTATTCCAACCCATTCCGATCCAACGACGTTGATTCTCATATAATACATAAGTAAATCTAATTGGTTTGTTATGATTACTACTATTATTGTTGTTGCCATCTTTCACAGAATTCTCTGCAGATGATAATTTACTAACTTGATTTTGAACAGCAGCGAAAAGACTCTTATTATTATTTTTATTGATTCCACCAAGATCAATACCAGTAATATAAAATACTAATAATCTAACAAAACGGAATTTCCATAGTAATCTTCTTGTAACTTTTGACCATGAAGAATGATAAGTTAGAACAAATAACCCATTTAATAATAATAATTTCCGTGGTGGTAAAATTAACCAACTTACTAAAATATGAATTGGTGAAAGCAATAATGCTGTTAATAAAATTCTTTGGATATTTCTTATATTTAAGTTTGAAAATGGACTCAATAAAATATCAGATTTTAATGAAATTCTACTCATGATTGTAACTATGTTTTCTAATGTTGGTTTACTTGTTACAATATTGCCAATGTATTTATCTAATTTAGCATAACCAATAAATATTGAAATGATAACTATATGACCAAAATATTTTACAATTGTATCCAGATAAAGAACTGCACCAAAATATGTTAATACTAATAATACACTTGGCCAAATATCATCACAAGTCCAAGTTAAAACACCTAATAAATTATCCCAAATTATCAGATAAGGATATAAATTAATTAATACTTTAGAGATTGTTGATGGTGTTGATGTTAATAAAGGGGACGATCCCAAATATTCATTACTAATTGGTGAATTAGTACCATTTTTATCACCATCGGAACTCTTACTAGATCTTAACCCTTCTAAAAATTCTTCTTCTGTCTTCCCACCAATCCTACCTTGCCTCTTGTTAACAAATTCTGCCCTAGTAACGTTAGTCTTTGACTTCTCCGGCGTACTCATCCTGTTTCAAATATATCTATATGTTGGTAAAAACCTTTGTTTACAGCCTCTAACCTGAAAAGGATACCTGTATTTTATCCCACACAAACAAACAAAAGAGAAAGAAGGACAATCAGTTCACAAATCCTACCTCCTTTGAGTGTATTTTGTCTCTTGTAATCCAATTCCTTTCTCAAGTTTAGTACCAGTTTATTGCCTGTCTTGTATTCTTTTCTTGTTCTTGTTCCCAGTTTTTTTGCCCTTTTTTTTGGTACGCGAATTGGTGAACTGGCAAGCTGGCGGGGCGGAACAGCTATCCCCGTCGGCGTTGTAATATATTCCCGTCGGGGCATCGATAGAGTTTGAAAAAAAAATTCTTCGTTTTTTTGGTGCGAATAATAATATTATGTAACTTGCTATACTAAGCAAATTAAATAAATAATATATAGTTCACACACTTTTTTTTTTTACTTTGAAGAAGTTGCATAATACTTTTAAAGATATTTGGTCTATGTTTCATTTCTATAGGAAGGTATATAGAGGTGTTCCAACAGGAGTAGTGAGTAATGTTTAAGAAAAGATCTAAACTTTCAGGAAATTCGTCTGACATAAAGAGAAGAAAGTTACCTGTGGAAAATGTTGAATCTGATGAAGATCAAAGGGTAACGACCAGTATCCCCGGGTTTAAAAAGAGACAGCTATTAGGTAAGAAAGATCCCTCGTCACTGGAAAGTAAGAAAAATACAAGTAATGAAACAATATCTGATACCTCGAAATATACTCTGATAGATAGTAATACTGCCATTAAAGCCGATATCTTAAACTCCGAAGATAAAGGGATCATTAAGAGTAATGAGTCTACTAATTCAAAGGAAACAACAAAGAAAAGTATATCTGATAAAATCACACAAGCAGCTAATTTGAAGACAACTATATTTACTGATTATCAACCTGATATATGTAAGGATTATCAACAAACTGGGTTTTGTGGATATGGTGACAGTTGTAAATTTCTTCATTCGAGAGATGATTTTAAAGCAGGATGGAAATTAAATACCGATTGGAAAGTTGATGTAATAGAAAATGGAGATAATGAAATAATATCGAAAGATGTCCCATTTAAATGTGTTATTTGTAAAGAGGATTATAAGGATCCTATTGTAACTAATTGTGGTCATTATTTTTGTAGAGCATGTTTCACTAAGAGGATTGATAAAGATTTAAGTTGTTTTATTTGTAGAACTAATACAAATGGTGTTGCAAAAATTGCAAAGGATTTGAAAAAAAAATTACGCAAAATGAAAGAGTCTACCAAAGATTAAATCTTTTTAATCACTATATGTTAATATAATGGCAACCCAAAGGATTAGTGATTCGGACGCTACTATGCATATCAAAACTAGTTATACTGTGAATTAAGGATACGCAATTTGATATTAATGTGAGGATATCGGGAATAAGCTCGAAAGAGAAAAATATTTGTTAAGATATACACTTAGATATATATTCGAAAATTGAATTATCACAATATTTCTTTACAAAGTACGATCACAATAAGAATATAGTAACAGTAACGATTGAGTTCTCAACTATACAGTATATTTTGGGTTAATATTATGGGTGCATCAATTTTAGCATTTATTTTGCAATACGTCTAAGGGAATTTAACTATTTCCTGTGAGGCTGGTGTGGTATCCAGTAATTTTGGGACTATTCGATTTGAGCAAAATCTAAGTTTTATTAATCTCTTCTTGAGAAATTTTCCTCAAATTTTCAAACATCTGGTTGGGTATCCACTTAGCATTGTACCGATTCTGAACAGTAAATATTCCATTGGATGATAGCCAATTGAACTATTATTATAAATTTCAATCCTCCTAACTTCATAGGATAAATAACCGTCGTGTCAAAATTAATAACAAGATGGATATCGTAAATATTTGATTCTCGATTAAAAAATATTAAAATAAAAAAATGAATATCAAATGTTGAATAGACTATATATCTATGTATATAGAACTGCAAAATAGAAAATTGCTATGAGTATTAAAAAAGATACAACAGGTGGTCTAAATTTTTTAATGTATTTATTCTGTTTTTTTTAAATTGGTAGGATTTGGGATATAGTAATATGTGACACCCCAAATAAAATACGCGAAAGTTCTGTCATCCAGTAGGCCGGGGAGACTAACCCAAGGGCTAGCATAGTACAACACAGAAACATTGAAACATCCCCACATGTCTCCATCAATGCAGCAGCTATAACCAAAATTATTGTTAGATGCTTTAAAAATAATTCTGTTATAGGGAATCCAGAAGCACGCTTTTGTAATACTTTTTCAGTTATAAATTCGATGTTGACTAAAATTTTTTCTGATGATTCATCTTTTTCTAAAAGTTTAATCAATGTTTTGAACTGTTCTTTTGCAATACTAGCAAGTTTCTTAATCGCTACTTTATACATGTCCTTTGGTCCAAATTTGTTTACGTATTTGAGAGTTTTAATTAGTTGTTAGCAATTCCATTCTGCCTGTTGTTGTGAATCTTCATAGTCTATTTCACGCTCCATTTGACCAAGCTTACATTCTAGTAACTTAGTTAGAATAAACTGGGATTCTGGTGCTTCATATATTTATTGTTGAAATTCTTACCTAACTCAACAATGGAATTTATACAACCACCAGCTAATTTACATTCACAGTTACTCTTAATGAACATTGTGACATTAGATAAAGCTAAAGAGAATTCTTTTGCATATTTTGGTCTATGGGTATTTTAATGGCTTCAACGCATTGAAAGTTGAAAAGTAAAAAAGCACCTAAAATTAATTGCGGAATTTTATCATTACTATGTAGTTTATTACTTATTTTAACCTTGATAATAATTCTAAGGTTGACATATTGTAAGTGAAACAATAAAGAAAAATTAATTAAAGCAGTTGATAGGTTGCAAAAAAGGTAGGAAACATTTAAGTAGTTATTGAGTAGACTTTTATATAAAATAATTTTAGCAGTCCCCGGAATAAAGGGAAAAATGGTTAAAAATACTAACCCATTTTAACATATCTACCCATTTTTACTGTTTTATTAACGGTTTCCAAAATAAAATACATATATGTATCAAACATATCAATTTCTACCTTATTTTACCCATTTGAGGTGGACATTCTTCCAAACTAGGTAGTACGTCAAACCGAATGATTAGTTCATTTTGCTTAGTAAGTTATGGCAAAATTAGAATAGTTCCTGAATCTAGAAGTAAACGTTTTCAAGAAATATGGTACATTTCTTAGTTAATATTGTTGTTATTTCTTCGACAATTTTCCTTTTGTGTGTACATACAACTTTTTTACATTTTGTTCCAAATTATCATTTTTCAAGATAGAGTAAGAAGAATAATCTGTATAATATCTGCATAATAAAAATGAAAGAAAATATAAACAAATTTATGACCCAACAAGATAGAAACGAGGATTTCTATCACACACGAATGACATTTATTTAAAGATCGCATGCATATCATTTATGTACATATATAATTCTTATAAATAATCTTCTCTCTTACCATAGAGAGAGTCAAGCTGCGAAGACACGTCCTCATATTTATCAGCGCTGACTCTTCTATAGTCCTTGATTTCTTCAGTTTGTCTGTCTAAAAAATCAACGAATCGTCTTTCTGGTATGCTAGTCTCCGGAATTGGAATTTTTAGTGATTGACGATACGATTTATAATTTTCAACTATAGATTCGTATTCATCTAAACTTTGAGTACTCTTCATTAATAAGAATAAAAGTCTTTGAACCTGATGATCAATATCTGAATATTCAGAAACACGAAGCAAGGGTGCTCTATATTTCATAATTAAATGCTTGCTCAATTCAATGAGTACACATATCTCAGCTTTATCCACCTGGTAAAATCGATTTTTCAAGGTCGAGTTAGTTACTTCCAGTAAAATAGAAATCACATTACTTGTCAAATTTAATAAATCAGAACTCTCTATATTCATGTTCTGCTCAATAAGTAGTTTAAAGATTTTTAGGGTTACACCTGATGGTGGTAAGTCAAGTAATGTTCCTAACTTGTTCATCATATTAAGCGTCTCCTCGGGAGTTGACAGAGATTCCACAATACTTTTTTCCAGGAAAAACAATTTATCATTAATGTCATTATATGATTTAAAGATATCTCTAAACAAACTTCTCTCAGTGAATATATCTGAAATACTCAAATATCTTTTTAACATAACGAATGAATGGCTACTCTTAATTTCGTCGGCATATCGTTCATTTAAATAGGTAGTAATCTGAAGAGCTGTTTTTTCTGAGATTAATTTTTCAGTAAACATTTTCTCAATTTGGTCAACCACTTCAATCATTTGGACGGTGTAGTTATGTCTCTTCAGCACTGAAAAATAAATTTTCACACAACTAAAAATATTATTGGAATTTTGATCTAAAAAAAGATCAAAAGTAATACCAATATCTCTACGGAACAATTTAGTTAAGAATGTCCGATAGAGTATGCTCTGATCTTTTAGGAAAAATTTCGTTGCCAATTTGAAAAAACTCTCCCTGTTATAACTAAATGAACTATTATCACACATCTTGACAACCTTTAAATTAAATCCAATCTGAATATCTTGCTCGCCGTTCAACCCTTGATAAGTATAAAATGCCCACCAAGTCATCAATTTACAGTCAATAAGATATTTGGCAATGGTGCAATAATACTCGATCCAATCTATTGACTTTTCGGCTATATTTTTAATCGCAGGTAAAATAGTTTTCTGTAGCCAGGTTCTTTTAGCAAAAGTCAAATTTTTAACTATCATTCTAATTATTATGATAGCGTAATCATCATCTTTTGCATCACTGTTTAAATAATACAGCAAGACATCGCCTAAATCCTTCAGGACTAGAAACTTGCTTTTTCCAATAAGGTCAAAGTTTCTGTCCAACGATCTCAAAAACTTACTCCATTGTTCTTTCTGATCTGGGTAATTTATTATAATTGATTTATATGTTCGAGATATGACATTTTTTAATCTAAATGGATATTTTTTCAATGAATTTATTTTCAAGAATGCCAAAATAGAATTCAGAATACCAGCTGTCCTTCTGTGATTGACCATCGGTTTTTCAGCAGCAGATCTTTTATCAGGTATCAGAGGTTCAATAAGATTTAACAATCGTTGATCTAAATTGAATCGGGCTTGGCCTGCTAAAACAATAAGTAAATTCATTCTGTTTATGAGGATAGAATCATGGTCAGTCATAGTTATTTCTCCGATTGGCATAATCTTTTCTGACATTGCCAAGGACAAAGTACAACCTCGCAGGAGCGTCAGATACTTATTAAACAAGGTTCCAACAGGTAATTTTTTATCTGACGAACCTATTACAAAATTTCTTTCAGAAGTAGCCTTTTCTTCAGAGAAATCTTGGAATCGCCTCCTTTTGAATATATCGTTTAGGGTTAGAATTATATTATCAGCTATTACCCAATTACATACTTTTCGACAATACTTGATAAACTTGAAAGCATTGGTTAATTCAGTATAGCTTGGTTGAATATCAAGCGCATCCCAGTTAGCATGCTGAATTGGAAAAATTGCTGTAACAACCTGCAATATCTGCGAAGGGAGCTTTTTCCTATTAAATCTATCCCAAAGTTGCTCTTTCAAGCCAAAAATGTCAATTACTGTGGCCAAAATATCATAACTCTGATATAACAAGTTAATATTATCTTCCTTAACTGCAGTGTAACAATCAGAAAGAAGAACAAAAAATGCCACTGTATTACTTATAACATCCTCTCCTACTTTTTGCCTTGTGACATTTGCGGTATTCGTATACTGGGATATTTCGAGTAAAAGAAGTTGACATATAGCAAGCTCATAAAAGTGGATAGCCTTTGCCTTTTTAAGAACTGAGTAAACTCTACTTCTAAAATCCCTATGGAATCTTTGTACAACTAATAACAATGATACGTCGTTAAGGTGAAAGATAAACTCCGTTATAAATTTATTTGTTTCCAGTAATTCTGTGTCACTTGCGCCTTCATTGACAATAGTTGCAAAAATATTTACTAAGGTTTCAGGAACTCTTGCCAAATTATACCTTGAGAGTACGAAATCCTTGTTCGATAGCTTTATTTTAACAGTACCCGGGGGTTCAAATATCTTGTTATATAAAATGATATCCAGAACTGATAGCCCCATTTCATTGTATGTGGTTTCCCTCTCATCATTCCGTATATTTGAAACAGTTCTAGCTCCTCTATTTAGTACTGTGGAATATTTATCCCCAACTGCCTCAACTACTGTTAAAAATGAATTTGTAGTATTATTTGACCGGTTATACCTCTTTATCTTGTCTTTATTGGTACCTTTCTTTTCAGTGAGATTAATGTTATTTTTTGAAGTGGCCCCTTCAATAACATTTAAAGAATTAGTTGCAGAACCTTTAGGTCTTAGGCGTGGTATTACCTTGTTACGTATCTTTGGTTGTGATCTTCTCTTTCTATATATGGACCTTGACTTTTTAATTACCCGTTTTGATTGTTTCCCAATTCCGTTAGGTCTATATCTTGGCTTATTCTTAGTTGGCTTGGCTAGCATTGCATTTACGATACCTCCATTGTCTTCTTCTGCCACATAGATTGGAGCCATCTCACCTTCACCATCAGAATCAGTCATTAAATCAATATCAGGGTCACTCATAAATCCATCTGAATCAACCTCGATAATTTCATTCACGTTTTCTGAAGTATTATTATGCTTAGGGTGTTGGTGTGTACGTTCTTCTTCTCGATCGTAACCATAGTCGCTATACTTTTTGTGGTAATAGCTATCTAACCTTTCTAATTCATTCTGATCCACATTTAATGTGTTTTCTTGTAAGTATGCTCCTATATCGTCCTCTGAATCCTCGTCTACAATAGCAAGTTCCGAAAGCAAAATATCATCTTGTTTCTTCTTATCACCAGATTTTTTTTTTTTAACTGCAATACCTTTATGATAAGGTTGAGGTAACTTTTTACGCTTATGGATTTCTTTTTGTTTCTCATTTTTCTTTAGTTCTCTCTCCCAAGCACTTCTAGGTAGAATACCACGATAACCGGTTTTCATATTAATGTGCTTACCTCTAAATATAACTTCTTGAGATTCTTCTTCATTATCCTCATCAAATGTATTAAGTGAGGATATCGGTTCCTGGATATCTGATGTAAGATCTTCACTTACATTATCCGAAAAATCACTGCCATCATCATCCACACCACTTATATAAGGAACATTGTCTATAACCGTATCCTCTATTACAATACCTTGTGTACCATTGCTAGATTGTATACCATTAGGTGGGGGGAGTTTGACCTTATTGGACACAGTCTCGAAATTTGATACATCGAATCCTTGTAACTGTTGCCTGTGCTTTATTCTTTCTAAACTATATGGTAACTTTTGGATCGCAGTCCTTTTCCTTAAGATTCTTCCACTGCTATTCATATAGACATCAACAGTTGGGTATTCTCGGCTTAGAGTAACCTCTTTCACACCCTCTGAAGCCTCGATTACCTGTAATGGATCCATTGAAATATCTGTTCCCTTAGTTAGTGCAGAAACATCCCATTGCGAATCTTCGATCGACCTTGGAGATCGTGTTGAAATTAAATCGGGGTCGTATAACACAAGGATCTCATCATTTGACAATTCTTCTGAGTCGGAGACTAGATAACTTTCCTCATCCATAACCTACTTCACTTCTCAACGTAATGAACTACAAGTTTTTTTAGTAACAATGGTCTGAGTTATTTACAAGGTGATCTTTGTCTAATTTAATACCTCTAGTCGATTACAAATATACTGTTATATATATATATTCTTGATATAAGCTACTGTAAGTATAATAATTACGTAAACCTATGATTTCTCTCTCAAAGGGTTTTTGATATTTATTGCCTTGCTCATCACCAATTCAATACAACATTCGGTATTATTATTATTATTTGTTACGGCAAGTTAAAATCTCTGAAGTCTCGCTTAGATCAAAAAAACAACAACAAAACAAAACAAAACAAATATATAAATAAAAATTCAATACAATTTAAGAGTAAGAAACAAGTGGTAAACTGAGGACATTTGGAACTTAGATTTTGGAAATTGTTTTTAAATCAGTTGAAGATCCCCATAAGGTAATTGATAGGATTAGAAAATTTTGATTTTTTGACTATTTTTCGAGATCATTTTGTAAAATTAAGATAGAGATTATTGTAAAATAAGCGAAATGTCGAGCTCTTCAGAGACAGGGAATTCCACTCCACGGTCGTCATCGTCGTCAGCAAGGACCTCTGTTAGTATCGAAACAACCGTAACTAAGCTCCTAATGTCAACTAAACATCTATTACAAATTCTGACACAATGGTCTAAAGGAAGTGCAACAGGGAAGATGGTATCTGATTCCTATGTCCAGCTTGGTAACGATTTCAAGTTGGTTTCGAAGTTTTTTACCCATGCAAAAATCGATATATCTGATTTAGGCGATGTACCAATGCAATTACGAAAGGTTCTAGAGGTTACTCTACGCGAACCTGCCTCAGATACAACTCTTAATAAATATTTACCTAGGATACGTGAAATTATTGTCAATTTATTGGATAAATTAAAAGTAAAACAATTGCAATTGAAACAAGCGAGACAAGAACAACTAATTACTAAAGTTTCTCTTTCAAAAGATACTTTATCTCCTAGTGTACAGTCTGCGGATAGTATTGCCTCTCCTCGAATTAGAGATACAAAAGATTCACAATCACATGATAGTAAGAGATTATCCCGTATTAGTTCCAATTCTATTCAAAAAGATATAGAAAACTTGACAGCTAATAGTGAATCTATTGAAGAAACCGAGAAAAAAAGCCCTGCAGGTATACACGGAAAGAATAATTTTATTGATATTGATCCACAACACAAAGATCAAATCGTTGTATCAAAAGTTAGGGACTCGGCAGACCAAGATGCATTGGAACAACTAAAGAATGGGACAAATTTACAACGACGTGCCTCGAAAAGGTACTCTGCATATCATATGGCGAAACTGACTAATCAATCCACCAGCGATGCCGTAAATGCGGCAGCATATGCAACGTCCCCAGTACCAAACATGCCAAATATATTTGGTCTTGATAAAAATAACTCACCGAATCGAATAGTAAGCGATCAGAGGTCAGAGTTACTTTCCCCTCAAAGCAAACGTTTGTCTGTTGAACAAAACCATATTGATGGAACATACACTGTTTTTTTAAAACTGAATGGAAAGACCAAAAGATGCAACGTACCAATCATTAATAGTATGAATAACTTAAGATTGCTATTCGTTGAGAGATTTGCTTACTCACCTGGTGGAGATTCCTTCCCAGATATTTATATAACAGATTCGAAATATAACGTCCCTTATGAATTAGATGAACAAGAAATTGGAACAATTACTGACGGAACAACACTAGAACTACGAACAGAAACCGTACCACATGTACCAAACAACTTGTTCGATGAATTGAAGGTTTCGATGAGAGAAGAAATTGCCAAATCTCAAACTGAAATTTTAAACCATTTGTCAAATGTTAAAAAGGTTGATAATACCACTACCGAACGCTCTGAAGATATATCGCCACCATCGCTATCTGAACCTAATTCTAATGTTTTAAATACAGTTGACACTGGAACAATACCACGTAATAACAAAAAGTCAGACGTTGAAGATCTGAAACGTCAGTTGAATATAATTAAACAACTCTATTCGTCTAACAAATCTGGCTTTGACAACAGTATAACTGACATTAAAAAAAAACTGGAAGACTTCAAAAACGTATCAATTGTCAATGAGTCATCCGATAAGAAGGAGTATGTCGAACAATCTCAAACAAAGCTAGGTGAGATATCTGACAACCTGTTAACAAGAGTGGATGATTTACAGGATATAATAGAAATATTGAGAAAGGATGTGGCTGATCGTGGTTCAAAACCAACCTCCAAGAAACTTGAATCCTTAGATAAGGAATTAAATAGTGCTAATGAAAATTTAAGCAAGATGGAGAAGTACATTGTTTCTGAAAAGCCGCATTGGAAAACTATATGGGAAGCAGAACTTGATAAAGTCTGTGAAGAACAACAATTCCTAAATTTGCAAGAAGATCTTCTGTTCGACTTAAAGGAGGATTTGAAAAAAGCCGTCGAGACGTTCAATTTGATTCACCTGTGTTGTGATGAACAAGAAAAAAACCCTAGCAAACCGAGAGTAAACACCATCTTACCCCTCCTAAAACCTGGAACCTTCAACCAGGTCAGAGAGCAGGTAATGGTAGCCGTTGAGTCCATCAACCCAAATCATGAAGAACGGTTGGATGCTATCGAAAAGGCAGAAAAACACTGGGAAAGAGAGAAAAGGTATAAAGAAGATGACGACTTTAAGGATGAATTGGGGAACTTTGTTGAAAATTCAGGACTGAAGAAATCCGGTGGTCTTGAAGAAATAGAGCGTCAAAGAAGAGAAAAGGATGAAGCTAATTTAAGAGCGAACTTCAGAGGTCAACTACCATTATAAGGGAACAATAACATCTGCCAACATTAGTCAACTTGCATTATATTATATACATAAACTTCTTATATATCTATATTTTTCAACTTCATCTTTGAGGTACTGAACGATAATTCTGTACCGAGAAGGGTGTTTCGAAAAACTTAACAGAAATTTATGCAAAATTTCTTCTCTGATACTTACCTCAAATTCGATCCCCAAATTTTCACCTGTGTTTGAGCACTGTTCAATGACCAAGCTGAAGATACGATTAACATATTTTATAAACGATTTAAAATTTAAATTTCTATTTCGAAATGCATTAATCATCACCGTAGATATGTTAGTCGTAATATACCCGACCTGGGATGCAATAACATCAAAAGAATTCAGATTGGTATTTATTGTGTTGTGTTGGAGTCTAAGGTTAAAAAACCATTCAAGCTGGTTAAATAAAACTTTAGAAGACAGAGATGAAATTCTAGAAATATTTAATGCATCACTGGGTTTCCATATTTCTAGATTCTGTATAGATATATCCAATGCGCAGAATTGGATTTTCTTGTTGGGAGAAAGCTGTGAATTCTCAATAATGATTTTATCTACATTCACTTTGGCATTATACTCTTCAAATCCATTGAACGCTAACTGCTTTATAGACTCAATTTGCCGGCCACAATTTGAGATGATCAAAAAATCATCAGCTAACCTTAGTATAAGTGTTTCTTCTTTTTTAATACAATGGAATTCACTGTAGTGGAGTAACATATCATCATATAATATATCTACAAGAAGTCCGGATAGACTTGATCCCTGGAAAAGTCCATCTTTCCTAAGATAACACTTGTTTTTTATCCACACAACCGTTTTAAAAATTTCATCCTCAACCACAGTAGTAACATCATGTGGTGATAAGTACTTAGCCCACCCTTTGTCAAGAGCAACGCTATGGGGTCCTCTATAATCTATGCCATTGACTACGTCGTATGTCGAAAAAACTCCAGAATGTGGGTTTAATCGTCCTTTACTTCTAACAAAGAATCCATCTTCTTCTTTTTTAAGAAGTTGCTTTAATACATATAATAATTTCCGCCTTGGGATAGAGTCATAGCAAGATTCAATATCAAATTTCATGAAATGTAAAACTGGTAATGTTCCATATCTTTTAATGAGTCTTGTCTTGAATATTTCTAAAGCACCTGCAATCTGCATAGTTGAGAAAATTTTTACGAATGGAGTATCTCGTTTCAATCGAAGGTGATTTAATATCGACTGGACCGGTGAGATCACATCCCGCTTATTTGCGTAGTATATTTTATTTTCTATTTCGTCTACACCCTTATTTGGCACACATATCATTCTAAATTGACCAGAAGCCTTTTTGGGAATTATTCTTAGTCGACTATGGTTAAATTCTGATAAGGTATAACTGGCATGATTCCTGCAAATAAGATTTTCGACCAAATATTTAGAAAAATAATTATCTTTGAATGGCTTAATCATCGACTTCCAAGTAGATCTTCTAAAGTATATTACTTCGATACCAGATGATACTTCTGTGCAATAAAAAAAATACATTACTATATTGGGAACAAGGATTTTAAAGTACCAATTTAGAAATTTTTCCAAAAGTTCAGATGAGCCCAAAAATTGTTCCCTAGAGTTGGAAATATATGGATAACCCAGCCAAACACACCTCTTTAGTTCTATTTTTCGTAGGATATCCTCGATAAACATTTTACCATTAATCGGTAACCTTAACATTTCGGATACATGTGAAAAGAATAATGATTTGTTCTTTCTTGATCCATACATCTTTTGCGGTAACAGTTTTTCGAGAACTAGTATAATGAATCTATTCACGTCTGAAACAGGCATCTGCCTTTCCAAATGGTTAGATACTTTATCTGGAGTTTGAAGTCCACAAATCTTGTCCAACAAATGATCAAAATTGAGATTAGTTCTACACTTTCTTTTCAATGCAGATATACAGCCATGCCATGGTAATTTTTTTGATTTATGTCTTATATCTTGTTGACCACTTGAAAGAATATCTTCCAGAACTTCAATTTCCGAACTTATTTTGTTAGGACCAGAGAGACAATAATTTTTAAAGACCTTATGAATAAATGTCTTGTTCGTTATGTTACCAGTAGATGAATCTATAAACGTATTCTGCTTAGTATACCACTTGGGCGGTCGATGAGGAATATTATTCATATTTCCGACCACCTGTTGAAAATAACCATCCTTGTACTCAAGAACTGTGTAATTAAGAAGTAGCTCCACGAAATTAGTCGTTCCCACTTTCAAATGTAATAATTCCCAAGAAACATCTTTAAGTCGTGTTACATGTATATTGACTGACACACTATGGGGCGTGTAAGACACGTTTTCAGGGTTATTCACTGAATATCCATAAGTCAAAAGATTGTTAAAAAGTTTGTTATCTATCAAGTATTGAACTAAACAATCAATTGTTTCTTTATGCTCGAGGTTACACCGAAGTACCGGATGCTCAATTGAAACCTGGTTTGGAACTATAAAGTAGTTATCCAGCAATTGATTAACAGAAAACTCAAGTGAATTATTCGAATCCACCTGGGTTATGGATATGTTAAGTTTCTCTATATATTTTCGTAGCAATTGCATTCCATAATGAGACGTTAGACAAACAGAAATAATTCTTCACAGGAAATAATATCTGCGATAATAAGAAGTAGAACAGTGATACACTTATACTAAATAAACTAACCTGGCTTTGGTATTATCATTAAAAGTTCACGTTTTGTTCTTTAAACTTTTTTTCTTTCGCGATGAGCTTCCTTTTCAATAAACACCATAAGAACGATTACTAATTTCTGAAAAATAGAAAACAAATAAGTATTACAATATTCACTTATGATTTGACTAAACATACCGTAATAGTAATCAACCACTAGAAGAATGGTAAAGAAAGCTCTGAATCCTTTGAAAATCGACTTCAAGAAGGGCATCATTGAAAATAAACTACAGCAAATCAGGAATTCAAGAACAACAACTACGCCTGACCTAAGTATGTATTGAAACTTTATCTCGTCCTCGTCCTAAAACAGAGTGATAAAATACTAACATCATCATAATTTATAAAGTAAAAGTTTGGACAATTGAAGTTAATCCGAAGGATTCCAAATATGTTTTAGAGTAAGTATACTAAAAATTTTATTAACAGGTAAATCAGAAAATGTCAATATTATTATCAGATATCAAATACTAACCATTACACTATAAATACAGCTTAATACGTACGAAAACACAGAAGCAGGATCCTATTTCCATGCTCCATATAAAGAGAATTAGGAAAATAACAAATAGTGATACTTCCGTATCTCTAGTTGTAGTGATTGGAAGTGTTGAACTCTTCGAGGATAAAAACTCAGTCCAATCTATGTTACACAGTTTCAGAAAAGACTTAAAGTATAGTAATTTATCATCAAGCCACGAAATACCTAAGGAAGGTCCTCAGACTAAAGAACTTATGCTACAATGGTCAGATGAATATTGGCCCCTTGTCTGGCGTGGAAATCCCAATGATCAGATTCTAAATGATTATACGTTTAATATGCCATTTATCGAAGATATACTACTGAAAATACATAGATTATCGCAAGAGCAATATGAAAACGGTAATATTTACCCTATTGTAACAGCTTTTGTGGATCCAAATGATTCTACCAACTGTATTTATGCGTGTGATACAAGGGCACAGCAGGAATCGTCACCTTTAGATCATAGCATTCGCATAGGTATAAACGCTGTATCCAAAAGATTAAAAGAAAGAAAGAAAGTCATAGATAATGCTCACACAGAAGGATACCTATGTCTCGATTTTGACGTCTATACAACTCATGAGCCCTGTTCGATGTGTTCAATGGCTCTCATCCACTCAAGAATTAAGCGTTGTATTTTTATACAACCAATGACTATGACTGGGTCCCTCAAACATAAAAGTGGTGATGGGTATTGTATGCATCAACACAAGCTGCTTAATTCGAGTTATGAGGCCTTCCAATGGGTCGGGGACAAACTTGATCCTCCGGAAATTAGTCAGTCAACTTGTTGTTGAGTGTCTTTGTCATCCAACTCTTCAAGAATACATCTATAATTTTCTAACATTTGTAATATATTTCTATTTGATGGTATTGAATTTGAGTCAACACCAGCAACTTTATAAAATCCTTTAAGTACTTCTATTTCTTCTTCAATTCTTCCGTTTATAACATTAGTTCTAGTTTCCAATAGTGCTCCAACTTTATACAATCCAATAATCATATCTTCCAAAGAATATGAACTATTAGATTGATTCTGCTTTAGGTCCTCCAGATTGGTTTCCCTTAATGGCTCAACAAGTTGGTTAATATTCCGACGTAAGTCATTCCCATACGTAATATCCTTTGCTTTATATAAGTTGTAAAATTTCTCTATACTATCATCAGAAAGTTGATTGAATCTATGATCGTTCTTGATTAAATTTTGGAAATCCGTTAATGAAAGTATGTTAGTAGTTAACAGGCCCTTAAGAAAACTATCTATTGTAGTGTGGGCATCCATCCTTTACCTAATGCTTTTGTGTTTGTCCTCATAAACAACAATGTGACTGTGACAAACAAAACTACTTTTATATACTTCGTAAAACGAAGTTCAAAATAAACAAAAATATTTTGTTTCCGAGAATAATTATTTTATACTTCGGTAACAGTACACAATTTTATTTTTAATATTTAATAAAATATTTAATTATATTTTTATTTTATCACGTGTATACATGTTTGTTTTTTATTATTTTTATTCTTTTTTTTGTATCAGCTACCGGCTGGAATGATGAACTAATGCTGCGAGATGGTTTGAATACAATGGTGTCCCTTATTAATAAGTTATAAAACATTATACGGAGAATGTTATATGTAATGTTTTCATGAGCAGAATGATATCCAATTAAGAGTCTTTTCTCATTAATATAGGTATATGGTTCAGATATTGATGTTTCATTGTGTCATATCTAGTACTGTTATTTTTCCTGATCTTGTATGCTTGATAAAACCTTGAGTAATGTTGTAATAGCAGAAGCGGAGGCGTATATATATATGCTAAGCTACCATGCCTCGATAATGTAGTTGCTATTATTTTAATAAATAGGTGGACATTCAACTATACTTTATTTTTGGAATATGACATTTCTCTTTAGTATTATGGATAAAAACTACGTTAGAAAGGGAACAAATAAAAGATATATTGTCAAGTTCGTCAATGTTTTGAAGTCATGATCAGTTACCAAAAGAATGTACTAATAATCAAAAATATGCAAGTTAACTTTTAGAAAATATCGATTGAGTATAAGAAGCTGTTATTAATGATAAATTCTATGTCATTAATAGATGTTACTCTATCTCTCTCTTTAAAGCGTTAGAAATTAATAAAGGAAAAGAAGACTCAGTTCAAGTTCAAAAGAATTTTTAGTATTAATACTTATTAATCATGAGGACTTTCTATATTTCATTAAGAAGTATATTTAATAAGCACTACTCCTAAAAATACAACAATTAATCGAAACCTTAGTTTGATGGGAATTATCAGTAGAAGGAACTGTCACATATGGTAAATATTTTGGGCCAGAAATTACTATTTTACAAGAAATATCGAACATATGTAGTGAAGGCTCTATGAATTCGATTTAAGGTTAAGGTTAGAATAAAGTTTAGCGTCTTACCAAATCTTTTTCATGATGCATCTTTATTTTATGTGACGCCTGCTCATCGTAGAAACCCATTTTTATCCTGATTTGTACTCAACATGTCATATGTGATCAGCAAGAAACTTAGTTATAGCCTCACATGAGCTCTTTTCTACATTATTTAAAATCTTGGTTGTCCCGTAGCAGATTATTTGTAGATTTATATTTTCTATGAAATTTGTTAACGGGTGCATATTTGTTGTTAGTTGTTTGTATGTATCTATTTCCCTGTCCCACCAGAATATTTTGCTATACCAAGCTTATGGGTGTACTAACTGTACTGTGGGTGGGCCCCCCTTGCCGACGGTACTTAAAAAACGGTGTTACGCGCAGGCTCACAGGAGAAGGAAAAAAAACAATGAGTTGCCCACAGACGTAAACAAAAGGGAAAGATTAGCGAAAGCCAAACGGGATTTTTTGCGTGAATAGACAGACAGTGACGAAATTAAATTGCGTTTCTATCCGGAAGAAAACAATTCACGAAATTAGACACACACCGGGTTCTTAGCTTGTCTGTAGACAACGTACTTCGAACAATGGCCATCCTCCGATATCAACTGTCTTTTATAAGCATTGGACATTAATACATTTTTGTTCAAATATATACATATAAATGGTTTCTCTGGACACATTCGTTACAGATGTAACATATTTTTAAGTGAATTTATTGATATTCAAATTGTGAATGGTAAATTGCTCCTACCTGCGTCATTTTATTTTTCAAGTCACATTTCTTTATTATTAAATTTTCGATACTTGCTCAGTAAAGAAGAAAAGAGCTTATATTCAAGCAATATATTATATTTCAATATAAATATCTACATTTGTATTATTGATATATTTATACTTCACACCCAGTTTCATTTTAATTTAAAAAGTTCAGAAAGATACAGATCTGGCAATTGACAATACTAAAACATAAAATCAGTTTTTTTATTCCAACAATTATATACTTCATTTGTTGTTATTTCGTTGGATCTAAGTGTGATTTTTTGTTTTATTTCATTTCTGTTATAACATAAACGTACACAAGATTGGAAACTATGGATCCTACAAAAGCTCCAGATTTTAAACCTCCTTCTCCTAATGAGGAACTATCTCCTCCAACAGATCCTCAGTCTACTATTCCTAATTCTGACCCAATAGTTCCATACGTTCTGGCCGACTATAATGCCTCAATAGATGCACCATTTAACCTTGATAGTATTAAGAAAAATCACAAAAACTCTTCCAGCAAACACCACCATAAGCATAGTTCAAGTCGTAAAAATTCCTCTGGAGGGACAGGTACAAGAGGTAGCCACCGTTCCCAGCATATACCATTAAATGCTTCGGATTTCCAGCCATTATCAGCCGACGTATCATCTGCAGAGGAAGATACAGATGAGAGTACTGCTAGTAATAGTACGAATAACAATAATAAAGATTCTGGAAGAAGTAATAGTAGAACCATCGATGAAGCTTTAAATGAACAACTAAAAGCTATAGACACTGGGGTAAAGAAATACCAAATTGCTGACTTAGAAGAAGTTCCGCATGGAATTGTAAGACAAGCAAGAAACTTTGATGATTACGAATTTCCAACACACAGATTCTCTTCAGGTTTAAAAGACCCGAATAAACTACCTTTGGTTATTGTAGCGTGTGGCTCATTCTCGCCTATTACTTATTTGCATTTAAGAATGTTCGAAATGGCTCTAGATGCAATCAATGAACAAACAAGGTTTGAAGTGGTTGGTGGCTATTTTTCTCCAGTTAATGATACGTATCAGAAACCTGGTCTAGCTCCAGCATATCATAGAGTTAGAATGGGTGAGTTAGCTTGTGAAAGAACTTCTTCATGGTTGATGGTTGATGCTTGGGAGTCGTTACAACCAACATATACGAGAACTGCTAAAGTGCTAGACCATTTCAATCACGAAATAAATGTTAAACGAGGTGGTGTTTCTACGACATCTGGTGAGAAAGTGGGCTGTAAGATTATGTTATTGGCTGGTGGTGACTTGATTGAATCCATGGGTGAGCCAAATGTTTGGGCGGATGCAGACTTACATCATATTCTAGGGAATTATGGTTGTTTAATTGTAGAACGTACGGGTTCTGATGTCCGTTCTTTCTTATTATCACATGATATTATGTATGAACATAGAAGAAATGTCCTGGTTATAAAACAATTAATTTATAACGATATCTCATCTACAAAAGTACGTCTATTTATTCGAAGGGGTATGTCTGTCCAATATTTATTGCCAAATTCAGTCATAAGATATATTCAAGAACATAAATTGTATATTAACCAGACCGAGCCAGTCAAGCAAGTGATGGGCGGTAAAGAGTAATAAAAGATGATAAGAATCCAATTGCTGTTAAGTATTGACCGAGTTATTGTTATATCTGTTTTCACTACACTTGTAATATATTTGGTGCTTAAATGGAAAGGAATTGGCAAATTAATGATTAACTTAGAAAGTTACATTTTAGTATTTTTTATACATAATCACTTGTCATTTAATATAAATAACAGGTATAATTCTGTAATTCTATATTAAATAATTGTAACAATGCAACGAATCCCTTAATATTTCAGGAATAAAATAAAACTGTTGGATATTTGAATTATTAGAGGAATCCATTTCTTTAATATGGTACAAAATTTAATTTATTAGAAATCAACGTATAGTCGTCTG